TCATTTATTTGATTAGTTCTTGCAGCCGAAAATGAGCCCGTAACGGCTCGAAACGTTCTGCCTTTTTTCAGCCTTGTTTACATCTTTTTTAGGGGTTGGGCAGCGCAGCGGCCAGGGGGCGTAGCCCGCTAGTTGTAATTAATTATCTCCATTTCCCTATCGCGGTTACCATCGGGTGCTTTGTCCCTCATTGTTTTCTTTATTTGCAACATTTACCTTAATTAATTCAGTGCAAGTGAGTCCGCATCAAGTCGCTTCTTCGACATAAGGGCGTATCTCGATTTTGGCATGAGTTTTAAAAAGCACGGATGTATATGTAAAATGGAGCTCACGTAGGAATTGAGGTACGTTGTTACGTCAAAGGGGCGGCGATTACAATGATAGGTTCGTTAAATCGTTGATGCACCTTCAAAGCATTGAAAGTCAGACATTAATTCATGAGATTGAATAAGAGGGCGCGTGTCAGGTCTCCGGATTGAATTGATGTTGTAGATGCTCTGCACCGAACGAGAGGATCAATTTTCTCGGGAGAACTTTTATGAAGAAAAAAAAATATTAGTCTCGTATTAAGTCCCGCTGCGGAAGTAGCAAATTTCCAAAGGAGACAACCTTAATACCATCCCTTTGACCAACTCCCGCTCCACTGAAATTGAAACCCTTCTTAAACACGCAATTTTTACTCAGCACAATATACGAGGTCTGTTAGATTAGAAACCGGATTTCGGTCATAACTAGCCCATTGTGCGTTCGAATGAGGTTTTCTTGGACTTTTCTGATAGCTGATAATATACTAAAGAACGCCACGTTCACAAATCTTGTTTATTATGATCAGTGTTTATTCTGTGTGCGTTCTAAACACAGAACGAAGCGGCGCGGCGCGGCGCGGCGCGGTGTGCTGCCAGCGCGACATACGCACTGGCGCCTACAAACCTAACTGGGATACTTCACGCATTGCGCAATGCGTGAAGTATCCCTGTTAGGTTTGTAGGCGCCAATGCGTGTGTCGCGCTGGTCGCCCTTGCCTGCCGCGCCGCGGCTGCCACGACGCTTTAAGCAACTATTTCGCAACAGAGGTGTTGCTCAGTATCATACTAAATTGAAGGCACTCCAACGTTCAAGAGTTTGAAAAGAATTAGTTATTGATGATCTCAAGAAAAACTAGTCTTAATGCATATTTAGTCAAAAATTCGCCCCCGAAAACCAATTTTTTAGCATCTAAACGTCAGTTCGAACTTTCTGTCCGCCGCAAGGATCCGTGCAATTTCAAAACATCAAACATGTATTTCTGGAAATAGAAAAAACTGCTGTCTTGCGCCTTGTCCCCAAGCCCCTCGATTCTTTTTATGCCGTGCTGTAATGAAGAACGCCGTATAAGCCATCATGAGTTAACAACTCTCCGTCCAAAAGCAACGAATTTTCAAGATAATTTGAGAATGATTCTCCTCCGATTTTTTGGAGGATTGTGCTCGGAATTCGATCTGAAAAGTCGTAAAATTTCAAGGAAAAATATTTACAACTTTCTTCGAAAATAGACATTTTTGAGAGGAAATTTGTCAACATTGGAATGCTCATACGGCTTTTTTCTTTAGCATGGCACTTTAAACCACGATTCAATTAATATACATGACAATGTCTTTGCATGAACACAAAAAGCGCGAATATTTGAATCATACTCGTGGTATAAAGAGTGACGTGTTGACACTGCGGCTCTGAAGCCGTGACTACTCAATCAATGTAACAAAACCATAAAAAACTGTTATTGTGACTTTGATTGAGTAGTCACGTTACTGTTTATACCACGAGTATGATTCAAATATTCGCGCTTTTTGTGTTCTTGCAAAGACATTGTTATGTATATTAATTGAATCGTGGTTTAAAGTGCCATGCTAAAGGAAAAAGCCGTATGAGCATTCCAATGTTGACAAATTTCTTCTCAAAAATATCTATTGTCGAAGAAAGTTGTAAATATTTTTCCTTGAAATTTTAAAACTTTTCAGATCGAATTCCGAGCAAAATCCTCCAAAAAATCGGAGGAGAATCATTCTCAAATTTTCTTGAAAATTCGTTGTTTTTAGACGGAAAATTGTTCATTCATGATGGCTTATACGGCGTTCTGCATTACAACACGGCATAAAAAGAATCGAGGGGCTTGGGGACAAGGCGCAAAACAGCAGTTTTTACTATTTCCAGAAATACATGTTTGAGGTTTTGAAATTGCACGGATCCTTGCGGCGGAAAGAAAGTTCGAACTAACGTTCGAACTTTCGAACTTGACGTTTAGATGCTAAAAAATTGGTTTTCGGGGCCGAATTTTTGACTAAATATGCATTAAGACTAGTTTTTCTTGAGATCATCAATAACTGATTCTTTTCAAACCCTTGAACGTTGGAGTGCCTTCAATTTAGTATGATACTGAGCAACACCTCTGTTGCGAAATAGTTGCTGAAAGCGTCGTGGCAGCCGTGGCGCGGCAGGCGAGGGCGACCAGCGCGACACACGCATTGGCGCCTACAAACCTAACAGGGATACTTCACGCATTGCGCAATGCGTGAAGTATCCCTGTTAGGTTTGTAGGCGCCAGTGCATATGATGCGCTGGCAGCACACCGACCGCGCCGCGCCGCTCCGCTTTGCATTTGACTCTAATATTTTAACTCGCGAAGTCAACGTTTTTCAACTCTTGAAATCATCAATATCTAATTTTTTCCAAAACCTGTATCCCTGCGCCTTGTCCTCCAAGCCCCTCAATTCAGAAGACTGACGACTGATAGGCACTATATTCTAATTAAGATATCTCGCCAATCCTACATTTATTCCCAAATATATTTGATCCATAAAGGAGGAACTTCCTCCCGCCTTAAAAATATGAATTGCTCTATTAATCAATCCTTTCATAGATGTTAATTTCATTTCATTTTTTGTTCTCAGTATCAAAGTGTGCGGAACGGTGTGATAACTGACATTAATGAGGCGCTGGAGAAAGATAACTTTGAGGTAAGTTAAATGTTACTAACTGATTAGTTACTAATTTCACTGATTTCACTCGTTTTTTGATGGCATCCACTTGGCAGGATTTTGCTGCAAAAACTTGTTCGGCACACATGCACACACAAAAAAACTCTATGCCTGCTGGCCCAGCATCAAAGGCTTGTGTGAAACTGAAATACAGTAATATTACAGGTGTGATGATTAATAATGTGAGAGACCCATGATATCACGCATTACTCAAAGAAAAGGAGGAAGAGAGTATATTTAAGATACTAAACAGTTATGTAATCAGAAAAGTTTAATGATTTTTATTTCACATGTTTCAGTGCACTAGTCCAGATGATGAAACGAGTAGTGCTCAAAGAGTTCGAGAAAACTCGGAAAATTTCAAGAAGCGGCTGAAAAAAGATCTCATGAACAAAGATGGGCAAAGGTAAGGTGAAAAGATAAGGATACCACAGTACAACGATGAATAATTTCTCCTATTTTTTTCTTCTTCTTCTTTCTTTTTTTATTAAAAAAAAAACTTGTCATTATTTTTTCAAATTTTTTATAATTTTTCTTAACCTTTTCTATCTCTTTTTCATCTTTTCTTATCTTTTATTCAGAATAGAGTCCTCGCGGAGGACCCGTCACAATTAATTCGTAAAAATTTCAAGCTAATTCTCTCGGGTTTTCTTCTAGAGAAATAAATTATAGAGGGAGATTTTGAGGCACTGCATTAAAATTACAAGTTCTCATAATTGAGTCATCAATGCACCATATCTCCTTCGACTGCACTTTAATACCGACGACGAGATTATGCACCTTAATTGGTCGTGTCTGACCGTCATTTTATTATGATCTCCTTTCATAAGCCATTGTCTTGTTTTCACATTTTTACAATGAGCCATCCGTGGTGCCCAATTATTTTTTTTTTTTTTTTTAAAGTAGAGGACAAAAAAATAATTTTATCTTTCATTTGGACTGAGTTAAGCAGAAAGGAACCAACCCACATTTTGGAAAAAATTGAGTTATGAGTGGTTTTGAACTCAACCACTTCTCTACTATCTATCGCCAAAAATTCAAAGTTTTTGTTGGAACAAATTTTGCAGAAATTGAACTTGAAGATTAACTTTTACATTGAGTCTTATGCAGGAGCTAAACTTTAAGCCTCTTTTTCTCGGTTCGATCCCGATGTGGCTTGGTTCCTTTCTGTTTAACTCCGTCCATTTAATAGTCTTAATATGTTCAAATTTTTACAGAGAACTAAGCAATCACATTTCTCCGTGGACCCTTCGCTTCAGGGACACCGACAAAGAAAAAGATTACAACCAGCAAAAGGAAGCATCATCCAATGTTTCCATTTTAGTCTGCCCCATTGTTTTAGTCTGCACATTTATTGCACAAACAATGATTTTGCCAAGGTAAATATACATTTACACCCCCACATTCATTGAAAGGTGAACAGCAGTCGCCCACACATTGAATGTATCAACAACTGGATTACATTTTGCAATAAGGAACCACTATTTCTGGCCCATTTTAGAAACAACATAGGTACATGCCATTGGTTTCCCTATACAGATATCGACGGTGAAACTACCAAACCACGTATCTCGGTTTGCGACGTCGCAGACTTCCTGTCATACTTTATTTTTTAAATGAAAAACTACTTAACATCCAGTCTTGAAAATTTCTGTGATTTTTCCTCTCTGAGCGGAGAAAATTCCGTGAAAATTTCAAGGAATGATATTGATCTGGTCTACTTCAAAAAAATAAAACGTGAGCGTAGATTTTTAAACACCGCAAACGAGATACGTGGTTTGGTAGTTTCACCGTCGATATGTGCTTTTATGGAAGAGCTAGAGATAGTGCTTCCTTATTGCAAAATTTGATCTAACTATACAGTATATTCTATGGATAGCTCACAATCGGGATATTCTCATCCTTGCAAGTGCAACAGCGAGTAGATTGTTGGCTTGTTATCCAATGACCTTGATCGACAGATAGCACTGCCAAAATAGGGTATTATCGATCAATTTCAATCGATAACGATTCAATAAGCGACCCGCAGGTGCGTTTGTGATAGAGAACAGAGATCCATCACTGAGATTTCCGGTGATTTACCCGTGCCGAAAAATGAATATTTAGGTACAATGTTTAAATGGGAGAATTCACAACTTTTTAGCATGGAATATAAAAATCTTGGATCATTATCCAGGATTTGAAAACAGCTGGCTCATCTGGGGACTATCATACGTCGATAGCCGCAAAAATCATAGAAATCGGCCGAGTAGAACGGTAGAACGAATTGTGACAAAAAATGAAAATTCCGGAGCGTGCTTTGAGACATATCGATTGATCTGCCATTTAAATCTATGGGAAAGGATCGATTCACAGGGTGTTTGCAGCGAGCACCTTAATAATCGATTTTACCATAGCATCAAAGGGGAAAAGTCGATAATCGATCATTCACGCTTCGCCACTAATGATTATGCCAATTTCGGTAATAATCGATATTTACCATAGCATCAAAGGGGAAAAGTCGATAATCGATCATTCACGCTTCGCCACTAATGATTATGCCAATTTCGGTCGCTGATCTGGCCTTAGACCCGGACTTGCGTTACTTAAGAGTAGCGTACCTTTAAATTATTGCAGACTTTGAATTTTAATCTAATCATATTTCTGTTAGCTCTTGCCATGATCGTTAAATTTGTCTCTAGTGGAAAAACCTTTTTATTCTCATTTATTTTTGTTTGTAAACCCGATGTTGATATCAGTGTTTTTTATTTGCTTTCAGGGACGCGTTAAGTTTCTCATCATTTGGCGTAGGATTTATTTTAATTATTATTTTTACTAGTATTATAATAGCTGATATTTTACCGGCGGTGAGTAATAGTCTTCAATCCTTTTTAATTGTTTTGTTCCAAATTAATTTACTTAAAGTCCAAATTTTGCGCGCCGTCGCACCTCTTTCTGAAATGATTCACAATTTACAACAAAAAACAGTGCCAAATAGATTGCAACATCGGAACAAAAAAATAAAGCTTGAAAAAATTATGACAAACTTCACAGAAAATTTACTATCTTGACTAGACATCATCACCCATTTTTTTAACAAGGCTTTACAAGCTCAAATAGTCAATCTACTTCAGGAAATAAACACGCAACAGCAAAGAAGTTTATAACATAGCTTAACTGTCTATTTTCCAAATTTTAAAATGCAATCATATATATTTTCAAGTTGAAACATGCATGAATGCCACCGAGAAGTAATCTTATATACAAAGGGCGCTAACATACGCATATTTCATTTTCGTAATCTTATCAAACGCCTAAATACTATGTGATGCATCTTGATTCAAACAGTTATCCGCAATATTACATAAGTAACAATATGTTACCTCTATGTTTCAAATCCAATGTTTTGATTTTTTCCAGATATTTCCAAACAAACTGGTAAAATGGAGCGAATCTTTAAATAGCGTTTTATGGGCCCGAAGGCTGATTGTTATTGTTGTTGTTATTGTTCTAGGATCAACTAATTTAATAGACTCTGTAAGTATCTATATTTTGTTTTGAAATACTCTGTGGGCAAGAGATTACTATTAAAGAAACTGCATGAATAGTGATTTTCCCTCGAAAAATACACTCAGTCCTTATAAAGTAGAAGAGATTAATTTGATGGCATATTAGTTCGCCTTCAATTTTTAATCAGGCAATCCGAGCTCCCGTGTGGTCGAATAGTGGTATCATCCCCCATATAATCGTCAGACAGTTTCTTACTGTCAGCAAATTTGTTGCTAACACGATAACATTCATTAGAATCGCGTCAACTTGTTCAACTTTTAGTGTAGTTTCCGAAGGAAATACACTATTTTAATGGTGCGCTTCACTAAAAACTCAATGAGAACCATTAAAGTAGTACATGATTTTTACATAAATGTTGATCAAATACGATTATTTCAACGTAAAATTGCAGAAAAAATTGCGCCGCTAACTGAAAAGATCGAGAGAAATTTTGTAGTTTTTGGTTTTATTTTACTCTCTCTGTTTAGTTTACAGGGATGGAGGGCGCCTAACCCATGCTACTAAACGTATGCCAACAGAGAGACTCTGAATTTTTAAAAAAAATTTGAGGCCTCATAAATTCTCCCCCTTTCTTCAAGGGGGCTCTAAATCAGTCTCGTATCAGTTTTAAAAAAAAAAATCATAAATCTGGCATTACAGTTTAGAACCTCCCTTCCTGTATGTGTGCAGAATTCCTCATTTGATTCTCGAATCAGCATGTATTTTGCACGCTAGGATCAGCATATTTTCTAAATTTATAGTCTTGTGATTGTATTGAATGTCAAATTATTTGACTAATTGTATCATTTATTGTTAATTCTTATCAGAAGACTGGTCCAATAATATCAAAAAGTTTCATAGTCTTGTCAACGTGAATTTGAAGGATGGTTTGTTGGTCTTTTCAAGAGGTCGATTCTTTACTTATTCCGTGCTTTGCCTTGGCTTGACATTTATTTTATTTTTATAACTTTTTATTTGTTTGATTAGTAGGATCATTCTTATGTTTCAGTTATCGTGTTTACCTGAACATGTTCCGGGGAATTGCACAAGGTCCGAACCAGCAGATAGCTGTGTCTTTCCCTCGTATTTTACGCACATGTGTGCTCTTGTGCTCATCGCGACTGCTCTTCTAGGACAGTTGTGTTACCTGACCAAGGCAATCTTATTGTATGCAATAACCGTCGCTCATTCCTCTTTCAACATTTTCGTGATCAATAAAGCACTCTATTGTGAGGAGTACCAAACAATATCCAATTTTAATTAGTAAGTTAATTTTTCATTTTCTTTTTAGATGCATTGTCTCAATTAACCCTTATACAGTTTCATGGTTTGTAACCGTTGCGATGGGGAGAAAAATTATGCAAACACAAATTGAATTTGGTTTTTTTTCACATTGATATGAATCTCAAAAATGAATAGAGAGAATTTAGCGTACTGTGAAGACCCACTTCTTTGATCCAATGGCCGGAACCTTACATATTGTTATTTCCGCATGTCATATTCTATCGATTTATTTAGACTATTGATTGTTTCCAACGACTCCAAGCATCTTGAATGATAACACGTTTCCTCTTTTTCTTACAGTTTACTGCCAACACAATACACTATTTCGGAGCAACTATTGGGTGTTATGGCTGCTTTGGCAATATTAGGCCATTATGTAAGTAGATTTCTTCCTACATCCCTCATCGAGCCTAATCGCAAAGTAAAGGCTCCTAATTTAGTGTCGAGATTCTACCTGATAGGAAGGTACCTATAAGAGGAGGTAAAACAATCCGTAAAACAAATTGCGGGAGAACCGTGAAATATAGATAGCAGCCTCAGAGGCCATCCTCTGATTCGTCATTTTTCATTTATTGAAACGCGTAATGTATATCTTCATTTTTTATCCAACCGTCAATGGCTCTATATAGTGAAGATTAATAATTGAACGTTAAAAGGAACCAGAGACTGGTGGAGAAGAAGAGTGTGCTCGTTAGTTAAGGATCATAAAAATGAACGGGAATTATGAAGCGCCAGTGACGTCAGCAGCGATCACGGAGACGACGATCCGCGGATCTAAGTCTGTAACTCATGAGCCCCGTCCACAACGCTCTCGATACGTGCCCGCGGCTCATGAGTTAGCATATTTTAGCGCTTAGTTCCTTTGGATTTAATGTCAAATCCCACTTTTCCATTTTCCCCAAAAGAATCAGGCTCATTTTTACATTGATTCTTATGCAGCTTGCACGAGCATACCTCATCTTTTTCACACATCTCTAGTTGTTTTCAGCATAAATACGTCAAATCAGTGTGCTGTTTAAAAGTTACAGGTACACAAATGACTTCATCATTACTGATTTATATGTTGCGAGTGGCGAATATTCCATGGAAGACCATTTTGGGCTAGAAGCCCATCGCCAGTAAAGTAAAAATTAGCTTACTAACATCACGGTATTGGGTGTCAAGGGTCATAATTTTGTTGATTGACATAAGATCGCCGATACACGGTTTTGCGTACCGTAAGTCCGTGTTTAAGAGATATAGTGGAGCATGCTGGGTACACGGTATATAGTTCAAGATCCTCCGGATACCAGTTAGCTCTGAATGGGTATTCACATTAAGATCCGAAGAGGTAACGTGCTGCACTACAAGGCGGTCAGGGTGCGTACCCCTTATCACGACAATAATCTTAAAAACAGTCGCAAGAGAGTTAAATTATTTGGACGTATTTCTATCAAACGGAACTAAGCGCCATAGGGGAAGGAAGGAAAAGGGGGGCTTGGATTGGCGGAACGCGATGCTCGTTCCGTCCTACACGGAGAAAAAAACTTCGTGCATGGAACCCGAAGTTCAGGTCATATGGATCTCTGAAGTTTTCGGATCTCACAGCCGAAAACTTGAGGTCCAGCTGCCGAAGTTCGGGTCAGACATCTGAAGTACTTAGGTATGTACCGGATACTTCAGATGTGTGACCCGAACCCTTCGGTATGTACCTGTAGTGCGGGGCCGATAAGTGGAAAATATCATAAGAATCGTGCACTTCTGGAAGAAAGCATGAAAATTTCAGGGATTCATCTCTACCCTATAGACATTCGATTCAGACATAGACCCCAAAAATCTGAGCCCCCTGGGGGGGCAGGGGGGCCCCCAAATTTTGAATTTTGAATAACTACTGAACGGCTAATGTTAGCGTAATTTTTNCGATTGTTATGCTTATCGGCCCCACTACTGAGTACTTCAGATGTCTGGCCCGAACTTCGGCAGCCGGACCTCAAGTTTGCGGGTGCGAGATCCGAAAACTTCAGGGATCCATATGATCTCAACTTCCGGTCCCACCCACGAAGTTTTTTTCTCCGTGAATACTCGCAATGATTTTCCATGGCGCTAAGTTCCGTTTGATAGAACGCGCTATCCGGGATTCTAAAATCCTCAAAAGGAACTCAATTTGGCGCTTGGCTCCGTTTAACAGAAATACGCCCATTCCTCGGTAAAATGATTCAGACTCTCAAGATAGCGTAAAAATGTTTCTGTTTGACGTGTTCGTTTTTGTGTGACAGATGGAGAAGGCGTCCAGAGTGCTGTACCTGTGGAAAATCGAAGCAGAGAGCCAGCAAGAGAGGGCCTCGGATATTCGACGTCGAAACGAGGCTCTCGTCTACAATATTTTACCGCCGCACGTAGCAACGCATTTCCTCGGAAACAGGAAACGGCAGCACGAAGAACTCTACAGTCAGAGCTACGCTGAGGTCGGCGTCCTCTTCGCCTCAATGCCCAACTTCTCAGGTATTGATTTGTCGAGATACTACAATACGCAACATTTTTTGAACCACAGGGTGATCCGAAGATCCCGCACCACCCCTATAACCCCTTGGGTTCTTGCCTCTTTTCAGGGTGGTCTCTTTCAAGTTTTAGGGGTTCATAAAAGTTGAGTTCTTTAACCTAGGAGCACTCTCAAATTTCGAGTTTCTATCTCATTTCGTTCAAAAGTCACAGGGGTGACGCCTGGTGGAAGTGATGCGGGACTTTTGGATCACCCTGTCTACACGGTGCAAAAGGCTCGTGACATTTGGGCGTATTTCTTTCAAACGGAATTATGTGCATTAAGACATGAGCCTGAGACTCATAATATATAAGCGTAACAGACTTCATGCCGTAATGCACATAGTACCGTTTTATAGAAATACGTCCATTTATAATACAATTGGTCTGTTGATCACTTAATAGCTATGTACTAGGAGGCTATGTCCCCTGGCCGCTACGCGGCCCAACGTAGTGCTTTAATCATAACTTGTCTAGTGACCCACTAGCGAAATCCGTATAGTGGATTATAAAAAGAGAGATAGAAAAAACCTATTTCAGGTAAGTATAGACAAGAAAAAAACACAAAAAGCGTTGCCCAGACTGTATATAACAAGGTGGTAAAATAGTGTCCCTAAGTCAACACTATTCTGAGAGGAAAACAAGGCCGAAGAGTTAAAAAATTTCAATTAGAAAAAAAAATAATATCTTGACGAAAGATGGTCTACATATTCTCTGAGTCCCTACATCAAAATCACTGATAATAATGGAAAATAGGGTCCTAAAGTAAGGAGAGAGTTCATTTCCAAGCATCACTCAGCGAATGCAAGGAAAGAAAAAGCTTTTATTTTTCGGACTCGTCCAAAACAATTTTTTCAGGATTTGCCTTTATTGTAAGATTTTCTAAATTGTTTTTCTACACGTAGTGACTAGGATGAATCTCATTGTAGACGTCCCAATTGAAAGAAGGCTTCCTCAGTTCTCAGAAGTAATCTGGTTTTTCTTTCGTAAATAGCGTAAATATTACGAAAATATTTTGAATTGAACTTCTTGTTTCGAATTCCAGATTTTTACTCTGAGGAGACGGTTAACAACCAGGGTTTAGAATGTTTAAGATTTTTAAACGAAGTTATATCTGACTTCGACGCGGTAAGTTTGTTCAAATCTTTTCTTCATTTACGTATCTGAAACTCAAGAAACATACCTGTCTCCAATCTGATTTTACACTCTTCAATTTTTTCATCACGATTTTGACCTTACTTCTTTCAATCAGCAATAATATAATTCGTATATTTGCCGATGAACCTTTATTTTATGTATATCTGATTAAATCCAAGAAAATCGAATATGGCGACGGCGAGGTTTTGAAGCTCTAATATGTACTTTCAAGTTCTTATTTAAAATTTTCGCCAACGTGCATTCACAATTCAGTCTGAGGCTGATGTCTCATTCAGTCATTATAGAGAGAAGAAAATCACACGATCACTTTTTTCAGGAGAGTTTTGCTGTTTGGCGCCTGACCAAGGACAATAAGCTCGGTCGATGGGTCCAATTCGACCTGAAACGCGTCTGCAGTTGCCACCCTGATTGGATGTAACTAGCATTGCACCAAACAGTATAGCTCTCGTGAGGAATTTAACCTCGGATGATCTTTTTCTACAATTAGGAATTAGTATTAGACAAAATTTTGAACGAACGTAAGTAAAGTTACGAACAGTCTTGCCAAAACGACTTGGGCGATTTGAGCAGAGAGAGCCTCTATCATCGATACTATTAGCAAAAAATTCCCAACACGTGATTCCAAAAATCTGCTCCACAGAGTAGAACACTGCGGTGTTGCACTCATATCTGCGTTCTGTTTTGAAACATTAAAGAGAAAGAAGAAACAAACAAATGATACCTATAAAAAATTGCATTTTTCTTTATAGCTGTTGGAGCAACCGCAATACCAGGATATAATTAAAATTAAGACGATAGGATCTACCTACATGGCTGCAAGTGGTTTGAACCCAACGAGAAAAGTCCTGGTGAGTCAAGTGTACGTTTACTTCTTTCACGCGCAAACCCCTTGATTTCCGGATTATCCCGTGCAAAACGTACCCAATAAAATGAATTTTCGAGTTTAGGAAATATTTATTTATTTCTGAATACGTGTAAATCCTCTTGCAGGACACAAGTACTGCTGAGCTATACATAAGCTAAACTCATCTGAGATTATTCACTTTCGTGTGGTCGTTTTTGAATTTATATTGAAAATCGATCATAGATTGAAAACTCATATAGGGACCTTTAATTTTTTTTTTCAAAATGATTATTGATTCGGACACATCATAGCATATTTTAGGCGAACTTCACCTTGACTTATCTCTTTCAAAAACAAGAGACACCAGCGCTTATTGATGACGGGGCAGAGATACAACTATTCGTGCTTGATGGATGGCCGGGCTGCATCCGCAAAACTGAAGGCGCGCTGGCGCGAGGAGTAAACTCAAGATGATCCGCTAGGGTGTTTTAGAGAAAAAAAAACTATTTTTGAAAATCTTTGCTCCCTTGAAAATTCAGCCTCAATTCGTTATTCTAGACTCGCGTCTTCCAACGCGGTTTTAGGGATGGATATATTTTTTTAGCAGGCTCTTTTTCATTCAAGTATATCGACGGCCAAACCACGTATCTTTGTTTGCGGCGTTGCGGACTTCCTGTTATACTTTATTATTTCATTGGGAAACTAGTAAACGTAATTAATCTATACTTACCGGCGTTAAATGCATGTAGGTATGATGATCGCATCGTTAAATGTGAATCTCCAGCGCGCAACTATTCGAACTCCAGAGTCTTCTTTCCGCGATATTGCACTGGTAAAAAAACCTCTTGGTTCAAGAGTGCAGTTTCTTGTCACCGGGTTTAAGAGTCTGGACTCTTGTTTCAATGCAAAATACGCTTGAATCAATGCAAAATTCGCTTAAATCACAAGAGTTCAAGACTCTTAAATCCGGCGACAAGAAACTGCACTCTTAAGTCAATGCAATGCGGCATTGATCCAACAGTTTTTTTTTACCAGTGTGAGGTAATACGCGTAATCTTTGGTGTTTTACAAAATCGCGTATTTGCCGCAATACTGAGATGAGAGTTACCACAGGGGGCTTTTCTGAGGGAGGGATATGTTTCTTTTTCCCCGCTTGAATACTCATTAAAAAGAATCATTCGAACACATATTGAAACTTCTTGACCAATGGAAAAGAAATGTGAAAAAGAAAAACCAGAGCACGGATTTGCTTATGAGCTGAAGCCCCCTGAAACTGCATGTTCCTCCTAAGTGTGCCCCCAAGTTAGAACCATGGTGACTTGGTTCTCGTCGGATGAGTGTTAATGAACAATTTTAATTGAAGAATCGTCAAAAAAATGTCCTATATGCGAGTATATAGCTTGAAAAAAAAGAGAAGCAATCCTCATAATCAGCCCATTTTTTGGGGAAAAGGGGGGTTTGGGTCCAATTAGAAATAAGCAAGTCCAAAATTTGACTCATATTCATATTACTGAAGTCCATCAGCACCAGGAATTCTGAGTGGAGCAAATAAGGTTTCCAGAAACAAAGTTATTCATAAAAACCCACCAATGAGGTGTCACTCAGATTCGGGAGAGGAGTTAGAAAACGAGGCCCAATTACGTCTCTCCTATCTTCGGCTATGTATATGGGTGATTTCACGATAATAGGAATAGCCGTGTCGCTGTGGGTTATGAACGACATAGGGCAAAAAGATCGAAAACCAAATTAATTAATCAATAGGAATGGTGTCCCTGAGCCTATACATGCTAAAAAATATGATGAATTATTACTATATTTAATAATATGAGACTTTAAAGGCCGAAAATGTCCGGTCGGTTACGCGTCGCCAACCCCGATTTTGAAGCAAAAGAGCAACTTGCGGTAACAAATCAGTACTGATCATGAACTCTTTGACAATATTTGCTGAAAAGAGACTCTAGTGTTCAAGAAAAATGCCAGTTTGAACTGAAATGTTTATTATTGAGCGGGAAAAGTCATAAGAAAGAGGTGTCGCCATATTTGGCAACACATTTTTGCAGTTGTATAAAGTGCAGTGTTTATCTCGCCAGATGGAGTCAGGAGTTTCAAAACTGCCATCAAATTGTTCTCTGAAGTCTTCTTCACAAAACCATTACTGATAAGTCAGTTTTTTTTACCATGAAAACTTTAATTATTATGAAAACCAGTGATTTTTACGTGTGTAGCACTAATTCCTCACTACGCAAAAACCGCAATTTAATAGTATTAAACTGAAAGGAAGTCTCCAAAGTTTAGAAAACCTTTAAGGCAGCATTAATTCCACCTCATAACTCAAGAATTGCCAAGTTTCATCTTTGGTATCATCTTTAATCTCACATTTTTGAGTGTCGGTTACGCTGTGTCTGTTACGTAACCGACACAATTTGGCAGGGCCGCCATGTTTGCGTGGTCCTCCAGCAGTCCCGCGGAAAGCGCTGATACCTGATTCAATGGCTTGTTTATCAATCACTTTAACTTTGCACTGAATCAAAATAGAGCGTGGCAAAGCTGGAAAAAGGAAGTTTAATACCTTTAAAATGAGGTAATGAAATCCTGTTAAAATTGGTGCACTTTTATTTCTAAGGTATTTCACATTTTAACTATTCCTGTTATCGTGAAATCACCCATATGTAGCCCTTTAGGCACTACTACCAATAAGACAAACGGAAGCAAATACAATATAGAGATAGAGCAAAGAAGAGGACGCGCGATGATGGCGGCGCAGAGATACAACTATTCGTGCTTGATGGATGACCATGTTGCATCTGCAAAATTGAAGGCGCGAGGCGTGAACTCGCAATGCTACGCTCTATGCTGCCAATTAGGTGTCGCTCAGGCTCAGATTCGGGAAAAAGTTAAAATAAGAAGGAGGTTCGAACCGCCTCTTCTATCTCCAGCTGTTTATTTGACACTCGATTTTTCCTTCTTTTTTTTCAGTTTGATGTGTCAGTTCCCTAATTGTCAGTTTGTGTTAAATTTTTGATGATTCTTATTTAGGGTGTATTTTTAGACCGATACCTAAAGCTTGTACGTACGGTCCCATACGATCCGCGGGGGTCGGGTCAATTTGACCCGTCTTGGGTATATAAGGGTTAAACTGATAACAAGTAATAAAACCTCTCTTTTGATTCAGCCATTGGATAATATGAGGAGAGCTCAAAATGTTTTAAATGTTACATTTATTTTTACTGTGCGCAAATTTATATTCTTCTTCCTTAAAAAATGTATGCATATTTTATCGCAATTTTGTGTATTTTGTTTTTCAGGCTGACGATCCGATCGAAATTAGGTGGGCACACTTATCTTTACTTGTGGAGTTTGCTTTGGATTTGAAGAAAGCATTACAGAGCATAAATGAACAGAGCTTCAATCATTTTGTTTTAAAAATGGGTGAGTAGTTTCATTTAATTTTTGGTCGTTGGGTAGGTCCCCATTCGTCACGAAGTTTATGTAACATTGGACCATAGGATGACCCTTACAAATCATATTACATAATGACAAAATAGATATCAAGTTCATAATTCAAACATTTTACGCTACATATTTCATTTATTTCTGTGTCTATTAAAAATTTAAATGTTCCTGAGCATCAAAGAACAGAAAGCGCTCAAATCGTGGGAGCTTTTCAAAACAGTTCTTTTTTCAAATTTTCAGTGATATAAAACAAATTATAACTCAGTTAAATGGGACAACCTCACAAAAAAATTTCACACTTAGTTTAAAATCATCAAGAAAAGTCGCAAACAAAATAAAATTATAAATTTTTACACGAGCAAGATAAAAAAAGCAGTAAAAACTAAAATGCATTTTCTTTTAAATATAAACAGAAATGAATAAACTTGAAAAGTAATGACCATCAGATTTTATGGGATGTACTAAAAGAGTAAAAATTGATGAATTGTGTTTGAATTATTTAAGAGTACCTATATATTTAACATTTTCAGGTATAAACCATGGTCCAATCACAGCCGGAGTTATAGGAGCAAGAAAGCCTCATTATGATATTTGGGGCAATTCGGTGAATGTTGCTTCAAGGATGGAGAGTACAGGCAAAGCTGGTTGCATCCAAGTAAGAGACACTGATCTTCGGATATTAATGGTGTTTTTTCTCAATTGAAGAACTAATAATATTTTTCAGATTTCAGACATTTTATATTTTCGAACCCTTTATTATTTCCCTCTCCAATTGAAGGGCCTTGGGGACAAGGCACATAAGTGCAGTTTTTGCTATTTCGAGAAGTATCCGTTTGAAGTTTCGAAATTACATGGATCCTTTTGGCGGAAAGGAAGTTTAAACTGACTGTTTAATGTTTAAAAATTGAAATTTGAGAGCGATTTTTTCACCAAATATCTTTAGGGCTAGTTCAACTTGAAATCATTAATATCTCAATTTCTTCAAAACCTGCACTTATGCGCCTTGTCCTCCGAGCCCTTCATCAATGGTTTAACGGTGAAAAAATTCATATCCCATTATATCAGGTGACCCAGACCCCTCGCACCAGGATTTTTTTCCGGTTATCTCGAGTCGGACGAGGTTGGAATGGATTTCCGTTCGGGTTGAAAAAGTATCATCATGCTATCGTACCGTTTCGCATGACGATCCTCAAGATCCATGAGTTTTGAAAATTCAGAAACCATACGCATAGATCTTAATTATTATTCTTAAACAGTGGTGATATTGCAAGTTGGCAACTCTGCTTTTCTTCAATTTAAAGCCATTAAAAATATCGATTATGGGTGAGGCAAGCTGCCTAAGCAATAATCGATTGTTTTACATGCATTTTAATGGAGGGAAAACAGTAATACCAACTTTCAAGAATAGCCACTCTACCGTGCTAAGGAAGAACGCCGTATGAACCTTTAGACGTTGCTAGATTTCCTTTACTAAAAACCAATTTACTGAAACAGTGTGAATATTTCCCTTCCAATTTTACAACACAATTTTCCTTCCACACAATTGTATTCGCAATTTGATCTTAAATATCTAAAAATTTCAAGGAAAAATATGAATAACAAGGTGGAGAAATGGTGCTGGCAGGGTCCACACCATTTCGCGGGGAAACCAAAGCCAAGAAATTCCAAAAATCATGATTAGAGTCAAAACTAACTTGTACTGATACTCATTAGAGTTAAAAAAATTATTTTTAACTCTAATCATAATTTTTGGAATCTCTTGGTTTTGATTTCCCCGCGAAATGGTGTGGACCCAGCACCATTTCTCCACCTTGTTACATACCTACAGTGTTCGGGCCACTTCTTCGTGTTTTTTTTTTTTTTTTTCTTAACATGAGTAACTTTCCTTGAAAGATACAAGTTTTAATCGGGAAAATTTGGCAATCCTCAAATGTTCATACGGCGTTTTCATTTACAGCTCGGCAGCACTGTTCTTGGTTCCTAATACACGACTGTCTTTATTTGGCAGGTCACTCAAGAGACCTCGGAAATTTTGCAACATTTCGGTTACAAGTTCGAGCAACGAGGGCTGGTGGCGGTCAAAGGGAAGGGGCAGCTCATGACGTACTACTTAATCGGGAGGCAAACGAGCCAGTTGTGCATGGAGCCGAAAATGGAGACGCTTAAAGAAGAGGACGAAGAGGAACTCGAAGGAGAGACGGAAGAGACGCAAGTTCACCTTTCATTGGCCGACTCGGAGAAAGAGGCGCTCCTCGCGGACAAACCGCCCGAACCAAACGAAGAAACGACGTAGGAATAAGTTGTGGTGGCGATATCAAATCGGTTTTTTCGGTAAATCGATTTTTTGGAAAAAAAATAATCGAGAAAATCGAATCGATTTTCTGTTGCCGATTTTTAATCGAAATCGATTTTTCGAGCAGAAATCGGAAGTATTGAAAAAAAAATCGAAATTTCCTACGTTAATGTGGAGCAAGAAGGTCTATGTTCTGTGAAACCCGAGTTTCATTTCAAGTTCAGTTTTAGTGGCCGTTTTGTTTCTGGCGTCGAGGGTGGATTTTTAAGTGTTTTAAAATCGATTTCGAAGAAAATCGATTTTTACTTAAATCGATTTATTAAAAAAATCATTATCCCTGGTATACAGAACAAGCCATAGGGTCGTAGTCATAGTCCTTCTTTAGACAGCTGGTTACTTTGGAAAGTTTCATTCGGTTTACATTGTGATTGAAAAAGGCTCAAAGAGCTTCTTAATACAGCAACACAAAAAGTACATAAGTACAAAAGTAGTAAAGTTCAACGGAACATCTCTTAAAATGGATCTTTCCAAGAGATTACAATGATTCACCCCAGCAAAAAATATACAAAATACAAAGGAAAAAAATGCAAGTTTTGTAAAAACTGGCATGCGATAAATACATCATGTGTATTAAGTAAAAAACCTCGGCAAATTCTGACTTTTTAGCCACAAAAAAGACGCTAGCCATCACTCATGAGCCTGTAGAAACATTTTTAACCGGAAAAATTGCAAAATTCAGAGCGATGAAGGTGTAATTCTTTTCGGAATAAAACGTTGCATTCGATACAAAGGTCAAGGCGAAGTTTTTTTCCAAGAAGAATCCTGCTTTCATTTCTATGAATTTTGCGATGTTCCTAGTCGAGAATGATTCTTTTGGCTCATGCGCAAGGGTTATCCTCCTTTTTTCCAAAAAAAAAAAAATCAAAATCTACCGAGATGTTTTACTTAATTGACACAATACACCGCACGCCAGTTCGACCACGCCAGGAACCCTAGACGAATCATCTTAAATGGACTGCATTTTGCAATTTGGAACTATAAATTCTGGCCCGGTTTAAAAACAACGTATGTGCCATTAGTTTCCCTATGCACATACGTGTTTTTCAGATGAGACAGAATTTATAGCTCCAAATCGCAAAATTCAGTCCAAATGATCTGCATCAACGATTCTGCCGTGCCAGGAAAAACGCCGTATGAACCTTCATATGTTGCCAAATTTCCTTTGATAAAACGTGAATTTCTTGGTAAATTTATGAATATTTTCCTTCCCATTTTTCAGATGATTTAGTTCACAATTTTACCTAAAGATTCTGAAAATTTAAAGGAAAAATATTCACAACTTCTCTCAAAAAATAAACATTTTATCGAAAGAAATTCGGCAAGTCTCGAATGTTCGTACGGCGTTCTTCCTTAGCACGGCATGCAGTATTGGTGCTCTGACGTCATTGTGTCATTGCATGTGTGAATAACTAGGGAGTATTGCATCACTTTATGATTTGTGCTGTTTTTTTTTTTTTTTTTTTTTTTTTTTTTTTTTATTGACCAAAAGACCTTCCAAATACGCGTAAGTTACTCATCGACGGTGTCCAACGTCGTGATGTATCGATTGATCTGCCATTTAAACCTAGGAAAGGATCGATTAACAGGGTACTCGCAACGAACACCTTGATAATCGATACTTTACCCTTTTGAAGCTATAGCTTCAAATGGGGAAGTATCGATAATCGATCACTCACGCTTCGCCAGTGCTCCGAACGTGATCCAAACGGATTCAAGCAATATAAAAAGTATATACTCGGTATATTTTTACAACGAATGTTGATGCGGAAGTGCCAAGTAGAATTTTGATTCGAGTAACCCATTCTCACGGAACACGAATAGGACGTACATAAAAAATATGAGTTTCAGTCAAGAAAACTTATTCAAAGTCAATTTGTTTTGTAATTCGGCATCTAAATTTTGAGCTCAAAGTGTTGCCAATGTCTCGGAAGAGCCCTCAAAATGATAGGTACCATAATATGACAAGTTTTGCTCTCCAGGTTCCCCGAGACAGAATTTATTCTCGTACGTATACCTAATGAAAGAGAAAAACATTAAAGTAAAAAACTGAACGGAATATTATCCCGCTAGTGCATGGAGATTACTGACCTGCCACCACAGCCTTAATTTTTTTGCCATGAGGGCGTAGGATATAGGCTCCATGAATTCTTTTTACCTCATGTGCCAGCAACAGATCTGAGGAAAATTTAAAATATGTCGGTAACTTTGTGCTATAGCTACCTTTTCCTCGCATATGAAATGGATGTGATGAAGAGAGGCTTGTGAGGATTTTTTAATTGTTTTTTTTTTTTACTTATCCTTTGCGTCATGATAGACATTTATTCGTGACCGTGACTCTGATTTCATAAATTTCAAATCTTTCAATTAGTTCTGGATTTCTCCGAAGTAGAATTTCACTGTCGAAAAAACACGTAACAATCTACCATACCTAGGTAGCAAGCTTCTCTTTATACCTGTCAGCATTTATTACAGCACTACCTTTAATTAAATAATTGGTGTATGATTTCTAATATAGGCAATACTGATAAGAAACAGTCCGTACCAATACACCCCCATGATCTCATATAAATGTTTGTTACCTAATTTCAGTGTACATAGGATTATTGTGATAGAATTATATTTTTTATTGAAATGTATTATACTGTAAAAATATTTTCTTATAATGTTTATTAAATTGTGCACGAAGTACCTTTATAAGGTACCTGTTTTTAAATTATTTTTGACCATTTGAAGTACCTACATTGTATTGGAGTGATCGCGAAAAGTGGAAAACTCATATGAGAGGGTAAAGTAACTTTTTCTTTTATGAGTTTCATGCGAAAAATTCAGAAAAGTGAATAAGTATTGAGTAAAATCCAGGAAGGATTGAGTGCCCTGGTAAAAATTGGCAGTAGAATATGTGTTCCAAAATACCATAGACCTACAGCCGGCTGTAAGATTTCCAATAGCTTCTATAGCCGGCTAAACAATTTCTTATAGCCTTTTTAGCCGATGGCGATTAAGCAACAGCCAGGCAATAAGGTGTATGCTCAACGTAACTAATTACGGATGCTAGGACCTAGTGAGTTTTTGGAATACTGCACTCTTTTTGGGCCGTGGTATCTTGATTTATTTTGGGAGGAAAGCTCCGTACTTTTGATGGATGCCTGCCATTACTAATATATTAGAGCGCCTTCAGTTTCGTATGATACTGTGCAATACCTCTGGTGTGAAATAGTTGCTTCAGACGCCGCGGCACGCTGCAGCGCGGCGGGCGGGCAGAGAGCGCGAAACGCGCATTGGCGCCTACAAACCTAACAGGGATACTTCACGCGTTGCGCAATACGTGAAGTATCCCTGTTAGGTTTGTAGGCGCCAGTGCGTCGCCGCTACGCTTTGTGTTAGGCTCTAATATTTAATCTAGCGGAATCAGCGTTATTCAACTCATGATTTTTAAATGGACGTATTTCTATCAAACGGACGTAAGCGCCATAGGGTGAGGAAGGTAGAGGGGGGCTTGGATTGGCGGCGGAATCGGGCGTCCGGCTTATTCCGTACTATACTCGCAATGCTTTTCCATGGCGCTTAGGTCCGTTTGCCAGAACGCGCTATCCTGGATTCTAAATTCCTCAAAAGGAACTCAAATTGGCGCTTAGTTCCGTTTGATAGAAATACGTCCAAATGTTTGCACATCCTGTATGGATTATTCTCATTTTAATTGATGAAAAAAAATATGTACTGAAGGAAAATATAATGTGGGTTTTGTAAATATTAAGGTGATTCTGTATCAAACTTAATGATTTCCAAAGCACACGAATTTCTACACAATTTCTTATAGCCTTTTATAATCGATGGCGAAAAAGCAACAGCCAGGGGGCAAAGTGTAAAGCCCGGCGATAGGAACTATTGCCCGGCTGCATAATTTTTTATCGCTTCGTATAGCCCGATTTTCTCCGCATTCTACAGCCAGCTACGAGTAAATGATTTTCTGTAGCCTTCTTTGGCCGGCTATAAGGATTCATATGGTATTTTGAAACGCAGCTCTTATCGCCAATTTTTACCAGGGATTTTCAACAAGAGTAACAACCCTAACCTGTAACCTGTCTGGGAAATTAAATGCGATCTGATTACAATTTTACTGACCATTAGTTTGCCCTTTACCCCTGTACCAAATTTACAGCCTGCTCCTTTCCCTTAAAGCTGCATACGTTTGATTCGTACCTACAATAATTTACATATGTGTTTCTTTAAAAAGGCAACAGAAGCATTGTTGTCTGGTGCATCGTTTCAAATTCATGAATAAAAACTCTGTCTGTTCTTTCTGTCTCCGTTATTTTGAAAAAAATTGTTCCTCGCATCGACGGCGGAACTGCTGAGATGCATATTTCGGTTTGTGTTATTGCAGACTTCCTGTTATTTCTGCGTGGAAAACAAACGCTTCTCTTGAGCACTACGGTGATTTTTTTTCTTTATGTGAAACATTTTCCGTGAAAAATTTCAAGCCACAATGTTGGCTTGGTTTTCTTTTAAAAATAAAAACCGAGCGGGGATATTGAAACAGAAACCTAGACACGCTTTTTGGCAGTTTCATCGTCGATTTGGACATATTTCTGAGAAACGGAACTATGTGCATTCAGAAATGAGCCCTGAGACCCATAAGAACATATGCATGGCACGGCTCACGTCATAATGCACTTAGTTCCGTTTGGCAGAAATACGTCCAAATTGATTCCTTAGTTCAATCAAATAGGTACAAGTGAGAAGCTCTAGTGGGTACCTACCTAAGTATTCTGCCGTGGTAAGGAAAAACGCCGTATGAGCCTTCAGGCGCTGCCAAATACTCTTTGATAACACACGAATTTCCTGGTAAACTTATGAATACTTATTCTCCTTCCAATTTTTCATATGAATTTTTTCGCAATTTCACCTGAAATTCTGGAAAATTTCAAGGAAAAATATTCATAACTTACCTCAAAAATAAACATTTTACCGAAAGAAATTTGGCAACACTCGAATGTTCATACGGCATTCTTCCTTAGCACGGCATTTTAGGGCGAACCAAATGATAACAACTATTGAGCCAATGCACCAAATTGACCCAAAAATTACGAAGAACAAAACCCTTTACTTACTTTACACATACCCTGTAGGTATGTGGGAAAATCAACTGACAACTGATCTAGAAGACCATTGATAGGACTGAGTTTATGAAAAAGGAACCAATCCACCTGTCATTATTTATGACTCCCTTCTAATTTTCACCATAAAAAACAAAAGTAACAATCCAATTAAATACCTTCGATTCAACATCAGGGACCGTGGTTTTTTTTCGGTAAAAAGAAAATGAGGAAAATAGAACTAAATAAAAAATGGCGACGAAATTTCCCTTGATTTTAATCATAATCGTTCGTAAAATTATTGTTAATTTTTCAGAGAATCTGCGCGTATCTTTCAAAAAATTTGATGGAAATTGACGCGTTCAATGTGGTTTGCAACGTTGCAATCCAGATAAATAAGCTCCATTTCGCGTGGAATCAACCATCGATATTTGAGTTTGTTCTCGGCAGGCGTAACATACAACTATTTGACCACGGGTGTACGCTTGTTGCAGCTCCGCCGGATTGAAGGCGTTTCATACTGCGAAGATGTCTTGACTGTTCACCGCCCTGCCGACCCTCGCGAGCGGGACGAACGCTAAAATCGCTGCGACACTTCAACAACACGTCATTGTTTATGATTCCCTTCTAATTTTCACCATAAAAAACTAATGTAACAGTCCTAATACCGTCGATTTATAATCAAGGACCATGGTTTTTTTTCGTTAAAAAAAAAATAAGGGAAATATGACTAAATAAAATATCGCGACGAAATTGCCCGTGATTTTAATCAAAATCGTTCGTAAAATTATTGTTAATTTTTCAGAGAATCTGCGCGTATCTTTCAAAAAAAATTGACGCGTTAAATGTGGTTTGCAACGTTGCAATCGAGGTAAATAAGCTCCATTTCACGTGGAATCAACCATCGATTTATGAGTTTGTTTACGGCAGGCGTAACATACAACTATTTGACCACGGGTGTGCGCTTGTTGCAGCTCCGGCGGATTGAAGGCGTTTCATACTGCGAAGATGTCTTGACTGTTCACCGCCCTGCCGACCCTCGCGAGCGGGACGAACGCTAAAATCGCTGCGACACTTCAACAACGCGTCATTGTTTATGACTTCCTTTCTAATTTTCACCATAAAAAACTAAAGTAACAATCCTAATACCTACCGTCGATTTAAAATCAAGAACCATGGTTTTTTTTCGGTAAAAAAAAATAAGGAAAAGAGGACTATTTAAAATATCGCGACGAAATTGCCCGTGATTTTAGTCATAATCGTTCGTAAAATTATTGTTAATTTTTCAGAGAATCTGCGCGTATCTTTCAAAAAATTTGATCGAAATTGACGCGTTCAATGTGGTTTGCATCGTTGCAATCCAGGTAAATAAGCTCCATTTCGCGTGGAATGAACCATCGATATTTGAGTTCGTTTACGGCAGGCGTAACATACAACTATTTGACCACGGGTGTACGCTTGTTGCAGCTCCGCCGGATTGAAGGCGTTTCAAACTGCGAAGATGTCTTGACTGTTCACCGCCCTGCCGACCCTCGCGAGCGGGACGAACGCTAAAATTATCGCTGCGACACTTCGACAACGCGTCATTATTTATGACTCCCCTCTAATTTTCACCATAAAAAACAAAAGTAACAATCCAAATACCTTCGATTCAAAATCAGGGACCGTGATTTTTTTTTCGGTAAAAAGAAATTAAGGAAAATAGGACTAAATAAAATATGTCGAAGAAATTTCCCTTGATTTTAATCATAATCGTTCGTGAAGTTAATGTTGATTTTATAACATCTTCTCTCTCAATTTTCTCATTTCGATATTGTCGGTATAATTTTCATGCGGGCTAAAACATACCTGATGCTTGGATCAAGACACTGTTGCTTATTTTACGCGTGGACGTAAATTACTGGACAAGACAAGTGCGAGGATGAAAAATTGTTGACGGAATGTCCTGAAACCTTCTAGATAGCAAATTGCATGTAACTAGAGGTCTGCAGTATCCGAAACTAAGATACATGGTCTCTGAGGTTAGCTGTTGATTAGCGAAATTAGTAAATTATGGACATCAGAACTGAATAAGGTAGGTAAGGGAAAATTCTATGTAGACGGAAGAGTTGATGATTTTGCCAATGCGCGTTAAAATTTGGTAAAAAACTTAAATTCTCATTGAAGAGGGAATAAAGAGCTCATTTGGGCACAGTTTCCTGGGGGGGAAAATCTGTTTGGTAAAGTCACTGACTCTTCTCTCTGAACGACTCATGCTTGGATCCACATTTTGATTGAATTAGGAATGTTATTGGTGGGTGCACTGACTCTCTCCAAACTAGATTTTTCCCATGTGCACATTACGGATCATACACAGCTCCATTTAAATAAGATTTGCTTGGTTATTCAAATCAAACCTCTTTGGATGCATATAATTTTGAAAGCACAACATTTCTTCTTTTCTGCGAGCTGAAAGTCTAACGAAAGATTTTCAGTTTGCAACCAATCTCAATTTTAGGAGGCGAATCTTCATAAAAACTCCAAGAGTTCATTCATCATTGGTTGCAAGTGGTTCCTTTAAAATTGCCCCAAATTTTCTTTTTTAAAAAAATTTACGTAAGAATAATAATACTGTAACCCTGAAAAACTTCCTTGCCACTGTCACTCACAGAATTAATGACCAAAAAGATAACGAACACCCTCTCTTAACAGTATAGAGACTAAATAAGGTCGTATGAGGTCAGAAACAATGTTAAAATTTATTAATGAGTAAAACATAACAAAACATAAAAAGAGATATAATTTATGTCATTGAAATTCTATCAAAATTTCACTTTCAGCAACTTGGTCTCCCGCTTTGATATTGATGGTCTTTACAACTGCATCTTGTGTTGCAGGAAGAGAATTTTGCATTTTCATGGCCTCTGAAAAAAAGAACATAAATTGTCATGTTGATCATTCAGGAAATATTCAGGTTAAGCCTTTGATGATTAAATCAACATTTTAAAAAAATAACTACTCAAGCTTGTTTTAGGAGCTTTCAAATATTCGTCTTAACTCCATATTAAAATTTCATTGGTAATCATGTACAAGAAGGAGGACATTTGTCCACAAAAACATAAAACTCAGTAACCAGGGTGTCTACAGAAATCCAAAAACAAAAATACAGCACTTTTATTTGGCCGTAAAAGACCATTTTTGCCCCCCCCCCCTCCAAAAAGTATGACCTCAAGGCTAATAAAAAAGCTTCCAGTTTCCATTAAAAAGATGGTTACATTGCTGCTGTCCACAAGCAATTGCGGATTGGTTGGAGGTGAGCATGACGCTGCTGTGCACAGATACCTACCTACCAGAAAGACAGCGTACAAATGTTTGAGAGTAGCCAAATTTCCTTCGATGAAATGTTTCTTTTAAAGGAGTGTTATTCATATTTTCTCTTAAAATTTTCAGATAATTCAGATTTGATTACAAATAAAAATGTTCATTCGGCGTTTTTCCTTAGCATGGCAGAAATGTTTTAGTGTGCATAATCATTCACTTGAGAAGACTTTTTGACATCCAAAATTTTTTCCACTTTAGTTGATAAGTGCTGGATGTTGGCATTATTAAGACTATTCGAATAAACTTCAGCATTTTAACATTACCTTTTTCAGTGGCGTAATCCACGAAGCGCAGGCCCACGCAGGCGACTGGGCCCTCTAGAGCCGTAGCCCCCCTCCCCGCAGGTCCTACATTTACGCCACTGGCTTTGTTAATGGATGAGAATTATCTCAATAATCCATCATAACTGGTATGATTAAATTAAAGCTAAAACTTACCTATGATACAGAGCTCTTGGCCTTCATATACTTTGTCGCCTACTTGGCAAGTAACTGATTTCACAATGCCAGGCATTGGCGCCAAAAGAGTCTTTGACACATTGGACTGAAAAGAAAATTTTGAAGACATTAGTATCATTATATTTGCACAGCATTTGTTTCCCCTTCTGTTGTTGGCTCAGGTGCAACAACATAAACTCTGACCGGTAGAATAGGAGATTCCTAATTCCTGGCACAGATTTCCTGATTTTTCTCAGATTTTCCCTGAGATATTTCATACCCTGATGAGTCCCGGTTTTCTCCGGTCCCAGACACCATACTTTTGCCTCCTTAGATACTGGCAAAAGTACCAGTATACCTGTCGTGTTCCCTTAAATCCAGTTTCCTCTTCCTCTTGCATTCGCAATAAATTCGAAGGTCAAAATTTCAATCAAGTCAGTTCTCATATACATTGACCTCTCCATAGCCTTTGGCTACTTTACGTTGCATTATGCTGATGTAAATTAAAACGATACGTAAAATTCAAAAAAGGGGGGAAATTTTTTGAATAATTAATGAAATTAGGTCAGAAATATATTGGATTTTATAACATGTTTCTTATATCTTAAATGCTCAGAGTGCCCAGGTGAGTTGAACAGGATTAAAAAAGTTTTGTAAAAATTCGACAAAAGAGGTCCCACTAGATGGGTTAAAGCAAAGGGAACTCAAAATTTGCAGGACTGCACAGTGCACCTCATTTTGCAACAAATTTTTTAAACTTGCTTCAAGTGAAAATCTGTGTTTCAATTATTTTTAATTTTTTTAATTTGAAGAAAAGAGGGGGAGAGAGAGAGAGAAACGATGGGCACAATTTTACTTTAAGGGTACCCCGGGCTCTCCTTTAAAATACTAAATTTTCAACACACCCTGTACAAATGCCAATTAAGAATTCTAATTGACTTCCCTTTCATTTCATAATTTTTTAATAATTATGATGATTTTTGTAATGACCTGTCCTTACCTTCTGTTTTTTGGGTAACAGAGCAGCCAATTCAGATGCGTCTTTAGTCAACACCCGTATTTTGTAATCAGATCCTTCAAAGCTAGAAAAAAAAATATATAGTTATGACGTATGTGAAAAATACATAAATGAAGACCTCCTGAATGCATTTGTTCTCATGTACATCTTGGTCCGTGAAATTCTATTCAGACCCTATCAGTGCCATAAGTACATATAATATTTTAAGACAAAAACAATCTTCGAAAAATTGCTGTGTAATTGATGACTCAAGTCGAGGCACGTGCATCTCAGATTGCAACATCGTAAGTCTACACTCATGCTTCAATTTTTTGACGTAAAACAAACCAGCAGTTTCTACGGAAATTTTCTATGAATTTCAAGACACTCATTAAGAAAAATTACACAGAATTGCAGGGAAGCATTTTCATTACTTTTTCTTGAAGAAAAAGAAACATAATGGGAGATTTTTAAAAGTAGCGATTGAGTTAAAAATTTTCTGCATTTAGCCACAAAAATTTTAAGGGAGCTGGATGGAAAGATTTTAATTGGAAGGACTCAAAGTTTAGAGTTTTGTTATTCGAGGTTCTTACCAGATCCACCAGCTTAATATTCTCTCCCCATTTAAAAAACCATGAATTGGATTGTTAAAAACAATTCTATTTGCACGTACATGTCCTGTGGAAAATATTTTGTCAAAATTTATGTGCGTTATGTAATTTCAACATATACTTACATTAAGTGGATGTGTCCGGCTGGAGTTTTGGAGACAAACTGTGAAGTAAGTGGCTCAGTATCAATTTCTGATTGGATTAATGGGCTGGCTAAGTTGAATGAGTTCTTTACTTCAAGAGTTTCATCATTGATGTAAACCTGGAGGGGAAAAGAGGAAGTGATATGTTAGGAGCCAAAAATTTAAAATGTCTGAAAAACTGGAAAAATATATGACGGAGGATCTGTTGAAACTTTTTTGGTTTGCACCAAAGATAAATTACCATGCAGTAAAAAAGTTAACTTTTACGATAAGAGTAGTAGACACCTGGGCCTGCTATAGTCGAAGCAATACTAGTTACATCCCACAAAATGATTGAAACATTTGGTAGATTTTGCCATGCTAAGGAAGAACGCAAGATAAGCCTTCAGACGTTGCCACATTTCCTTTGATAAAATATGAATTTTCAGGAAAATGTATGAAAATTTTTCAGTGAATTTCTTAGAGAATTTCATTTGCAATCAGATGTAAATTATTTGAAAGTTTCAAGAGAAAATATTTGTAACTCTCCTCAAAAATGAGCATTTCAGCGAAGGAGTTCAGCAACTCTCAAATGTTCATTCTGCGCTTTTCTTTTGGACAGTACAGGAGAATCAGACTGAACAGTTTTGTCTGTAAACCTCGGAAATTTTTTTACCCAGAGTAAGCGGTAAATTTGGGGATTTTGATTTCACTCTTTCAATTTTTTTATTATGTGCAGTTAAGACGTATATGGGAAACTCAAAGCTACAACTAAATTGAGAAGTTTTCCAGAAAGAGAACCCATCAGGAACAATTGCGTTCGAGAAAAATGCATTGTAAGTTTGCATAATTAATTTCAAGTTTGACGGTGGTGTACTTACATCCGAGCTTGGACTCCAACCGCCTCAATTGATCACAGTCAGTGGCCAGAAAGTAATAATGAAAACTTCAAATGCATTTTTCCCAAGCGCAGTTTTTCAATAAGATCCCTAATCCCGGAAAGAGCCTCAATTGATCACAGTCAGTGGCCGGAAAGTAATAATGAAAACTTCAAATGCATTTTTCCCAAGCGCAATTTTTCAATAAGAGCCCTAATCCTGGAGAGAGCCTCAAATGATTGCTTGTTCCCCAAGACTATCAATGTTTACAAAATATTTTAAAAAAAAATATAATCGATTTGTAAAAATCTCTTCAAGTCAGGTTTTTCGCTAGATGGTTCTCCTACAGAACCCTCTCCAAACTGAGAGCAATACCTAACATTGTTTAAAAAAAAAAAAAAAAAAAAAAAAAAAAAAACTTGCCTTGATTTTATCACCTACTAACTCGACTTCAACATCAATTTCTTTGTCCTGATACATGACGACCAGCGTCCACTTGGTTGGTGGCGGATGCATCAATTTCCCCGAGACAAGGTCATAGCTCCTCAACTCCTTCTTGACAAAAATCGCAGCTGCTAGAGCAGTAAGTTTTTTCTCATCTCTGACCGACAATGTTCTTCCTGTGAATCCCTTGGGATAGGTTTGAGGCAAGTAGTTTGTACTGATATTACCAGAGGTGAAATTATCTTCTGTAAGAATATCCCTGAGAAGAGGTATGTTGTGAGTAACTCCTGAAAAACGAGAAGCAAGAAAAATGGCTGATCTGATAATGATACGGTGCTGTGGCGTTAGGATGTTTCAAAAATTACTTTTTTTTTAAAAACTTTCCTCCACTCAGATGGACCTTAGTAACATGGATATAAGTCAAATTTTGGTCTCGTTTAATTCAATATGGACCCAAGCCCCCCTTTTTTCCGAAAAGCCTGTTTTGAGGATTTTTTTTTTTCAAGCTATGTACTTGCATATAAGACATTTTTTTAGTGATTCTTCAAGTAAAATTCTTCATTCACCCTCATCTGATGAGAACTAAGTCACCATGGTTCTAACTTGAGGGAGTTTTAGGGGGTTTAAGCTCATAAAAAAATCCGTGCTCCGGTTTTTCTTTTTCATATTTCTTTTCCCTTCTTCCGTATTTGTGATTCATTTGAATTGAGGGCCTCTGAATCTTTCAAAGCCACAAAAACAAGCAAGGCAAGCAACGGCTTACAGCTTTTCATTCTGCCCTCATTACAGGTTCAAAGGTTAAGTTGAGTAAGGTGAGAGTGTGGAAGAAAATTTTGGCGCAAACCACTGATTAAGTGAAAACATCATGTGATCTTTGGCTTCTCCTTACCGATAAAGTTTTTGTATCTAACAACTTTCATCGAGTAATAAATGACTGAAAAGAGAATGAGAAAACATACCGTTTGGTGCAAAAAAAAAGAAAAAGAAAAGAAAAAAAACACCTAGGTGCCAGATCAAATATATAACAGAGACTTAAAAATTGGGCTAGAATTTGTTCTCTTTTCTCTCTCCTTTTTCAAATCTTTCTTACAATAGATCACAAAGAGGAGTTAACCATTCGGAAACTCTGAGATGCTTGATGCTGAGATGCTTTTTTTAGAGACCCCCAGAACAGAACCGAAAAAAGACGCAAAGAAGATTAACTTTTCGACACAATAAATGATAGTCCTTTGGAATCTTTCATAAATATTTTTCAATTTGTGGCGCAAATACGCGTCATTGACTGCTGCCCAAGGTCATAATCCGTACCAATATTTACCACTGCCCACGTAATTTTCGCCGATGCTGAGAGTACTGTTTTTGTGGTATGTAGCTTTACATTTTCTCTTGGACTGAGCCAAGATAAATATGCAGACTAGCTTGAGTTACATTCTATTAGGCATTAGTTCCTCAGAGCTTAACATTATTTGATAAAAATATTAGCTTTGAAGACAAGAAAATTTTTCTACACGAACTATTTGACACTGAAACTACCAGTAATTACTAAAGCAGATTTGAAACAGAAAATACCTCTAATTACGTATGAATCGAGAGCAGCTAAACTTGTGGCGATAGCATCCTGTCTGGTCGGGCCGGAACAGACTAGTTTGCATATCATTGGATCGTAGTAGACGCTAATAGCACTTCCTTCCTCAACACCACTATCACATCGCACCTGTTCTCAAGCAAAAAATAAAAATCATAGTCTTGAGATTAGTAAAGGGATTTTTTTTTATTCTTGATGATGGAGTATTACACCTCTTCTCTAGGCGTATGACTTTTAGATGATTTTGAAATGAGAGTTAGGTATCTAACAGTGCTGTAGATAGCTCTCGCTTGCCGAGCCTTCACTCAAATTAAGTCAATCCTCTCCAAGTCTTGCAAAAATACCTACTGAAAAAGTTAATCTTTTGCAATATGCAGGGAAAGAGGTGAAAAAAGAAGGTAAAAGGTGTTTTCTAGATATTTTCTGCTTAGAAAAATCTGAATAATTTTCCAACTCTTCATCCAAGGTCATCAAGCAACAATTGCGCAGGTTCCGTGCAAAACTTATTCATCCTAAGCAAGTAGCCTCAGCCATTTGTATGGACTTTCTTTTAAATCCAAAATCTCAAAATCAATGGGTATTTTTGCAAAAATAATTATGATGCTAAGGCGAAAATGAAGATACATATTGACAGTGAAACTACCAACCACTTCTCGTTTGTGGATTTAATATAATCTCTGCTCCGGTTCTAATTTTTTTTTAAGGATAACAAATCGATATCATAACTTGAAGTTTTCACCTAGTTTTTTTGGCACAAAGAAGAAAAATAACGTAGGTTTCCAAGAATTGACGTTGAGTAGTTTTCCATTTAAAAAATAAAGTATGACAGGAAGTCTACAAAGTCGCAAACTGAGATATATGGTCTGGTAGTTTCACAGTCGATGTCGATCAGAGCACCAAAAAAAGCCAAGGGAAGTACACTATGAGGTACAATACTGAACACTTGTTCACACTTACTTGTTGGCTAGAGAAATGCACGAGGTCTTTTTGACAGAAAAGAGGCCAAAATTAACATTTTTGGTGGTTCAATTGTAAAAATTATCAAGATTAATAGACAAAATGGCTCAAGTGCCTACTGCTTCTTTCAGTCAGGAGTGATCCATTAAAGGATCGACTATTCAAATTCCATTCATTTGAAGAAGCAAGAAAAGTTTGATCCTGCCAAAGTATAGAGGAAAAAAGATCTTACCCCCGGAATATGAGTTGGCTCAATATACTTGTAAAGACGTCCGATGGAGGGCAAACCAAAATTTTTGTACGGATCCTCAGCATAAACACGACTTTCTATTGACCAGCCTCTGATTTCAATGTCGCTCTGTGTGTGTTTTAATGAATAACCTGTAGAAAAATAAATACAAATTTATAAAATAATTTTAAAAAGCCTATTGTTTGCTATGTAATTTTTTTCGTCCGATAAGAAAATGAAACTTTGCGTTAAAATTTCCATGTCTGTGTTTGTACCTTAGAATATATGCTTGTACATTATGCTAAGATTGTCCCATAGCAAGAGAGAGCTGCAGTATGTAGAAACCACACACCACTGATGATGGGGCCATCTTACTGATATAAGTTAACAGGCTTTTGAGAGATAGCTTACTGCATTCTTAAAGAACGTACTTAAATTCATTCCTCTTCCGTACACACATTTAAAATGATTACTCCACAGATAAACCGCCACAAATGGGTATTAATTTTATGAAATTTCACAACAAAGAGGAAGTATCTTTTAGATCCCTTGCTGCTTCCCCAAACCTTTATGGTCAATGCGGAGATATTAGGCGGACACCTGGGATCACTGAACTTTAAATCAACTTTAGTTTAATAAGTTAAGATTAATGTAAGAGCAGTGAAAGTACCTTCTGCAACACGAATCATCTGATGAACAAGATCAATACCAGTAATAGACTCTGTGATAGGATGTTCGACTTGCAGACGAGTGTTCATCTCTAGGAAGTAAAACTGCTTCTGGGAGTCCACTAAAAACTCCACAGTCCCGGCTGAGTAGTAACCAAGGCGCTTGCACAAAGAGACGGCTTGCTCTCCCATTTTTGCCCGTGTTGCGGCATCCAAAAATATGCTGAAAAATAGACAGGTTAATGCTTTTTTGCAAACAACATAAGTTATTGGTTATCCTAGGTACCTAAAGACATTATGTGTGCAGGGTCACGAAGATATTCTGAAAAGATGTGAGGAGGAGAAATTTTCCTTCTTATAAAGAGAGTAATTATCAAATGAAAATCAAGTGGTTCTAAATTGATTGAATCCTTAATTTTTTTTCCTCAGGATTGCATTACGAAGATTTTTAATGTGACAGAAGAAATTATTGATTTAAAGCTTGAAATAAAAGTTGAATGAATTAACGAAGAAATAATTTTCATAACTTTAGTGTCAAACTGACAAGAGAATAAAAATAAAGGAGCAAAGTCTGTTTACTTCATGTATTTAATTTGACCTATTATTACTTATCTTGTCATTCATTTATTTATTTTCTAAGAAAAGGAAAACAGAGAAGACGTTTTAGTATCCTAATACTGTTGAATCATACGTAAAAATAAACAATATTTGCTTCTGTGACTATATATGAAACTACAGCTGCTGGTTTTTAAAGTCCTGAAACATTGCTTGCTACTTTATTAACAAGAACAACACTCCGTGAAAGTAAAATGTCTGGAAGGAAACATCATTGAAAGAGCATTAAACAATTACCTGGGAGCTTCTTCAATTACTTTTTGATTCCGCCTTTGAATACTACACTCTCGCTCGTTGAGATATATTGTATTACCATGCTTGTCTGCTAATACCTGCATTAAACGTACTACAAAATGTTAATAGGTCAAAAATGTAACGATAATCAAACATATTTGAAAGAAGAAAAATGACAGGGTATAGAATAATTAACTGTTGGACTCCGATTCATGGAAAGTATTTGCTTTTTCTTAAAACTACACAACTTCTAACAAGTAAAATTCAATGAATTTTCAAACTAAATTCTGGAGGCAGTTTTAAAATTAAAACTTGTTATCTTTTGACACGCTATTAAATCAGTGTGCTTTTTGATGCCTGATTTTCTTATAAATCCATATTTTTATAAGTTTCACGAGTTTCCAGTTTTTCTGCAAATGAATTCTTGAAACTTTTTCAGAGTGCTTTGGTGGATAATTAATCATCTGCAATTTTAAAAAGTCCTGAGATTTTCAATTAAACATCGATACTGCAAAAATGCATATATCCGTTTGCGGCATTGCAGACTTCCTGTTATACTTTATTTTCTACGTGGAAAACTACTAATCATCATTTCTTGAAAATTCTGGTGATTTGTCCTCCTCGTGTTCAGAATATTCTGTAAATATTTCAAGTCATGATGTCTCCTTTTACAAAATAAAATAGGAGTGGAGATTTTTACATACCACAACCAAGATACGCATTTTTGAAGTTTCACCATTAATATAGCCTCAATCCTTAAGGACTCTGAATATAAGCAATTTTTTATGAAAGTGTAAAACTCGAGAAAAGAAGAGCGAAAAAAATATTGAAGGCTGCGTTCAGTAACATACCTGGATCTCAATGTGTCTTGGTGTGTCAATGAATTTTTCCACAAGCATCCTATCATCTCCAAAACTTGATGCTGCCTCTTGAGAAGAAAGTTTGAAGCCCTCACTGAAATCAGAAGTTGAAAAAGATCAAAATTAATGGTAGCAGGATCCGTTGTCAGAAGTGCTGTTTAAGGACACACTTTCTCTTTTCAAAGCTCCATTTGAAAAGATCAATGCTAAAAAATTTACAAAATTACAGTGAAAAATTCGAACACAATTATTAACAGCTCCTGCTTATTATTGCTCTACTATGCTGCCATGCTGAGGATAAACGCTATATGAAAATTCGAGAATTCCCACATTTCCTTTCATAAAATATTTTTTTGAGGAGAGTTGTGAACATTATCTCTTGAAATTTTTAGATGATATAGATCTAGTTACAAAGGAAATTTTCTGAAAAATTGGTCGGCAAATATTCACAAGTTTTCCTAAAAATTTGTAGTTGATCAAAGGAAATTTGGTGACCGACAAAGGTTCATACGGGGTTTTTCCGTGGCAAGGTAGTAGGTACGGACAACAGTCCTGAAGTCTTTCGAAACTCTGCCTCTATCTAATGGTAGAACCAATCCAGGACATTAAACTTTGAGGCGGAAAATAAGTGCCAGATGAGAGAATCAGAACCACTATTAATTAGTGATCTTATGCGTGTATAAAAGTATCTATGTGTGTGCTCTGGATTTTTTTTTTGGTTTTTTTCAAATGAAAGTACAAAATTAGAATTTGGCACAATTTCCTGAAGCTCTGTCTCTTACTTATCCACAACTCGGCTTCATTGTCGTTCATGTAGATGCATCTATATTGGCTATTCCTAAATAATCAATCAATGCGAAAGAGACGAACCGAGCGTCATTATCATTGTATGCGATGCGCATGCCCTTTCCTCCTCCTCCAGCTGAGGCCTTGATCATTACTGGATAACCGACATCACGAGATATGCTAACACAATGGTCTGCATCTTTAATGACTCCATCAAAACCTGAGCATGATAAAATTAGGATCATTAAATGTCGATTTCAGTTGATTGAGCAATTTCAATTAACTGCTTGCATTCACTTTCCTTACAATGTATGAAATATTAGCAGAGATTCTCAATGGATAAAAAGTTGGAGATATTTTCAAGCAAAGTTTCCTCGAGAGAGGGAAGAGAGAAGAATGAGGAGAGCTTTTACTTGAGTTTCTTATATTTTTGTAAAAATTAAAATTTAATTGAGGATTCGTAAAGTATTACCCCAAATTGATTATTTGAAGATGGGGTCAATTAATTCTTTTAAACACTGCTTGTAGTTTTGTTGGGGTGCTGGTGCTCTGTTTATGTTAAGGTACTTGATATATTTTTTTTTTTTTTTTTTTTTTTTTTTTTTTTGGTTTCAAGGATTAAAATTGACAGACGAGTTGAAGAGGCTATCATGTTGCAAGAAAAAACTCTTCTACTGAAAATCTTAGAAATTGGAAAGACAGCGATGAGGATTGCTTTCACACATTTTATTTACCTCCATGTTTTACTACAGTTCCCAACACATAACATTACAATTATAATAACATATATATTTATACATATTAAAATATAAAATATGTATTTTTACACTCATTTTATAGCCTCAATTTCAGTAATAGGGTGTCCAGCAAAATTTTATTTTCCTTGTGCCCTGACATTCCTGGACCTTTTCTTCCCAATCGAAATAATCCTAAAAAAGAACATGGCTCAGCACAAAGTGTACATGCGAATCAGAGGAGGTTCGAATTAATTAATTCACTACAGACCTTTGGAGGGCACTGCAGGACTAAGTATTGAAGTGCTATAGAGTCATGCAAAAAACCACTACCTTAAATGAGCGTCTGAAACTCTCCTGGCTACGTGTTTTCTCTCCCTGCCTGATTGCACCTCTCTAACTTTTTCAGTCGTTAGAGACCCTGAGCATTTAGAATTGTCTGAGTCAAAATGCGTTAGTGACTTTTTCACTACTCACATGACAGTTTTGTTCTTACCTTGATAAAATTATAGATAGCTGATTCTACCAAAACTTTTAAGTATCCAAGATCCTAAGTGTGATAAAAATCCTAGACTTTTCATCAGAATGACTCTAATTTAAAACACACCTGGAATTGTGTTGACTCCAGCAGCCATGGCAAGTCTTTTAGACTCCAGCTTGTCGCCCATACCCACTATGGCTTTTGCTGATGGACCAATAAACACGATGTTACGTTTCTCCTAATATTGAGGAAGATAAAGAATAAGGTTTAAAAAATTAATTTAGAAAATATTTCATGCAACAGCTATGAACAGTCACTTTAAGAAATCAATGTTATGATGAGGGTGTTTCATTGTCATTAAAGAGTCCTATTGATAAGTTGGACTAATGTCGAAGATAAGTAAGCATCTATTGATGCAGCTGTACAGGAAAGATAATATTACTATTTTAGCTTCTATATTCTGAAGAATAAAAGGAGTTCCCTCACTTTGCAATACACCATAGACTGAATGATTTTCCCCTGCTTACTTTAAATTCATCTCTAAAAAGTTCATGCAAAAACGTTAGATAGTTTTCTATCGCAAAAATAAAGCGTGAAGATATATGGAGACACCACTTACAAGCTATACTGTTGCTTAATTTCAACTCCAATATGTTTTTTGCTGTAAGTTCACTTATAAGGACCCTGCCCAAAAATAAAGGAATTCGGCAGCAGATAAAGTTCATTATTATTTTAAATATTTTTTAAGACCTCTTGGCCATTATGAGCTTTAAAAATTGAGGATTTTATGTGACAATTTGAATAATACTATGCTTAAAAATTATTTCCTTATCATTTAAAAGACATTTCACTTTTTGCATGTGACATTTGGATTGCATTTTGCAAAAAGGAACCAAGAGCATTCCAATGTTGCTACGATTGAGCAACTTACATTTTTTGCAATAAAATTACTGAAATTGTGCAAAAAATTAAATTCACGAGGCAATTTTTATCTTGAATTTGCAGTTTTTTGAGATTAAAAATCAAATGTGTTTAAATTATTGATTTTTTTCAGAGTAAAAAAAGTTGCACAATCTTAGCGACATTGGAATGCTCTTTGTTCCTTCTTGCAAAATGCAATCTAATTCATGCAAATGAACTAAATAGAAAGAAAAGTTGAAAGCTTCAGTGGATTACAGAAAACTTAGGAATATTTTGCAGAATTCTACATTTTAAGCGTATTTTAAAAGTGTACTTTATCCGTCCAAATGAAATTTATCTTGAATGAAGCCAACAGGAAGTTTAACAAGTGTTTACCAATTCTGCAACAAATTGTGAATTTTCAGAGAGGAATCCATAACCTGGATGAACAGCTTGCGCTCCAGTATCCTCAACTGCTTTCAGAATTTTCTCCGTATCCAAGTAAGACTCCTTTGCGGCAGGAGGTCCAATACATACAGCTTCATCAGCCATTTTGACATGTAGCTGTACAAAAGGAAATGATTAATTGTTAGGAGTAATAACAAGCAACAATCAGAAGGGAAAAATAACATTGCAACTGCAGAAACATGCTTGAACAAAAGACCATAAATTTCATTGTTTTGATTTTGCATTGGATTTTGTCATGTCTGAAATCACTTTTTGATCTGGTTTTTGATTAAAAATAAAGAAATCTTCTTCAACGCTAAAGTTTTAAACTTTGATGCTAGTTTTAAAAGAACTGTGCAGAATATATTATATAGACTAGAAGAAGTTATTGAAGCATGTTTGGAGAAGCAGCAAACATAAAAATAAAATTCAATTATTTTCATTACTTTTAATTTTATTTTTAGAAGATAAGTGTTGCATAGAGCAAAGAATAATTTTGTTAATCAAGAACAAAATATATTAATAGGTATGCATTACATATTTTATGAGATCCTTTAATCATGCATATTACAAGGAAGAATATGGATGCATCAATTTAAACAAATCTTACAGTCCACAGGAAATATTCTGAATCTTCAAATTTTTTGACACGTTGTGATTATTAATGGATCCTATTCATACCAAAATTTGATTGGACAATTTAAGACTCGCTACCAGTAGCAAAATTTTCATCGATCACGCAATCAGAATGTGAATCACAAAAATGTTTCTCTTTATTGTATTGAAAAGAAGAAAATTGTACATCCTCTGAAGAGGGATTTTTCTCATTGCCTAGCAGTTTGGACTCTAGTTCATAGGTAATGAGACTCTAAAAATATTAGAGCAGTATTGCTAAAGGGTCAAACCAAAAGTTGTAAATAAAATCTTTGTAACTGAAGTTAGATGTTGGATTTTTTTTAGGAAAAAACATTCTGCAAAGGAACAGAGCCTCTTGTAAAGATGCACTGCACAATGTAATGAATCAATGTCCTCAAAGATCTTTAATTTTAAAAAAATTATAAAAAAATAAAACACAGACTTACAGAATTTGAGTCGGCTGTGGAGTAAACTGCTACAGTTTTTATCCCCATTTTTTTGGCAGTTTTGATGACGCGGCAGGCAATTTCACCACGATTTGAGATGAGAATTTTGTGAAAGTGTTTCTCTGATGAGTCGATGGGATCCTTGAAGTAAATTGTGTCATGTTGTTGAATCCCTGAAATTCGGCGCAGCTGATTAGTGAACAATTTCTGAAAGAAATATGAAAAAACTGTAAAAGATATGTTAAAGCTTGTATTAGACAATAAGAGGAAACAAAGACTGTACATCAACATTAAATACATTACTAACTGCAAGGGAGATTTACTCTGTGATTTAAGTTGCAGCATACTTATATATATACTAATATTGAGCATTCTGCAAGATTTCATTTAAGAATAAGGCATTTTAGAAAAAATGTTGGAAACCTTGTTGAGAACTTTGCCATTAAATCTCTGCCTCGAGAGGCAAAAAAAAATTTCACAGCTACTTACTGATCCTACAAAAGCATGAATCGCAGTTTTTTATGGAGCGGGCCTGGGGGGGGGGGGGTGTCATCCTCCATGCTCTGTGCAAACTGCCTCCCCCAAATGAGGCAAACTGTTGGGTATATCGTTATTTCTAAACTTTAAACTGTTCCATGGCAAATCTCTGAACAAGAGGACACTTAATATAATAAAAATAATAAATTAACGATGATAATGTAACAATAATGGTAAAATAAAAAATAAAAAAAATCACACAATATAATTCAGAGTTAAACAGAATTAAATATCTAACCTTAAGTTTATTGGCCATCGATGAGCACTTAATGAGCTGGTAATATTAGTTCTCATTTCAGATGACGCTACGTTTTAAATTTTAAATTATCCCTACCTAGTCTCTTTTGTACTTGAATCCTTTCTTTAATAGTACATTACATTTACATTTTAATTTTTAAACTAAAATAAGATTCACCCAAAAAAATTTATTTTATGGAGAGAATTCCGAGAACAATAGTAGGTAAATGCACTGCGAGGCAAACTGTTGGGTATATCGTTATTTCTAAACTTTAAACTGTTCCATGGCAAATCTCTGAACAAGAGGACACTTAATATAATAAAAATAATAAATTAACGATGATAATGTAACAATAATTTTACCTTGGCGGACAGGCCGTGAGGTACACAACAGTTCTTGCCGATGTGGCTGAAAAGCAGCACAACTTGATGATATTTAACCATTGCTCCGGCCGAAAGGGATCCAAGAGGATGCTGAAGGGATGGAAGTTACGAAGGCTACACGGTGCCGAAATGAGGATCGCGCCGCGGTTACGTCAAAAGGGTCGGTTTCATTTTCATCGAATAACACCGAATCGGAACCGGTTGTATTCGCGCGAATTCGTAAACACTGATAGCGGCTATCAGTACGAGCGCGGCCTTTCGGATGCGGATAATGGCTTTTCTTTTCATATCTTCCCATTTTTTATTTTTTTCTCACCGACGCGACGCGACACCGCTACACTGCCGTCCTAAGGAAGAACGCCGTATGAACATTCAAGAGTTGCCAGATTTCCTTTGTTAAAATGTTTATTTCTGCGAAAAGTTAGGAATATTTTTCCTTGAAATTTTCAGGAACTTAAGGCGAAATAGCAACAAAATTATCTGAAAAATTGGAAGAGAAATATTCATGAGTCTACCAGGAAATTCGTGTGTTATCAAAGGAAATTTGGCAACGCCTGCGGGTTCATACGGCGTTTTTCCTCAGTCCCAGCCCTCCCCTCCTTCTTTATACTGATAATCGTGAAACGGGTTAATTGCACTTTCTGTTTCACGTCATTGCCGCGGGCTTGCTATACGGCCGTGCTGATGAAAAACGCCGTATGGACCTCCGTCGATTGCCAAATTGCCTTGATCAAATACGAATATTCAGGAAAACTTGTGGACATTTTCCGTTCAATTTTTCAGAGAATTTTCTTCGTAATTAGATCTATATCATCCGAAAATTTCAGGAGAAAATATCTATAACTCTCCTCAAAAAAAAAAAAAAAAAACATTTTATTGGAGGAAATTTGGCAGTTCTCGAATTTTCGTAAGGCGTTTTTCCTTAGTGCGGCAATGTAGATAAACAAGACTCAAAATTATGAAGAAATTCGATTAGGTAACACGCCCCTATTTGGTGCGAATTGTAACTATAAGTTGGGTTTCAACTATTAAGTATATTCGTGTGCAAAAACGCCAATCTTAGAGTAAAAATTGAAAATCAGTGTCATGGCCTAGCACGATTTTTTCCGACACCTCTTCTCTCCTTTCTAATTATTTTTTTTTTTATTTATTTTTCACAAGTTGTAGAAATTTAAAGGTATCAAAGAGAGAGCTATACCAATGCCTCATTCAATTAGGTATATCTTCCTGACACATTTTGTTCTTCTCAAATGAGTAGTTGTCCTCATCATTGGAACAGTGACTGGTGAAAAGGAACCAAATGGCATTGCTTTAGGTAATTGAAAATAAGAAAAGAACATTTTAATTTTCTTTATTTCATAGGGCTCGATGTGAAAAACCAAATTTGAGTCCAATAATTGCACTCTGCATATTTTTTGCAGACCATAGATTTTCGTCAGGTAGGGAAAAAACGGCTCTGGAGAAACTAACAGATATCCTTAACTCAATTTTCCTACGAATGTCATGTGGTTCCTTTTCGCTAAATGTAGCCCAGTTAATTTCTGCGTTTCAAAAAATATCCTTCACCTATCTTTATTAAAATTTCCTGCAAATAATTTTAAATGGTTACAAAAAATATTCTTAGAGATTATTCTCCGTTATATTAAAGGGAAAAAAATTAGACAATGACCACATTATAGTTATTGAGATTTGAAATTCTACCCTTAAGTCGTCTAAACTGATTAGAAAATCAGGGTTTTCAAACTTCTAAAAAAAATATCATATTGTCAATTTGGTGAAGTACTAAATTTCTCTCACATGAGACTTTTTTTTTCTTTAAATAGAGTATTTCAAAACATTTGCAACCAGAAGCTTAAAGCATAATATATGTCCTTAATTAATATAAGAAGATACATATGAGTCATTTCATGAAATCTCAATTTGGCATTTTTTGCTCATTCAAAAATTCGGAAAATATTTCCAACTCTTTTTAAACCTTCATTGACAACCAATAATTTAGAGTAAGAGGTTATGATCTGGACTACCTAGTTTTTTATTCGGAACCAAATTCAAATGGATTCTTTGTTGCGCTCTTTGTTCATTAATGTGTTACTGGGTGACTCAAAAGCCCGCTTCCCCCTTGCAACTTTTGAACAAATTGAGATACAGACTTGAAATCTTGCGATTATAGATTAAAAGAGACTACTCATGAGGCCTCTCAAAATTTAGGGGGTGGGGGCACAAACACTAACTTTTTTTTCATAAATGAACCCCCCCTCCCCCACTTGAGATACATCATTAAAAAACAAAACATACAAAATGGAAGCTTTTAGTCCGAACTGCACATCACTACTTGAAAATGGGAACTAATGAAAGTTTTGCAAAAAGAGAATATACTAATTTGTAAATATTAATGAACTTTATGATGAGCCTCAACTTTTGTACCTAAGTTTATTCCCATAGAAATAATTTTCATGTATTCATCATCCATGTAGTTGTGTATAAATATGAGAGACCAAGAATATCTAACGCATAAAATTTATTTAACCACTCTGTATTAGAACATGAGGGTAAAAACTCTCAGAGAGAGAGACTTTAATTTGCAAAAAAGAACAAACTATGATAAAATAAGAATAGGAACCACATCATTGACCAAGTCCAATACCTTCTGCAGGTATTTTTTTTTCCCTTCTTGTCTTTAACCAGCTATCAAAACTTACACTGACACAATTAAGAAATTGCGGAGCATAAGCAATGTACATTTTCTAATTTATGCTGTTTTGAATCATTCAAATTTTTCAAAATTTATGAAATGAAAATTGAAAATTAAAGTGTGAGCTCTTCAATTACTTATTTTGTACATGGTGCATACAATATTTTCATAGAAATTTCAGTTAGAGGAGTCTTGCCACCATGATAAAAATGGATCATGTTTCAAAATATGACACACAAGACAAAAATCCGATTATTTCAATAAAGTGAACAACAAGCTGTTCTTTGAAAAATTATTTGATTTCATCGTAAAACCCGCTTTCAAAAGGCAAGCTCCTCGGTCAAAATTTTCATCTAAACTGTGGACCTTTATGCGAGTCTTCAGTTGATAAATTGAGTACAAGCTCAGCAACTAAGTATTTACTTGCAGATAAAAATGTAATTACGAAGTAAAATAATTCTGACAATCTGAAAACACAGCTTGTAATTAAAGAGTCTTCTCAAGTTGAACACAAATTTATTAAAAATGAGTAGAAAATGCTTAAACTTTAATACAATCATGTTTCAGAAGTTTTGGAACTTCACAAATCTGACTAATGATACTTGTATAGAGCGTTGATGGGATCCTAATCACAGTAAAAAATAGTACTTTAAATATTACACATAAATATTAGTATAAAAAGTATAAAAATAAACGATTATTTACAGCAAGCATTTCACAAGACATCACATTAAAAATGGTCTCCTAGATAGGAGGATGCAAATGAAAAATAAACCTAGGGAATATTAAAATTATATTTGAGATAAGGTACATTACTAAGATCACTGGGTGAGAGACTATAATGCATCAAAATAGTAGGTGGGCAGAAGAATTGAGCATTAAGAAGAAACATAAGACACTTTAAAGAAAGAGAGAAGGAATATTAAGAAGCAAGTTAGTGAAAACTGCTGATGATGAACTATACATAAGGAAACAAGATAATTTTACAGGTAGATCCGCGACATTCATTGATGAATGTTCAAGAAAAAGCCTATGATGATCAGATGGACGTGACAAAGTTAAAAGCGAACACTTTCAATGCATAACTAATCTATTGGTTGGAGTGATGATGAGAAAACATTTCTTCTGTCTCCAAGCTCTGCCGAAACTTTCAACGATGTCTTAAAATTTTAAGTTTGCTCCTGGAATTTCCGTCAAGACTCGCCTAAAAGAAAAAGAAAGTCATTCATGTAAAAACTTTGTGGCCTTAAAGTTCATCAGTACGGAAATCATATCAGTATTAGAATATTCGATCAATTAATTAGAAAAACGAATCCAAAACTTTCCATTTCCGTATCAAATTGTATTCACTCTAAAAAATAAAACATAATTGTCTACCCCAGCCCCAAGCGATTCTTTTATAACAAGAATTCCCTGAGACTGAAATGTTGAAAGCATTCGAGAGACACATGCATCATCTAATTGGACTACGTTTCGCAATTTGGAACAATAAATTCTAGCGGGTTTAAAAACAACGTATGAGCCATTAGTTTCCCAATGCACGTGAGTATTTTTTCAGAAGAGCCAGAATTTATGGTTCCAAATTGCAAAATGCAGTCCAATTTTTCCTCTCATTGTTAATTTAAAGTATTTTAATACTTTCGGGAGTAAAGGATCTTTCTACACTATAAAAAATGGTCAAGTATTATAAAAATAATGAATGAAGTTTGTCTCTTTAAAAAAAGAGAGAGAGAGAGAAAAAAATGCTTGTGCTAACGATAGAGTGGCTTTCACAAAAGGAGGAGCTTTCAGCCTGTGTCACACTATCAAAATACTCCATCAAAATATCGAGGTCAAGAGCTGTGATTGGTCCAAGTCATCGAATAAGCCAATCACAACACCTGACCTTGATATTTTTATGGCTAGCTTTGATAGTGTGACACAGGCATTCCTGTTGCAAACCCCTGTGACGTTTTATGACTGAATACAGATATATGCGTGCAAAAAACACAATACTTTCAGTGATGAAGCTGTAAAATTAGAACTGCATTACAGACTAAACTGAGGGAGAAAATATGGAAAAGAGGAGTTGAGCTACCGGATAATTTCTAGGGTATGGGAAAATTTGTTAAGAAAACTGGCAAAAATAACCAAACAAGCGACAGTTGATGACGCAGGAATCGATACAGCTCACTGGAGAATTTATTTCTTGCATAGCATTCCTTTCTAATTTCTCATTTTTCTTTTCATATCAAAACAAAAACTACATTATGAAAGTGTTATTTACATCATGCAAGCATTGCAATTAGAACAGTGGGAAGAAAAGAACGGCCAAATCTCAGATCTGACTAGAGCATTATTCAACCTAAATAATCTATGTAGTAACCAATGGGCCAAACGATGATTGATGCATTCAGATTAATGTGACATTTGTCTTCCTTTTTCCTCCCTCGGTTCAAAGATTTAGGAGAAAATGCCTTGGGACAGCCACTAGCGACAGGCTCTATGAAATACAGACAACTCGATGAAAACTAATGTCTATGATAATAATTTTTACTTTTTCATCCTGGATGAATTAAACAAATTGAGCAGGAAAAATTGCTCAAAATATCTTATGAGGAAAATAATTAAATTGTAAGTCTAGGAAGAGAGAAAGAATAGAAGCACTTACAGTGTAAAATTGGAGTAAGCGAGTGAACTAGAATGGCCACAGCCTGGAGGAAAAGAAGCATTTAAAATGAAATTGAGATTTAATAAAAAAGAAGCAACGGATTAATAGTTTTCAGCAAGACATACCACACAATAATGGGATACTACACAAGATCTGAACCAGAAGAAACTTCACATGTTTTCTCTTCGAAAGTTTACGAAGAAAACGACTCACATTAGTCGTCGTTTTCCTGACGAAGGAATGTAACTGCATTTCAATGTTGCCAAATTTCCTCGTGCAAAGTTTATTTTTACCGGGATGATTTTGAAAATTTCGAACTGAAAATTTCACAATTTTTCTTCTGATATCGAGTGAAACTCAGACAAATTTTCAACAAAAATTATGCAGGTATATTCTCGTAAAAAATTGAATTGTTTAAGTCGATTTTGCAACCTTGGAATGGAGTTGCGTTCCTTCGTGCGAGTAACGACAAAGCAGATTAAACGGAAATTAGATTATAAAAATTGTGTCATTAGTATTTCTGCCACTTAATCAATATTAAATTTAAACACTTGTATCTTGTTCAGGAGTCAAATTCCAGATTTCTAGTGGTGGATTCATTTTTCACATAAAATTTTGAGGAGAATACATGGTGCATGGTGCATTAATTCATACCTTGTCTAGAGACCCATTGCTGAAAGATGAGTATTTATTTTAAGGTGATTCGTCAAGCTCAAGTGATGTGGTCACACTGGCATGCAATATATCGCATCAATTAGGTAAAAAATCTTGGCAGATTTTGAATTTTTATCAAAACTAAGGACGATAGCCCCTGCGCATAAGCCGAAAGAATCATTCTGAACCTAAAAATAGCAAAATTCAGAGAAATGAAAACAGAATAGTATTTGGAAAAAAACCTCGCATTCGATACAGAAACTGATAGCTGAATCGAATGTGAGGTTCTTTTTCCAAACACTATTCTGCTTTCATTTCTCTGAATTTTTGCGATTTTTGGATTCAGAATGATTCTTTAGGCTCATGCGCAGGGGCTATCGTCCTTAATTTTGCTAAAAATTCAAAATCTGCCGAGATTTTTGACCTAAAAGATGCGATATAGTGCATACCAGTTCGACTACCTCTTTTGAGCTTGACGAATCACCTTAAGGGTTTCTCAGAGAATCCATGAGTTACTTCCTGGGTCAAAATTCAAAGCTCACTGGTGGCCTGGAGATCAACTGACTGCACAATTACAATCTAGCAGGCAAATACTCCATTGAGAATCAATGCGCAAGGGATAGCATACTCTCCAAGCTATCTTAAAAAACATGTGTGGTGTGAAGCCAAAAATTCTGGACCTTCTTGTGGATTTTTACTTGATCAGTACTTCAAGAACGCCCTTAAAAAATCAGTGCTACTTCCAGACAAATAGACATTAGACACCCTGTGTAAAGCCAAAATCGTTCAAAATCTTTGTTGTAGGATCCCTTTGATGACTGCGGATGGGTAAAATGAGCATCCGTGAAGAGGGAAATTTGGCATGCTTATCCTTTACCGGGATACCCTTTGCTGAATATAAAAAAAGATAGGCAGGGCTAAAATTCAAGAAATGCAAGATAAATGTAAGGAGAGGCAAACTCAGTAAGCATTTCATTCTATTTCGAAAATATACATAAGTGCACTGAAAAACAGGAGAGAATGAAAAAAGAGGAAAGATTGCAAAATTTCAATACTTAAAAGCTTCTCAATAAAATTAAGGCATTACTTGCAAGACATTTGAAACTACTTTACAAGGCAAAAAGCAAAATTGGAGCAGGGCTTATGCTGCAAAATATAAAATAAAATAGTAACTTGTAGGTAGTAATTATTTTCGATGTGGTTTTGTTATCAAATGAAGAAGCAGGTCAAATAAAAATTGCACCGAGGTTTGTTGGTCAGTTATTGAAAACACACATGGACGGTGAAATTCCCAAACCACCTATATTGTTTGCAGTGTTTGAAAATCTGTTTCTATTTCCTTTAATTAACAGAGAACAAACTAATTTTATTCCTTGAAGTTTTCTCAGAATTTGCTTTGCACAAAGAGGAAAAATCATGGCAGTTTACAAGAATTAAAGTTGAGTAGTTCTTTATTTGAAAAATGAAGTACAGTAAGACCTCGAATTATCGGATCGCGATTTAACAAGTCGATCCTCCGGTCGCTTCAGCAGGACCGACTAGCGCGATTTAACAGATTCGGCCTCCGGTCCTGTGAAATCCGATAAATCGAGGTCTTACTGTATGACAGGAAAGTCTGCAACCTCGCAAACCAACATACGTGGTTTGGGAGTTTCACCGTCGACATGTTGTTACAGCATTTCTGTAAAAAATAGGTTGCATAAGGCATAGAGGTTATTACTGCAAGAGACTGCATTGTGAAGTTTCAAAGATCTCTTGCTGACGCGACTTTCAATAAGTAGGTCTACAGTTACGCTGTAGGAAACAAGAGTTACTGGCAGTAGATGATGGAATACTTTTGAAGCACTCTTCAGTTTCTTAATACAACATGCTCTCCTGTTTAAAATTCATTCTTTTTCATGATAAAACCAACCCAGCATCAACAATTATCTTTGAGATTTTACAACAAACAACTCTCAATTTAATTTTGAAAATGATTTTTCATGAGGCCATACTTAATTATGGCAGAATGGGATTTATATTTACCCAAGCCTTATATGAGTAGTGAAGGCGTTTATTGTAATTACATACCTGCTTTGCCCAAGCTTTTCATGCCTTCAGTATTTAGTTAAAGCTTAGCAGTATTAAATATTATGATGAATTAAAACTAATGATTGAGACATGAGTGGAGTCAAATTATATAAATAGAATAATTTTCGTTTTATTTTTGTGTATGTATGATGAGGATATCACACTGCTTGAAAGTTTTAGCAGAAGTAGCAAAATCAAATTTTTGACAGGCTTTGACTCAAGAAATGTTTCACAAAAAACGCTCAAAGAGCTCTCATTAGAGTTGTAATTACAATGTCTAGTGCCCTACCTAAACTGCATGTTGATATCTCATTTCAATCTTTTAAGACTGCGACTGTTGCATTACTTGCCAAGTGCTAGGTATTAAATAAGGTCTTCATTTTTCGGTTTTTTTCAGGTGTGAAGTGAGCTCTAAAATAAAAATATCCTATTTGATTTTCAATAAACTGTACCAAAAACCGTTCATGACTCTCAATCCTTTCACCTGATTTTTATCCATTTGGAAAACTATCTTCAAATTAAATCCTGCTGCAAAAAAGAAAAAGCAACCAAACCAGGCAGCCACAAGTAGCACTCAAACAAATGCATGAAGGATTCTGACTTTACCTTGAAGAGAAGCTTGATTCTTTCTCTACTGTTTTTGCTGCTCGCGCAGATGCTGATTCAGGATTCTCTTTGCTGTCCGGAACAGGCAAGTTGTTCTGCTTGATGTATTGTTCTAGAGTTGAAATTTTGCTAGCTCGCATACGACACAGCCGTTTCATAGTTTCATGTTCTCTTTCCAGTTTTTTTACACGATCCTTCATTACAGCCTCGGCATTGTTCTGTAAAAGTAATTTTCATTTAAAAAAGAACAAATAAATAAAGAGAATTTTCATTGATCATATTTTTGCTCAGAGCAACCCAGAGGATGTATCTGGTCAAAAAGAGATAAAAATATCCAATATTATTCTTTAACATAGTTTGCGTACTTTGCCACTAACTTAGAGGTGGATGGGGGACCTCCAGAAATACTTTGATGTGATTGGAAATTAAAGCTGGTAATTTTCCTCAGAAATTGTACCAATTTACAAGGGGTCTCAGTGAAATTTCAGAAATGTTCCCAAAACTCACTGCAAAATGGTCCACTATACGATCGTATCTCAGGTGAGATGTCTTGCAGCTAGTAACTAAGCATACCTGAACGATGGAGCTCATTTCACCATCTAGTTGTAAAGTGGCCATTGTCTGGACTCCGATCTCCGACTTGGTCTTGGTTCGCCGTGAGACACACTGAGGGCATTCGTGCAGTGTTGACTCTTGAATGGATGCCTGGTACCGTCTCAGCTGGGATCGAAGATCCTCGCACTGTAAAGAAATTAGGAATCTAAGTGCTTCAACCAATAACAAATCCATTAGTTAACATTTTGTGAGCTAACATTCTTGATGATTAAAAATGAAAATAAGGAAAAGAAAAAGAGACAATAGGTATGATGAAGTCGTTGAAATTTTGTTATAAAATATTTAGTAAAATTGGACGGAATTTACAAAAATGCACCAAGTCACATTTTGAAAAGAAAAAAAATGAGCTGAAAACAGAGTAGTGTAACAAAGTCAGCTTCAATTATGTAATGAAAGACTCTTTAGCATCACAAAAGTCTCTCAGAACAAAAGTTCTCCACATGCTCTTTGACAGCACTACCCGAAAAAATTAACTAACAGGGCGGTAAGGTTGAGCCGACCTTTCTTTCAGAATACGTATAATGCTGAAAACATCAGTATTTTTCTTCAGCTATGGACATTTTTAAGACTACATAATGTAGAGGTCTCATAGTTCACGTTAACATGACTCTTTCATAAGAGCAGAGCCGTGAATTCCGCTAAAGGCATATATTTCTTGAAAAATCACCCTTTGAATAAGTGGAGTTTTCAAATTTTACCTTCTTCTTGTAGCTGGCAAGATTTGTTTCCAATTCAGCAACTTTGCCACGGTATGGGAAGTTTTCACTCTGGATTTGCAGTTCCAGCATTGTGATTTTTGCAGTCTTGTCAGCTAGTTCAGTTTTCAATTTCTGGATTTGACTCTTCAGGTTTGACAGCTGATCATCAGCTAGATAATAGGATAGAGACATAGGTTAACAATAGAAAATAAACTCAATGTTTATCACAAATATCTGAAGGAAAATGCTCATATTCTTACTATAGGGCCATTCAAGTATCATGTACACCACTAAGAGGAGGGATGGAGGTCTAGACTGGTTAGATGGTTTTACAGAGAAGGGGAAGAGGTTATTTGGTGTTATAAAAGACCCCCATTTTGAAAAATAATTGTTTTTGACATTGTTCTGACTTTCTCCGTTATTATCTGAAAATGGGAACGGAGATATCAAGTCGGACTTATGAATTTTGTAAAAGGTAGAGTCTGTCTTACAGGTGCCTTAAAAAGGGGGAGGGGAGGGTCAAAAAGCTCATACTTTCGAAAGCTGCTTTAATAAATTAATTTGATGCTGGCAAGAGACTCGTACTCTTCCCCTACAGACATCTGATGTAATGTCCAAAAGAAAGTGCTTAACTAAATATGTACTTACATCAACTGATAATTTCATTAAAAACTGCTGGTAAAATGTTATGATATGTGATTGAGGGAGGGACCTTGGTTGAACTTGAATTGATTACATCTTAAATTCAACACACTTAAACTTACATCCCCGCATATTGTGCATTTTCTGGGACCAGCTTGCAAAACCTATAATTAACTCGTGCCTTGCACCAACGGTACCTTGAAAAGTAAATTACTCTTGCAGCACGTTTATGGTTTTGTGAATTTGATGCATTCACAACAAAAATCATGCTTAAGAATCGCTCACAGTTAAAATGATAATGAAAATAAGGCTGAAAAACAAGGAAAGTACACTTTAATTAAGAGTGAAATCGCTGAAATTTAAAAAAAAACTCAATTCTTTCCTTACTCAATTTTTGTCCCAGACAACGTTTTGTAGGGTCTGTTGCACTCCCTTTTCAGTGGTGATATCGCAACAAAAATTAAGTAAGGAATATTTTGACTTTTTTAAATTGATGCGATTTTATTCTTAATCACTCACAGGTTAATTTCTATGAGAGATTGGATTGGGTATTTTTCAGTGCTGTTGGATACTAACATTTTCTTTCAAAAAATACATGATTAGTAAAATTTAACTTACTGGCTGTATTTTTGTCGGTCTCCAGCTTATCATACTTGCAGAGAAGCACATTCAAGTTGGTGCTCAAGTTTTCCTTTTCATCAGTAACCTGGATAAGATGTGCCTTCAGGCTGCTATTCTTGGCGTCCAGTGCATGGTTCTCTTTTTCTAGCGCTTCAACTTGGCTCCGCAGCTGTACTAATTCTGCCTCTGACTCCTTGACTTTTGCCTTTGCCCTGTAAAAGTCTTGCACCATCTGCCGCTTCTCATTCTTTACACTACGCAGCTGCCCGACCAACTCTTGGTTCTCCTTCATAAGAGCGTTTTTCTCATCTTTCAGTTTTGCCATGTCGCCCTCGGCCAGAACAGACTCTGAAATAGTTGTCGATTCATGCAGTTTGCGTTTGAGCTCACCTTCGCGCCGCAAGGCCTCAGCATAGTCTTTTTCGAGTGAGACACACTGTTGCCACGTCAGCACGCATTCCTCATCCAACGTTTTCCGCTTGTCTTCACTTTCTTTTAGCGCTGCATTAAGAGCAGTCATCTTCTCTTTGTTGTGATCGATAATTTTTGCCAGCTCTTCAATTTTTTTGTCCTTTTCCAACAGCTCTCTTGACACACGGGCTGCACTTCCGTCAGCTCCTTCTAGTTTCTGTTTCAGCAGGGACACCATGGCAGGAAGTGTGCTAGGACTCTGTGAGGGTAGCAGAGCCCTCAGAGACTCTTCCACCTCCTTGAGCTTGCCCTCTTTTTCCATGAGATTTTCCATTTTTTTTTCGAGGGAAGCATTTTTACGGTTCAGTTTCTCGCATTGCTTGCTACGCTTGAACATGATGGGCGTTGAAGTGGGGTCAGCTTTTTTGGATTCTGAAGAGGGGGAACAGATGGAGGTTTCGAAGCTTGTCTGTAGTTTTTCAAGGCGGTTTGCTAGTGAAGTTTTCTCTTCCTGGAGCTGTTGCAAACTCGTCAAGATTTTTTTCTTCTCTTCTTCAAGGACCTTCACCTCTGAGACTTGGATCGCAGTGCGGTTCTTTTCAATCTGGAGTTTTGATTCCATTAACTTGATCTCTTCCAACAGTGAGTTTACTTGCTGTTTAAGTTTGTTCATCTCACCTTTAGAGGCTTCCTGATCCAACTTGTGCTTGCTCAGGGCATCCTTTAAACTCTTGATTTCAGTATTTAATGATTTGATTTTTTCAGACTCAGCATTACTATCCTTCTGGATGTTCATTTTAGAGCGTTCTTGTTCTAGCGATGCTTCCAGCTGATCGATGATAGATTTTTTATCATCAATGGCACATGTCAAGCTGGCAATCTGAGATGTCTTCTCTTCTGTAGTTTTGATCAAATTAGAAACTTCTTCTTCTTTTTTGGTCAATCGATCAGCCAACAACGAGTTTTGCTCCGTTTTATCATTAATTTCTTGTTGCAAGGCTGCAACTTCTGCCAATAAAGCATCTTTTGATTTGACCAAGAGGTTATATTTATCTTTTACCTCATTGGCCTCACCGATGTTGAGGATGTTCTGCTCTAATTTTTCTTTGAGAACGCTGATTTCATCATCTTTACATGTAATGATTTTGTTCAAAGACTCATTATTGAGTTGAACTTCGGCTAGTTCTCCCTTTAGTTTTACATACTCGTCATTCAATTCTGTAAGCTTCATGGTTCTTTCTTCAATTAATTTCCGTAGAGAGACAACAGTATCTTCTTCTTTGAGTAATTTGCAACGCAGATCATTGCATTCTGAGTTCAATTTATTGATCTCACTATCTTGTAATTTCAACTCAGCTTCTGTTTGTTGGGTTGAAGTCATTTCTTTCAGCTCAACTACTTGCAGCTCTAATGCTGCAATGCCTTCAACTTTAGAATCCAGCTGTGACTGAAGAGTTGCTACTACGTCTGATTCATTTTCCAGTTTTTGGGTCAGAATGGACAACTTCTCACTAGCTACAGATATTTCCACCTCCTTCTGTTTAAGAGAAGTTTGAAGTTTCGTGTTCTCCTGCTCCAAATCATCAATCCATTTTTTGGTGTCATTTTCCTTCGATTTGAAGTATTGATTCTCTTTTTTCAATGTTTCGGATTCATTTAGGATTGGAGTGAAGATTTCTCTCTGTTTTTCCATGATAGTGGTCATCAGCTCCTGGACTAGACAAGGGACAGGGATTTTGTCCGCTTGGTACTCAGGTTTCAGTGACTGGATCTCTTTGATAAGCTGTTGTTTGGCAGCCAGTATTTCTTTTAATTCGTCGGAATTTTTTACTGGGGACTCAAATGGGTGTGGCTTACTTTCCTGGTTTGAGATGGATGCATTTTTGGATTGACTCAGCTGGTCGACCTCTTTTTTCAACTTTTCAATTTCTACCACTTTGTTGTCTATGTCTTCATGAAGCACAGCGAATTTTTGCGTCCAGGTTTCCTCTTCAGATTTTCTAAACCGAATCTCTTCTTCAAGTGCATGCATTTTATTCTTGAACACTTCTACCATCTCTTCATTTGTCTTCACTTCCAATTTTAGTTTCTCTGACTGATTTTCTGCATTTTCAAGATTAGCAAGACTTTCTTTCATTTCAGTTACTTCTTTTTCTAATGAATGCATTTCCACTGACTTTCCTTCGAGTTCTTCTTGTAACTTTGAGGCTTCCTCCGTTTTGACGCTGAAGTCTGTCTCTAAAGATCTCAATTTTTGTGTTAGGCAATCAACTTCACTTTTCAGGCTTTCAATTACAGCAGATTTCTCATGAACCGATTCTGTGAGTTCCTTGACTTGCATGACCATCTTTTCTAAGGCTTCATTATTTTCCATCTTAATTTTTTCTACCTCAACTTTAGACTCTGTTGAAAGTTGTTTACTGGCCTCCACTTCAGACAAGACTTGAGCGAGTTCTTCAGTTTTATCTGAAATTATTTTTTCTAGATTTTTCATCTCGTCTGATTTCTCCTCAATGAGCACAGCTTGCTCAACTTTAAGTTTGGTGTTAGCTTCAGATAGAGCAGAGATCTCTTGAAGTAACCTTTTAATCTCATCATCATGCTTAGAGGAAATGTCTTCGCTGAGGACTGTTATTGACAGAGGCCCGTTTTGTTGGGTTTGGCATTGCTGATCAAGAGTGGCCTTTGTTAGTCTGTCGATTTCGTTAAGCTGGTTTTCAACTTTGGCCTGATAGTTATCCAATTTCTCTAAAAGCATTGATATTTCAGCTTCTTTTTCACTCTTCTCAACAGATAATTTATTGAGCTTATCTTTCAAGTGTGAAATTAGCTCTTCCTCATCGTCCAATTTCATGTGAAGGGCAGACAGATGTCCTGATAATTTTTCATCTTTGTCAGTTTCCGTGCACTCATTATTTTCTTCTGCAGACTTTCCTTCTTCTCGTTGCTTACTGGAATCTGATTGTGCCTTCAAATTGTCAACTTCTTTCATCAACTTCATCAAGGCCTCTTCAAGGTATTTTTTGTCCTCCTCTAAATCTGATACAAGTTGTTCCTTTTCCTTCAATTCAAGTTCCGTTTTGGCGAGCTTTAACTCTGTCTGTTCCATTACCTCCGGTAAATGGACATTCTGCTTTTTCTCAATTTCAAAGTTGCGTAATTGACTTAATGCCTCTTCAATGCGCTTGTCTTTGGCTGCATTGTCTTCGGTCAGTTTGGCTAGGTCGCTTTTCACTGCAGCAAGAGTTGATGACACTTCTTGCAGAGCCTTCAACTCTTTCTCCAAGTGAGCCTTCTCGGCGGTGCAAGCTTCATACTTCTTTTGAATACTGTCCAAGGCCATTTGCTTCTCTTCTAATTCTGATTCAGTTTCATTCAGCTTCAAGCATACCTCTTCCAGTCTTTCCTCTGCTGCCTCTTTCTGCGCTTCAAGTTGGCTCGTCAGATCTTTAATGCACTGCTCTTTGACGCTATTATCCTCTGTTAAATTGGCTAGAATCTTGGACTCTTCCTTCAGCTTGTCTGTTTCTTCCATCATTTGGTTGACTCTATCCTCAAACTGCTTTCTGTCCGCCTCTATGCTTTGCAATTTGGACTCTAGCTCTGCTGCAATTGACACCTTGTCATTGAGCTGTTCTTCCACTTTAACAAGTTGTGCCTGCATCTTTTCAAGTTGTTCCAAGCGGGTTTCATTTAATTGCTCATTGTCTTTCTTGAGAGTGTTTAGCTCTTCAACTATATCTGCAACTCCGGAATTGCTTTGAGCGAGGTTTCTCATAGTGTTTAGCTCTTCAGTTAATTCAGCAATTTGCCTTCCGCTTTCAGTTTTATCTACTTTCAGAGCAGATAACTCTGATTCTAAAAGTAAGATTTTCGAAATATTTTCCGCTTCACTTGCTCTCAAAATGCTCAATTCTTCCTCTAAGTTTGCGATTTGCAGTTTGCTCTGGCCATCACTGTCTTTCAACACTTTCAATTCTTCAACTAGGTTGACATTTTCCTGTTCGACCTCGGCTTCTTTCATTTTTGATGCACTCAATTCTTCGTTGAGATCTATAATTTGTTGCTTTATTTCCTCTCCGTTTGATTTCAGAGTGGTTACCTCTAATTCTAGCTCCACGATTTTCACTTTACTTTCAGCTTCATTTGTTTCAGAAATTTTTAACGTCTCTTCGAGCTTTATAACTTTTTGCTGGATGTCAGCTTCATTCACTCTCAAAATTTCCAATTTTTCAGCTAGTTCATTATTTTCTTGTTTGATCTGGGATTTTTCTAATTTTAGAGTGTTAAGCTCTTCCATTAAATCTGACAGTTCCAAGACACCTTTTCCTTCTTTTTCTTTCAAAAAGGCCAACTCTTTTTCTAGACCAGTAACTTTCAATTCAAACAGAGCTTTACTTTCTTTCAAAACACTCAATTCTTCCTCCAAATTTTCTGCTTGCTTCTTGCTGTAAAGCGCTTCTGCCTCAGAGGAGCTTAACTTTTCAGAAAGACCAGCAATCTTCCTTATATTCTCAGCTTCATTTGCCTCCAAAAATTTCAACTTCTCGGTAAGATCTTCAATTTTTGTTTCATTTCCATTTTTGTTCGCTAACATAATTTCCAGTTGTTTTGACAAATCTGCATTTTTCTCTTGATGCAATGAATTCTTCTCCATTAGTTCAGACAATGATTGTTTCAGGGACTCAAAGTTATCAACCTCCGACTGCAAGTTCTTGATCTTGGTGTCTGTGCATTCTAATTCGGACTTTAAACCATCAATTTCTTGCAAAGCCTGTGAAAGTTCTTGCGAGCGTCTTTCAAGGTCACCCTCCAATTGTTCAACTTGCGACTTCAACTTGACACATAAAGCCTTTTCATTGGTCAACTGCTCTTCAACAGCCAGAAGGTTAGCCTCTTTCTCGTCAAGAGCTTGCAGCTTAAGTGAATTCATTTCTTCCTGTGACTGCAGTGCGGTCAACTGGGAAATCAAAACTGCCACGCGAGACTCCTGAGACACTTTTTCTGCAATGATAACTTCTAACATATTCTGCTTGAGTATTTCCTTGGTCTCTTCAAGCATAACGCGCCAATCTTCTTTTAGGAAACTCATTTCAGCGTCTTTGTCTTCAAGGTCTGCAGTCAAGGAATCAATTTGCTTCATGAATTTAATCATTTCAGTTTCATAGTATTCTTTGTCTTCATTAAAGCCACCAATTTGTTCCAGAAGATTCTGTAAGGATTCTTCTTTGACACTTAAATCAAGGTCCAGATCTTGAGTTTTAGACCGCATTTGGTCAATTTTCCACTCTGAAAGTTCTTTGATTTTTGCTTCTTGCTTTTGTAGCTGATTTATTAAACCAGTTTCCTTAGATTCCATGACAGACTTCAATACCCCAACCTCACTTAGCAGATCTAACAATGTTTCTTCTGCGTATGCTTTTCTATCAAGGAGACGAACAAGAAGCTCTTTGATATCTTGCACAGTATTAGGGCTTGGGCCGGTAAAATCTCCGCCAATGCTCGTAAATTGTTTTTCTATTTCTTCAAACTTGTGTGAATGAGTTAGGAGCAAATTCTGCATATTCAGTTCCATCAGCAGGAAGGAGACTTTTTCCTTCCAGGAGGTGGTCTCAATTTCAATTTTTTCCAATTCTTCAACAAAGCCATTTAAAATGCCATCGGTATGAACAGTTTTGGCTTGAAGATCATGACAGCATCTTTGAACTTCAGATACATTCTTATCCTTCAGTTCTTCCATTTTGCAAGAGAGCTCTCTGATTTTCTCTTCCTTGACTCTAAGGGTACTTTTCAAAGCCACTAACTCTTTTTCCAAGGCTAAAATGTTGTCTGGCACTTCTGGCTCATCATGGGATGTTTCTGATGAGTTTTTCAGGTCTTGAAGATGAGATTCTTTTTGAATGATTGTCTCTGTCAATGTTTTGGATGCGACTGTTTCAAGATTTATCTGGTCCTCTAGGCCAGACATTAGGCTTGTGACGTCATTCAGGTCGACAGAAAGGTCGTAGAGTTTCTTTTCAACAGCTTCATACTTCGAAGTTAAGTTTGTTGGCTCCTGGATAGGGATTTCTAACTCTTCTGGTACTAAGTTATCTAGATTAAAAGATTTAATAAGACTCTTCAAGACATCATAGGCAGACCGATAGCTCTTCATCAAAACATTAAAAGCACAGACAAATGGGTCAGAGGAGCTACTGATGTCAATCTTGCGCCCAGAAATTTCCTCCACGCCATTCTCGAACTGATTCAGCAAAATCTTCAAATTCACAATCTTCTTCAGGAGAGACTGAGGGCTCATAAGAAGATCATACTCACTTTCTTCTGTTGCCAGTGTTTCACTCAGGAAACCAGAGGAGCCTTCAATGAGAGTTGAGTCGGCACAGAATGACTTTAGTGGATCCTCTGAACAAGTGTAATTGCCATTGAACATTGCAGATGAATTTAATGTGCCATCGCATAAGGCAATCTCAGGTTGTACGATATTCGATTTCATTAGTTCAGCTTTTGAATTTTCTCTTGATGAGGCATCATAGCTGGTTAAAAGCTGATTTTCCATGCTTTCACTTAAGCTAAATTGGTGCTCATTCATATTCTTGAACACTGACAAGTTGACAGCATCAGATGAATTCAATGACTGATCTGCATGCTTTGCTTGAGAATGGTATAAGAGACTGAGATTGCTTTTGCTGGGAGTTTTTGCAGTTTCGTTGAGAGAGTTACTTAAAGAGTTGCGAGATTTGAACAGATTACCAAACATATTAGTAGTGTTTAGCTGGCTATTGTCAATTTGTGACTTGTTCATTTTGCTTTGGAAAGAATCAAATAAAGTATACCAATAATTAGAGGTATCAAAGGTTTGATCAGAAACACATGTACCATTCAAAGATGCATCAGGGAATTTTGCGCTTGGTGCCTTGAAGAGATTATGGATGAAATAGTCGGTGGCATCGGCAAGTGATCTATCTTGGATTGCATCAGCCGTGGAATCATTATGGTGCACAGATTCAAAAAGCTGGTGGAAATAGTTAGAGGTCTCATTCAACCATGAGTCTAAACCTACTGAGCGGCTACTTACGGAATTGGTTGCGAAGAGATTATTAAGGCACATTGAGAAATCTAAGAAGGATTTGGGAGTTGCGAGAACGTTGGCAACACTTTGGTTTAGAGGCTCAGATGGAAGTGATGTAGAGGTATTATTTTCAGATGAATCTTCTTCCATATCAAATAAGTTGTAGAAAAAGTTTGAAATGTCCAGTTCAGTATCTTTCTGATCAGCAAATTTTCCAAACTTCTTTTTGACACCTTGCAAGTGGTTCTCTAGCTGGATAACTCTGTCGCATTTTTCTTTCAGTTGCAAAAAGAGCATGTTGTTGTTGTTGGTGACATTTTCGATGTGTTTTGTGAGAAAAGACATGTATGAAGTCAAGACATTAGTTTTACACTCTAACTGCCGGATGATACAATCTTTGTCGGTAATAGTGTCCTCCAAGGTAACAATGGTTGTATCTTTGGTTTTGAGCATTTCTTCCAGTTCATGAACGTTTGATTTTAGCCCCTCAATTTCAGAACAATACGAATTAATTTTAGCCAATAGATTTTCTGTAGAATGATCAGATTTCTCCTCTAACTGCTGAATAATACAGTCTTTGTTAATAATACTTTCCTCCAAGGTAGAAATGGTGTTATTTTTAGTTTCCAGCATCATTTCAAGTTCTTGGATGTTTGACTTTAGCCCCTCAATTTCAGAATTATATGATTGAATTTCAGCCAAAAGATTTTCTATAGAACGATCGTCGAAACTGTTTGACATATCAGAGCCAATCGTTAACAATTTGGGGTTTGCAGGTGCTACAGTTAATTTCTTAGCATCTTCCAGCTGCTGAGTCAGGTCTTCGATTTGGCTCTTGAGCAAAGACAGTGTTTCATCAGGCAATTCAACTTTGTAAGGAATGTTTTCAGCGCGGCTACCTGAGTTACTCAAGCCAATGACATACTCTCGTAAAGAGCTGAGAACATCTGAGTTTTCTGGGAGCTGAAACTCTACTTTCATCCTTTGCAATGTGGCGTCCTGTTCTTCAATCTGTTGTTTGGCAGCTTCGAGTTCTGCTTTCAGACTTGCCTCTGCGTTTTTTAGAGTGTCTCTTTGGTTTTGTAGATTTTTTTGACGTTCTAGCAACTGGTGTACTCGGAAATTCTCCTCACTGGAGGAATCCTCCGATGAATCTTCCAGCTGTTGATGAGATTCCACTTCTTGCCGCAGACGAACATTTTCATCTTTTAGCTGCTCGATTTGACGGAGCAGGTCATCAACTTTCAAGTTTTTATCCGTACAGTTTTGTTTCAGCTGAATCAAGGATTCAATACGGTCCTTGTATTCTTTGTTCTGTTGAGATAGATTTTCAATTTGGAGCTGTAGATCGGCAACAGCTGATGTTTCAGTGCTGGGCAATTTTTCATTTAATAAGGCTTTCTCCCTTTCTTCAAGAGCGGTTTTTAATTTTTCATTCTCCACTTTAAGATTTTTCACGACTATCTGTAACTCTTCTTGACAAAAATCAATATTCACTGAAGAATCACCAGCATTACTTTGACTTAACGTGCACTCGTCAGGATCTGTATCCAGAGCAGTGAAGCTCTTGCAACTGAAAATATTAAAAAAAAAGGATTGATAAGAATTTTATTTTATAAGTCTTGCATATTTTCTACATTCTGACTTGACGAAAAGGAAACTAAAAATAAGAGGGATTTGAATCGATCTAAAGTTAAATTCAAAGGGCACACTGACGGTGAAACTACCAAACCACAGATCTTGGTTTGCAACGTTGCAGACTTCCTGTCATACTTCATCTTTGAATAGAGAACTACTCAACATTAACTTTTAAAAACTTCCGTGATTTTTCTTCTCTGTGCAAAGCAAATTCTGAAAAAAAGCTTCATGGGATAATGTTGATTTGTTCTCCTTTAAAAAATTAAATAAAAGTGAAGATTTTTAAATACCGCAGATGAGATACGTGGATTAGGGGTTTCACCATCGATATGTGAATGAAATTTTTTTCAGTGACATAACTACTGTCAGTTTTGAAACCACTTTAAGAAATGCTGATTGTACAGACGCTACGAAAATAAAATCAATGGAAAAAATTGGTGAAAGTTCCAGAGGGATTGTAATACCTAGTTGGCTTAGAGATAGATGATACACTTTTCCTCTCAACCACAACAAAAACCGTCTGCTAAGAAGACATCGAACCAACTAAGAAAGATGGAAGCCTGATGCAAAAGTTTTTTAATTCCAGATAGCAAGTTTTGGAAACAGCATAAGCAAGAAAACAGATGGATCATCATCGAATCTATTATTTGTTGGTCCCTTTCATTTATGAATATCTAGATCCAAAGTCAGGGGGCCAAGGTCTAGAATGATACCCTCCTATTTTTTCCATTCAAAGAATGCCTAACAACTCATTTCAAAATTATGCACTAATGTATTGTGTATTAGATGACAAGTCCTTGGATGTTCATTCAGCATCATGTGTTTACTAACCTCCTCGACACACGAAATTCAGACGGAGAGAAAATTAGACTTATTGACGATATGTAATAAATAAGTATAAATTAGCTTTAAAAAATTACCTTTGGTCCATGGCTAAGGAGCGATTAAAAAGGCTTGCTAAGATATCTGGTTGGGTTAGTGAAAGATCAGCTAATTTCTGGAAAAAAAAATTACAAAAAAAATCAAACATATGATTTTACATTTACAATTTTCAGGCAGCAGTTCATTTTTTTATTCAGTTATAATAAATTTTCTCGGATTCAATGATAAATGCTCATTCAGAGCAGTCGAGAAGAAGGTCAAATTTCAACACTTTATGTTCTAGCAAGCTACTGCATGACACAAAAATAGGGCAAACTTTAGAGAACAAATGAAAAAACTCTAAAATCAGGGTCAACATTTTTTAACTCAAAATATGCACATAGATATTGGCAGTGTGCTAATAGTTCGTTTGAGTTGGCCTCATGAACCAGATATGGCATCAGCAGAAAAGCTTTCGCCTGGACCATGAACAAAGAGAAAATCATGAAAATTGTGAAGGGTGCAAGACTTCCTTTGCCAAACACATATTGTTTTTGTTGCTACATGTATTCATTTCAATTTGTTCTGCTGCCCTCTTCAGTCGTAAAGCACCATCAATAATAATGACATTTATCCATAGGTGGCGACACTGATTAAAACAATGTGAGGTCGGAATTAACTAATGAATGCTTATAAAAATCTAAAAAAATTATCAACTGGAAAAAACAAGTTAGAGTCAGTTGCACATGATCACTGCAGAGGGTAAGCAGCAAAACTCACAAAAACAAAAAACAGGCTTGGTACGGAATATGTTGAGTTTCACATGTTTTATTCAAAATGCAATTTCTATTTCGCTAAACTCAAGTTTTTGTAATTGCAGTGCTTTTCAAAAAATAATGCCTATGATTAGAAAAAAAAATAAGAAAAAGAGGAAAGAAGGAAAAGGAATGATAGTTTTCCATTAAGTATTTTTCCTAATAATATTCACTGGTTAGGGATAAAAACACATTGAAATTGACACAGCTGTGGTGTGAATTACCCCCAGAGAGTTAGTATTAGGTTTTACTTGAGGTTGGGATGGACTGGGCTCTGTCAAAAACAGGAAAAGGTAATGGAACAGCGACCCGATTATTAAAACTATATTGGCATATAGCTGCATATAGCACATAAGGCGCTTGAAACTTTCAATAATCGGCCCACTGAAATTACAACACAATCATGCATTTAATTTAACCCACACACTTTATTCAGAAACACGAATTCATATTAAGAAGCTTCCAGGTATTACAAAATGAAGAAGGGAATTTTAGACATCATCAAATCCCAGATAGATTATGACATACACAACAAGCGACTGTAAAACAAACTAGGTATTTTCAGCGTGCTTAACTCCAAAAATGAAAAATGTTGAGAACATACAAAATAACAATACACATTGAAAAAATTTACATTAACAGGTAGATGAGCAAGTCATTTAAGAAAGACAGACCACAAAAAAATGGAGGTAATCTCGATAGCTAACAAACAATACTGCCTATCTGCAAATTGACGATTTTGCAGAAAACTGCGTCATTTTTGTGATTTTAGGGCTAAATTTGCATGAATTTCATACATTACAGCGTCAATGAAGCGCTCCCTTACAGAATTGGAAATAAACTAAAATCATCAGCTTGCGTATTTTATACTGAAAAATGTGGTAAAGTTGCTGACTCTTTTTCGTCAAGGTTGTGCTTTAGGCGGTATTGTTCATTAGCCCCTGATATCTAAGAAATGACTTCAGCATTTAGAAACTAAAGGAACTTTTTTCTTCCTCAGACATTGACCCCGTCGCTTGAATTCCTAAGTCAGGGTTGCCACAGAATTTGGAAAATGAAATTCCCTGACATTTCCCTGACACATTTTTGAGAAATTCCCTGACAGTTGGAGATATGGCAAATGGTTAAGAAGACATAATTGAAAATAGTTTTCAGGCATAATTTGTATTTCGAAACTTCAAACCCATTTTAGAAAGCAAATGAAGGAGGTTTAAAAAATTTTCCCTGACTTTTTAAAATTCCCCGACATTTCCATGTTTTCTCTAGCTGTGGAAACCCTGCTCAGGGAGAGAATTTTTGTGCGATTTCTTACCTGATTTTGCACATATAAAAGGTATTCAAGATCAAAAATACAAATATTTTCATTAACATCTACTGAGTTCAGAAATAAGATTCAAGCGTTTAAATTTTGCAGAGAACCCATTCATAGGCCATAGAATTAATTGAGTATTGAGGGGGACAACAATTTTCTAAAAATGTTCCTTCATTGATTTTGTAACACCCTGGGCAGTATGATCATGAAAAAAAGCAATTCGATTACCGATGAAACTTATAACTGGACCGAGGTAAAGAAAAAGAGGTTCCTTTCAAGTTTTACTCATCCATAAGACTCAATGTTTAAAGACCAAGTTTAACAGATGTTTTCAAGTTCAAAATATTTTTTCATGACTTGAAATTATTGACAGAAGCAAATTTGCGCCGAGCTAAGTTTAAAACTATTCAAAATTAATTTTTTACTAAGAAAGACCTTCTGTTAAACTCAGCCCATTTTGTCTTACGTCCAAAAGAATCCAAGTTATTGAAAGGCTCAAAAATTATAAACAGTAATAATGAAGGATGGATGAACTGACGCACATAAATTTTTTTCCACTTCCGTATGGACCTCGACTAATTGGAGCGAATTGGATAATGGAATAATGGGAAAGAGAGTAAAAAACCGAAGGTTGCAATCTATCTGTTCAAATGAGTGTCCAATGAAGTTGACAATGGCAGTTTGACTGATCGTCATTTGAGAAAGTGATGGATAAGAGACTTGTCCTCAACAAGATGCACAGACCAAATTTGTGGGGATTCTCCCAAAATTACCTCAATTTTGGGAGGTCCCAAGAGAAGTTCTGTCAGACCAGGAGCACTCCCAAAATTTTAAGTCTTTGACCCGATTGGATCAAAACTTATCGAGACGGATGGGGACTTTTTTGACACACTGTGTCGCTAAATTTGAGTAGGTATAACAGTATTTATGGCAGTATTGTAATGTTTCTGAATCATTGAAGTTAAATTACAGAAAAAATTGCATTGCTTAGGAGTTTAAGATAATGATGAGGTAAATTTTATTTGTATATTCAGCGAAGAAACTTCCTGAGCACGTGAACTGGAAGTCATATTCTTTTGGTTGCAGGCTAAATTCTGGACCAAATGGGGTTCAACAGCTTTCTCTCAAAACTATAGAATTAAAATGGCAAAATTCAACCTGCGACCTTGATTTGATTTGATATTTTTGGCTTTTTTAGCGCCAAAATATTTGTGGGACATTTCTTCGTGCAATGATGCTGCAAACTAGGTAAATACTGAATTTTTTTTTTTGGTCGGTCATATTTATTGGCACTGATAGGTAAATTCTGCCCCTAAATAAAATGAGATAAGTTTTAAAATAACCGGTTACAAAAAATTTTACATACATTTTGGTCTGACACGCAATTCGCTATTAGAGTTAGAATGGTTGAATAAGTGACACACCAGGAAACCAGGATCTCGAGATGATGATGATAATGACACTTAACAGATAGCACCCACGAAGCATTCCCTCTACCTAGCTAAAATGAAGACGCATACCTCAGAATTTAAAACCTGTCGTTCCAAAACAGTATACTCTTTCAGTGTCTCATAATCTAACTGGACATTAGTGACTACCTCTTCAAGGCTCTGGATTTTCTGTTTTGCTTTTTCTGGTGTCTTCTCAGGTTCAGGACTGAAGCTCTCTCTGCAAAATTTGAAAGAGACAAGGTTAAATATGTATGTTAAGAGACCTTGATCAACATTGCACAGAAAAAAGAAAGAAAGGAAGGAAGGAAGAAAAAAAATGCCTTGCCTAGTCAGCGATTGCTAAAAACTGGCGAGAGTCATTCCCAGAAGGGATGAAATTTACATATTTGAAAAGGAACCTTAGTTCATTGAGACAAAATTTTCGGAGAAGTGATGTTTGCCAAAAAATTAGATGTTGATGGATAACCCCTTCTTGTGTTCTTAAGAATAAAGTTACGAGCAGTTAACTTCTCCGTCAATAGAGGGCATATGAATCTGCTGTGCTCTGGCAATTTCAAACAATGTATGTTTGCTGGATCAGGGTATCTACTAAAACAGGCAGGCCAAAAATCAGTACTTTTCCAGTACATTCCCAAGAAATTCAGTACCTCCTCAACGGAAGATTTCAGTACTTTTTCAGTGCCTCCATTTCAAAAATTTAAATTTCTCGCTCAAATTGCGAAAAAAATCCGGACCTTCTTGAGGAATTTCCACATTTTTTCAGTATTTCTGGACCGCTCTTAAAAAATCAGTACTATTTCCGGACTTGTAGACACCCTGTGAATGTTTAAAAAACGTTGCTAATTGTTCACAAATATCTTTAGGAATTTAAAATGATTACAATTCTTTACTTGATTGCTTAAATGTTTACAATTTTTCTTTTACACATATTGCATTTCTCACACATTCTTTCTCGATTTAATGAGAAGATATTTCCTGAAACAAGCCATGAGTAGTGTCTCCTGTAGAGACAAAGTTCAATAAACTCACACCAAATTGTATTCAATAAAAAATGGAATGGAGGTAGTTTTTAATTCATCTAGTTGTAACCACCTGTCGAAAATTCAAGGTAGAGGAGTAGAATTTCGAATGGGAAGACACTCTTAAAACTGTGTCTTTAATTTGAGTTTTACGGAGGAGTAAATCCTCTAGCTTATTTATCTCAGTTGAAACTTGAAGCGATTTGGTGGACCTCTGTTAGGCTTGGTCCTTCAGCCTCACTTGATTCACACCAAAGCCATTCATTGTGTGTTAATAGGATTGCCAAAAACGAAGTGTTTAGCATTGGGCATTTTAGCAGATTGCGTCTTGTCTCTCCTTGTCGCCAGCAAACCCATTCATTAACACATGGGTGGAGCTCTTTGGCAGCCATGAGGTAGGATTTTTCCTGACCAATAATAGAACATTGGCCTGTGGTTGGTACAAAAAAGTGACAGAAAAAACGAACAAATATTTAACTTACAACTCTTCCGAACCAGATGAATTGATTGATCTCTCCCACACTGATTCTTCGTCAATTCTGCTGAGACTTTGTCTTACTCCTCGACTTGAAGTGGCACTTTTATCCATACTCTTGCCCTGCTGCAGCTCAATTAATCATATGGTTCTTCAATGAACTCTTCTCTTGGGCAACAGAAAACTTTGATGATGTGTCTACAAGTCAGAAAATGAAAATATGACAATATTGAATAGGTTTTGTGGGTCAATTTAAAAAAAAAAATACTGTCAGCAAAATAATATCAGAATTACATCGTTTCACCTGCATCCTTTATTTCCCTTGAAAATTTTCTAGCAGGTAGGATAATCGCATATGTATAACTCACTATTTTTGATCCCATTTTGCTCACATGGGAATTAATTTGATGTTAAAGAGAAATCTAGAAGCAGGGGTGCAAAAACTTGCTAATCATGAAATTATTATTGCGTGGCTACTTGCGTGAAAAACTGGGAAAACAGGGAAAATTGGGAAGACCATTTCCCATTATATCGTGGAGAAATTCATGTTTTGTATGGAATTGCGATAAAATTGGAGTGCTTTCCGCAAAATTGCACAAATTTCAGGATGAAGGACAAAAAAAAGAACATAGCTTCGAACATTTTACAGAAAATGAGACTTAAAATGTGGGAAGGCCAGTTTGAAAAAAAGAGAAGGCTGAGAACTTTCTGCACATTTGTCTAAAAGAATTCAAGTTGAAATGGTATCATTTAGTAGGTAGAGTCGCTTTGCCATATCTCATCTCCTCGTATGATGCGAAACTGTGCATCCATTTTTAAATTCAAACACTTCTGCGTGACTTTCCTATGATTACAATGCTAAATTCGAATCATAGCGCTTTTAAAACTGTAATTGTAGTGCTTACAGACATCCTGCAATCTTTCCATATTCTCCCACTTAATAGAACAGGAATTCCATTCATAAATTAAAAACATTAAAATTAGGAGAATCGCGATCTGAGGACTGGTTTAAGAAGAGGAAATATTTATACTTACCTCCTTTGAATAATCCAGCTGCCAGTGCTTGAAATTGCTAATGTAGATGGATCACACTTATTTACACAAATTATTAATAGATTTAATGTTTGCTTGGAAGTTTGCGTCATTTAATGCAGGGTGGGTGGAATAAGTGGCTTAGGGAACTTGGTATCTAAGAACCTCCATGACCTGTTAATTTTTTGGTACACACCTACTTACTTACTTGATGATAAATATATTCAGACATTGAAGCAATCGATTACTTGTCTACATTAGTTTGGAGACCATGATAATGCCATTAAAAAATAATCTATGACTTAAACTGATGAACAGATCATCAATTACACCTAGCACAGTCCATGTGGTGCTGATGCTTCAAAGTCTGACCATCCGGATGTTGCCTTCCCCATGGCTCATTCATTGATATGGCAAAAGTGTAGGTGTGCACAGAGACTCAAGAGCCAAGAGTTCCCTCTGACAGACGCGTGGAAAATTTTTCATTATCTTCTCTAAGTAGGTACTCAAAATTTAGGGTCCTAAGACTCTGGTGGATGATGCAAAGGGGGCTTTGTTTACCGAATTGCAGGAAAAAACTCTGCCAGATGGACCTATACCCTTCACAGATAGGATATTGGCTTCTGAAAAGGTGACGTTTACTGCTGACTATTTAAGAAACAGCATAACTGTATTTTAACAGTAGTGATGAGGGACAAAAATTGTACACTACTTAGTTTTGGAGCAAACAACACCTTTTACTCGAGATGAGTGATGGCTTTTTCCCCGCTCAAAAGCAGAGTTTGGCGCCTGTGACGGAGGAGTGATTGAGTAGATAACAGTCGTCTCAAATGATTTACTATGGAAATGTACTTATAGCAACTTTCCCAAACTTAGGAGCATTTCAATTTGATTACCGTCGAGCAAGATTTTCCTGTGCGGTATGTTGAAAAGAGACTACTTAGTTTGGGTGGCTGATGAAAGGAAGAGAGGCAGGGTCTCCCAGGATTGGGCTGAACACTTTTAGACAGAATAACAAGGATGATTCATTTACATGAATATCAGACCCTTGCTTAATGCGCAGCAACAATCACTAAGTACTATTGCTGTTTACCTCATTGTAAACTACAACCTAGAATTCCTTCAAAACCATGCCACTCTCGCTCTCCAGCTACAGAATGATATCAGGCATGAATGATGTGCGAAGCAGAACGAAGCATATTATTGACCGGTAATTGAACTGAGAGCTCTTAAGAGAGCAGAATTCAAAGGAGATGAGTTCAATTGGAACAATATTTCATTGATCAATTTGGAGCATGAAATAAGGTGATGTGAATATGACTAAACTATTACCTGCAGAAAGGATGAAGGATTGAAGGGTGATTAGTGACCATGTGCTGAGAGTCTCCAATACTCCAATGCTGATCCGAGTAATTCATAGGCTTTGTTTTAACCGTCGCACGTATCTTGACGGGGGAACAAAAGAAAAAGTTAAGATAACGTACCTGAACCAGATAAGAGAGATGGAATCCACTCAGCAATTCTTTTCACAACAACAAGGCGACGACAGTTCCCAAGATATAACCTTACACCTTTGACAACATATTAATTTTAGTAACTTTCACTGATTTCACTAGGATTTAACGAATTGATACTGATTACAAACGAAAATTACTTAATGGACGAAAGTTTGAAACTTATCCGCGGTTTCAAACTCAACTTCTACTTCTCCGCTTCAACGTATTTTGCATTGCTCTTCGCGTCGCAACAGATTCAGAATTTTCATTTTTGAAACTTCCAACAGACAAATTACACGAATCCAATTGGTTGTTTAGAATGAACATATGAACTGTAGGGCCAATCAAAGCGCTTGATTTTTAAAATTGAAGAGAGGGGAGAGCTTTGGTGCTGCTGTGAGTGTGAAGTTTAGGCATCAACGGTGGTGGCGCAATTTTTTAAAATGACGCGTGCGTGTAACAACTTGCGACTCATGATTGTGACCGTCAAACGGAGATACTTCAGCTTCGCTGGCGTAAGTTCAACCAGCTGGTTTTTTTTTCTCTCTCGTTTAATTAATTAGAGTGAAAAATTTAAATTTCACAGAAATCATATTCCCATCCACAAAAACGATGCCACATCCCCTTCAGGTCAATTCCGGTTGTCATCTGCCTAGATAACTTATTATCAGGGGACAAGTAGTTGCTATCTACTCGATGAACGATTAAAGGGCTTGGAGGACAAGGCACATAAGTGTAGCTTTTACTATTTCGAGAAATACGTTTTTGAAGTTTCGAAATCACATGGATCCTTGTGATGAAACATTTTTAAAAAATTTCGTTACTCACTTGCGGTAGAATTCTTCATAGAGACACGCGTTTTCGGGAACTTAAAGAATTGAGCTCAATTCGCTGCCGACCGATGATGGAGCTTAGAATTCCGAAACGCGTCTCTATTAAAAATTTTACCGCCAGTGAGTGACAGAATTTTTTTAAAAATGTTTTATCATAATTAACTTGTAGCGATCCCCCCCTACGAATTTTCTATGGATCCTTATGGCAGAAAAAAAGTTTGAACTGACTTCTTGATGCTTAACAATTGAAATTTGATAGCGAATATGTCACAGAATATACAGTTAGACTAGTTTTACTGGAAATCATACAATCTTCATTTTTTCAAAAGCTGCACTTGTGCGCCTTGTCCTCCAAGCCCCTCAATTTGGCAAAAACTACACTGAAAAAAAAAATTGCTGAAATACGGTGACCAATCACCAATAAATTAGTTAAATCAACCCGGTGTTCTTAATCTATTTTGATGAGTTGTCACCTTTTTTCACTATTTCATGTGTTGTTTTAGCATTTTTTTTTTTTTTCAGTGTACTAAAAAAGGGAATCGAAGTGTAAAAGGCGTAAGTATGTGTGGTACATACTTGTAGAAGGCTGTTCCCTGAACTCCGAGTTATGACAGTCTCTGCCCGTTACATTTTTATCCCAATCAAGGAAGCGATAAAAATGGCATATATTAGTAAGGAGAGAAGCAAAAATGACCATCAAATGGAAACAAGGAACATTCTAGTGAGAACTACAAGAAATGTTGACACGAGCTGGTACTGGGATAGCTTTGAGTTTAGGGCAGTCAGATTTTTCAACAAGTCACCCAAAGAATTGAAAGAAATCTTTATCAAAGCTAAGTCGCCCATTAAGGTATATTAAAAGAACACTTTTTACAAAACCCTCTCTACACCTTGCAAGAGTTTTTAAATTTGTAAAAATTACTCTTATTTGTAACCTTTTCTAATGCGACTTGTATTGAGCGTTTCTGTTCAGGCCAATGTACTAATCTTTACAAATAAATAAATAAAATAAACATAGGTATGATGCAGAATATACAATATCCACAAATGATAATGGTTATGAGGCTTAGGGGCAGCGGTAACAAGGAACCCACAATGTGTTTTATAATAAAGGCGCTCGCTGGAAGAATGTATTACTGAGGTAATGATCAATGATAATTTTATTGCTTCCACATGTAGGGGGACTAACGTGGTTATTTCATAAATCTGTTGTGTAATATTTACGCCCGACTGGAATTAAGTCGTTGTTCAAAATATTTTGAGGGCAGACTTTGACAAATATTTGACTCATACCAGCAGGCATGCAATTTTCGAAAGACTTCATTCATAGGTGAGGCAACTAATAATACCTGCCTACCTTCTGTGCTCTTGTTTTTGCAAGATATAAGTACTTATCTCCTATTCTCTCTCTATCATCTTTCCTACTTTTTAGAAATGATCTTTTTCGCAGACATGTATATTTGCCATCTTACTTTACAAAACCACTCTTTGAGCATTTGAACGTTTAGTGGCATCACAAAATGTAGAACTTCTTTTACGAGCCGTCTCATTCTGCTGTAGATTGTGAGATGTATGATGAATAGATTATAAATGTAATACTTTTGTGGTAGTTAACTAAACATACCGGCCAAAAAAAGAAAAAGAAAAAAAAATGTAAAGCCTGCCACTTCAATAAAAAATCCCCTGACATTGATAGAAGTTTTTTAATTGAAGTGAGGGACCGTTGATAAAATACATGTCACTCTGGGGAGAGGGGGGTTAAGGTGAGCGTTAAATGATATTTTTACAAGTTAAATAATAGGGACCTAAGTCACTAAAATTCCGAAATTTAGCGTTCGGTATGTATTTTTTTGATGGCTTTTAAGAGTGCAGGGGATTTTATAGACTGAGAGAAAAGTAAAAAAGCTATAAGATAAAATAAATACATGAAACAGAATAAGTATTTATTATAATTAAGTACAACGAGATTCTACATCCCAAAAGGTAACAACTGTACCAATACTGAAAACTGTTACAAGATTCCATGGAAATAAAACGAGGACTTTCTTCAAGACCTAATTTCTTAAGGAAACAAGTAAAAATGAAAAGAGGGACAGTTTGCTGTTATTTCCTAGCATACTTTACATTTTTCACATTTGTAAAATCATGTAGAGAAAATCATTATGGTTGAGCAGCATTTCAGAGGACTGCAAAAAGAAAACAAAATAGAGAGAGAAACAAATGAAAGCGGGGGAAAGATTATTTTCTTTTCAGTTTGACAGGAAGCAAAAGAAGAAAAAGGATAGTGCAAATGAAACCAACCCAGTAGTTCATTTTACGGAATGTTTCCCTGTTTAATTTGTTTACTTTTCTCAAAAGCATGGAGAGCGTGAATTAAAACATTTTTTTATTTTAGGGGTCAAAAATCAACTGGGTTGTAAGTATAACAGATTTATGAGGCCATCATTTAGAGCGAATTCAAATCAATGCAGGAGGAGACATCTCAATTTAAAATTCATGCTACGGAATGGAAGAAAGGTGGCTGCAAAAGTTCAAAGAAAATTAAAATTTGGAGTTGAGATGAAGATCTAAAATAATTGGGTAAAAAAGTACGATCCAAACGTAATGATTGTTTAAAATTAGCTGTCACATAATTTTATGGTTATCTTAAGTGCTTCCCTTTTAACTTTTTAGCAAAGGAGCTATAAAAAAAGGTACAATCAGTGAAGGGACCAGTATGACAAAAATCACGAATGCATATTTCAATCACTGATTTGAATTGATTTTGACACAAAAATGACATTTCATGAATGTATCAAACCTAGAATTTTTCATGCCATAATTTTAGGCACCTTAATTAGAATTGAAATTGGAACCTGCTTTTGATCTGTTACTTTGTACTGAGCTAATTCAAGGGAGGAGAAAATAAGCATTATGAGTGAAGTGAATCGTTTGCGATTCTGAAGGCAAATTGTTTACAGCTAAAAAGTACAAGGAGCCTCATGACAGACACAAACAATGATCTTTCACATTGAAGACGAAATTTTGGTTTTGATTTTAGGTGGCTTTCCAAAAGAATTACAACAAATAAACAATACTGCGATGTATCAAGAATGTCACTTTCTGCCTTCATGCATTGAAACTTTCAACTTTTGACTCGCTGTTCCTTATGAAGTGCAGCTTTTCCTTTACCTTTTTCCCCTTCTGAAGGCTAGTTTTGATTTTTTTTTTTTTTTTTTTTTTTAATTTTCACAAAAATAGGATATAGATTTGTACACACAATTATATAGCATTTAAAATTATCGACTAATAACTTTTCTTAATTTTCAAGCGCCATTTTCCGTGAATCCTTACTTATAAATCAACAGTATAATCATTTGATGATTTCTGGATTTTTTTAAAACCCCAAAAAATTTAACAAAATAAGTGGGGAAATATAATGCAAGATATACTTCCTCACAAATGACAACATTCGTCCTCAAGATAACAATAACAAAAAATCGATAAATTGATCTGGACAAAAGGTAGAGCCTAAAAAAGTGACATACAAGACTTACTGATAGATTAAAAACTTTAGTTCTAACTCAAGACAGGAACTAGACAGCTAAAAATTAGCTGTAAGGATTTTCTATGGATGTGACCAATATTTATCAATAACATTTGCTAGAATGCGAGATTAAAATTTTCCATACCATAATTTGTAAAACTTATGAGAAAGTACAAGAAATGTTTAACAAATGGCAAATTAAAAATTTACTACACAAAAATGTGCCTTGGTACTAATAGAAAGCTTCCACAGTGTCTCAGTCATTACATGTCAATTTTGAATAGCAAAAAACTGAAAAAGAATGATTGATTACTGATATTTTAAGTACTTGATTCAAAATTTGTGACATTGGTCAATTGTTACCGCAATAGAAACAGATAAACTTGTTTCTGGCAAAGCTTTTGAAACAATGTATGGCTGAAAACATAGAATGGATAAGACACAAAAAGCTAACAGGATTTCACAACCATCATATGAGAATAATTTTTTTTAATTAATAAATTAACAAAGAAGATCAAAGATATAACAAACAAAATATGAAGAGCAATAATCATCATTTATCCAAGAGAAATAGTCAAGAAATTTGAAAGTTTACCTTGCACATTTGATTCATTTGGTTCGATGTATAGGACATGAAATTGCAAGTTTATAAGGAAGTACTAATCCCTAGAAGAATAGAGGAAATGTGATAGTTAAAATTAAGGTCAAAAATGTATAAAAAACTGACTAACTTATTGTAAATACTAAACCCTTCCTTTAATTACTAGACAATTTCTCTTATATTTTCCTACTGGGAGGTAAAAACTTCAAAAGGAATTTCAAGTCACAAAAAAATACTAGGTAAGAGTGACTCTTAAATATGTTGTTTATAGATTTCTTATGTATACATTCCGAGATTCAGAAATAAAGGAACAGTTAAGATTAAAGATCTTTTACATTTGAAATGTGGGACTCCAAATAAGTTCGTTCTCTTTTCTTTCTTTTAAGCCGAGGCTGATTAATTTAGGGGTAAACGTCAAGATAATTTGTCATTTCTTTAGTATACCTTTGTACGGCGGATAGAGCCAGAAAATTTGAAAGCAAAAACTATTTGTGTTACAACTCAAATTTAATCCTTCACTGAGAGATTACAAATTGCACAGAAAAAGAGGGGGGGGGTTGAATAAATGTATAATTCATTTAATTTTTTTTTCTATGTGAATTTCCTCGGGAAAACATTTAGAGACTTCTCTGAGCTCAGAGGAGTAGACCAAAGAATACATTCAGTGAAGCCTTTAAATTTTGCTCCAAGGAAACTATCTTACTCTCAGAAAAAAATTTTAAATGAAACAGACAGCCATTCAATTTTTCCCCCTCTTCACCATTGCATTTTAAGATCCTTTATTGGAGGATTAAATTGGAGTTCTAACATAAATCTTTAAATTGACATTGAAAATTTTTATTATGATGCCAAAAAAATATTTTTCTAAGACCACTCTACAGTTGCTTTCCTAAATTGTTTAGCCAGTGTCAAGAAATTACGCGTTCGTCAGATGGTTACCTTTCAATTTCATCTTCTAATTAAAAATACCCTCCTAACAAGGAATTGACACAAGTTAGTTAAAAAGTTTTTTCTATGAGATAAAATAACCAAATCATTGACAAGTTCTACTATAATGATGATAATTCTTCACAGAACCATGTTATCAGAGATGTAACAGAAAAAGAGGAAATATACGGCAAAAAGTGAGGAACCAAACATTTGGTTACTCTTATGATGCACATAAATGCAAGAGAAAAAAAATACACAAATTCTACTAACTTTAACTTTGACTGTTGTGATTACCATTGCATTGCAGATTACCCATTAGTAACTTATTATTCCCATTTTAAAAAAAAAGAAGTAAATAAATAAATAAATAAATAGATAGTCTAATATCAGCTGCTTCAAAAATGCTGCACTGACAGCGAGGTTTAGATAATTTGTAACTATAGGTGTATGCGCCTTCTATTCCAAGGACTAGCTTAACAGTAACTAGATGGACTGATGTTCTCCATCACAGTTTTTTCAGGTCATACAGGATACCAAAACCGTATGCTGTGTGGAGGGGACGCCGGGTCATGGAATGAAATCATCTGTTCAAGCTTTCTTCTTCCAGAAAAAATGGATCATCTTTGTACAGTTTTAATGACGCATTGCTTTCAAGAACATTATCAGCAGTTCTAATGTCTTCTTTGATGGTTTCGATCAATTCATCTGAAAAAAGAACAGAGGGAAATGTTAAAAAAAAGTTTTAAGTTTCCCAAAAGCAGCTTTAATACATTGCTACAGCACAACTCAATATAATAACTTTCAGCGAACTGGCAAAGATAATTGTTGAATCAAGGTTGTTGCTATACTGCCGTGCTAAGGGAAAACGCTGTATGAACATTCGAGAGTTGCCAAATTTCCTTCCATTAAATGTTAAATTTTGAGGAAAGTTAAGGATATTTTTCCTTGAAATTTTCAGGAACTTTAGGTAAAATTTCCAACAAAATTATCTGAAAAATTGGAAGAAAGATATTCATAAGTTCAGCAGGAAAGTTTTGTTTTAGAAATGGCGATTTGGCAACGCCTGAAGATTCATACAGCGTTTTTCCTCAGCACGGCAGTATATCAAAACATATTGATGCGTGCAGTTAATGTCCTTCGAAATGAGCTCTTGCTATTTTTGCGGGGTTATGCAACCCTTGAACTTGCATGAAGCTATTTTGCGGCCTATTGTTCTTTAATCTGATGTGGGTATTAGGTATTAAAGAAAAACCTGTTGGCTGGTTGACCAAAAAATTGGCTTAGTAACTTTAAAAACCTCATCAATTTTTATAAATATTGCAAGAGTGCATGCAAAACTTGGACAAGCAAGGATGTGCGCTAGGCAGTGCGACACAGCATTCAGCCTCAGGTAGGTTAACATTGGCTAAACTTGTTTCCAGAGCTGCCGACATTCTTACTTGTGTTTTGCAACTTTTGTACTCACCCACCAGTTGTCATTCCCAAATTGATTTTCTCACTACTCAAAGTTCTCCATTTTACTTATCTGCTACTTACCGTTTCTGATGTCACTCATCGAAACTTACACAAAAACTTCTCACTCGCTGCTTGGTGCATTCTAATGAAAAAAGGCCAAATATGAATTCTTTTATGATTATCTATCAATCACTTCAACCCTCCTTCTCATTAGTATACAGTCATTGTTATTTTCTTGCAAAAAACAGGTTTTATTCTTTCTCATTGGTGGACATTGCAGAGATAAATTTTCTATATTCTTTCAATGTCTTCATCAAGAATTAAAGGGAGTCCTACATACAGGACTTAGGGATCACAACTCAGTTCTTCATCATTGACTTCTCAATAGTTAGTTTACATGCCACTGTAAGCATCGAAGCTTGATTTCATGGCTTTAAAATACTTCCAGTAGAATTTTCAGAATATGTATTAGAAAGTACAATGCATGAAATGCGAAATGAAACAAACCTAAAGAGGTGAAATCCTTCTCGGGCCTAATGTACCCTACCATTATGATTTTCAACTCTGATCCATAAAAATCATTTTCAAATGTATGCAAGATGTGAGTTTCCTGGAAAAAAAGAAAAAAGAAAAACAGAAGTCGAAAATTCCATTAGCAAATTTTGAGAAATACAAGGAACTGAGGCATTTTGCAGTGTAAGTCGGCAATCACATAACTCGGTTCGCAGACTTCTTGTCATACTTCATTTGTAAAATTGAAAACTACCGACCGGCAATTCTTTAAAACTCCCGTGATTTTTCTTCTCCGTGCAAGGAAAATTCTGCAAAAACTTCTAGGAATAATGTCGAATAGTTCTCTTATACTTAAAATAATAACATAGAGGTGGAGATTTTCAGACATCCCAAACGAGATATGTGATTGCGGATCTACGCCGTCGATTTCCTGTCAAGACCACTAACCACCAATGGGATCAAAATATATTGAGTGCAAAGCACTTAACATGATCAAAGAGGAGAGATGAACTAATAAATTAATCTCCATGGGCATCTTTCTGAGATTTGCTTTGACTTTTCAACATGCCAAATGAAACAGGTGATCAAACCAATAGTATCAAAAAAGTGTTATGTACTAACACGATCCAATTTTATTCTATTTTGTAGAATTTTAGACTTTAGAGTCAAATGGGACCATATTCATAGCTGCTCTTTTAACTCTAAAACCTCCTTATGCCATGAAAAATAATATGTTTAGGGAAGTCTCAATAGATCAAGGGACAACTACAAATCGACGGTGTAAGTCGGCAATCACATAACTCAGTTTGCGACGTTGCAGACTTCCTGTCATAATTTATTTTTTAAACAGACAACTACTCAACGACAATTCTCTGCCATGATTTTTAATTTTTTTTCTCTGAGCATAGAAAATTCTGCAAAAACTTCAAGAAATGATATCTATTTGTTCTCCTTTAAAAAAAGAAAATAGAGGAAGGGAGATTTTCAGACACCGCAAACGAGATATGTGATTGCCGACTTACAACATCGAAATATATAATCAGCAACAGAGACTGTGAATGAAGCTCTACTGAAATAATACAGGCATAGTACAAAGTCTTAAAAGCTACCCCAAAAACCAACTTTTTTCATCCAATTTTGAAACACTGCAGTTTTATCTAAAACTTCGGCCCGATGGCCCTTCGTCAGACAGGAATTTTCATATAAAAATGAGTACTTATGATTTTGACCTCATCAATTCTGCATTATGCTACTTGATGCATCAGAGAGAAAGGGCTTTCCATCACATCTATGAGAGAAATCAATTTATCTGATGGCTAGCGATTGCTATCAGCTATGATAAGGCATGCGGATAAGAATTTGAACAAAGCTTCATGGATAACTCCCACAAATAAACCACTGACCTGGTTTTGATTTGATATTTTAGTGCTAAAAAATTTAATTTCTTTGCTCCACAAAGGAGCAAAGAGATTACTGAAGAACTTGTACTAAAAATCCACAATGACACAGCGCTTTCAAACTCTGAGCTTTAGGATTTTATTTTAATGGAAAATATTCATTTAAAATTAGCCTAACCCTAGAATTTATGTGAGTAACTCTTGCATTTTAGGAAGGGTTCATAGATCTTAGATCTTGATTTTCATCCCCTCTGGCTAAAACCATCACATTATCAGTGTTCGTGGTATAACTTGTGAGAAGATCCGGAGAAAGAAAAAAAATAAAAAATTACCATAGACTTGTGAGTGTTTTTGTAGAATGGATTCCATCCAACACTGAGGACCATCTTGAATACAGGCGAAGAGTCAACTTGTGCCCATCCATAATAGATACCCGTTTTCAATTCCTCGGGGAGCTGATTGACCACTTCTTGAGGAAAATTTGCTGGGTGGAGATAAAAATGAAGAAAGTGAGCACACAAAAACCAAAGTTTTAAAATAACTTTTGGGTCAATTTAAAATGTAATTCAAAGCCCACCACCATGTAAAACTACATATCGACAGTGAAACTACCAAACCACGTATCTCGGTTTGCGACGTCGCAGACTTCCTGTCATACTTAATTTTTTAAATGAAAAACTACTTAACATCCAGTCTTGAAAATTTCTGTGATTTTTCCTCTTTGTGTGGAGAAAATTCCGTGAAAATTGTGAGGAATGATAATGATTTGGTCGACTTCAAAAAAATAAAATGCGAGCGTAGATTTTTAAACACCACAAACGAGATACGTGGTTTGGTAGTTTCACCGTCGATATACTACAACTTGTGTAAGCTGAATAGCAGTTCTTTTGCAAAGCAACTTATGTTTATACCCAACATCATGGCGCCTTCGATCCATTTACTACAACAGAGATTGCTTCACCTTCCTCTAATAAAAACTGGGGCACCGCCCTGTCTGTCAAACTCTTAAGTACCAAATACATATACATCACTGATAAGTATAAAATGTGTCAAAAATTGAAACTAACAGCAATGGTAACATTCAAATATCTTCAGAAGAGGGCCAGTTCTGAGCCCATCGCTTGGGATGTCACCCAGGTAATCATTTCCCTAATGGATTCAACTACTGTCATTACTACCTACCTGTAACTACCATAAAAATGACAGTAACAGCAAAAAACAATCATCGATCAAAGTTTTGTAGAGAAGCCACGGCTTCCTAAGTGTGCATCACATCTACGGCCTAATTGGTGAAATACAAGTCAGCATGACAGGACTTAGAAAATCAATAAATTACACAGCTTAAAAAGAGCAACATATTGTCCTGTCTTGCCAATAAGAATTTAGTTCAAACAATCAGGTTGCGGAAAAGTGGGGTAAAAATGGAAGAGTTCAAAGTTAATGATGTAAGAAATAACGCTTCGACAGGTACCTACCAGTGGGAACACCAAGTTGCTTTGATCCTCTTCCAAAACCTTTCACAACTTTTCCTCTGGTATAATAAGGGAGATTTTTACAAATCATGACACCCTATGATCTACTGCTACTTTCCAATCCGTGCTGATAAGGAATTTCAGGTGATTGACTTGAGGCTTGGACTTCCTCAATTATGATTATGTAAAGGAAGAGAAAACGCCCGGCAAAGACAAAGAAACTCACTACACTGCTTTGTAACGAAACTGATAAATAATTGTAAAAACAAGCACCGATAACTGTAAAAAATTTAGTACTTCCTTCGATGTCGCAATTTCAATGCCACATTCACATTCGAATGCTGTGTTATCTATCTAGAGCTTCAAGGTATGTTTTAGTTTTAGGTTATAGTTGATGGCATTGGTATTGCTGGGTTACCAAGTTTCTTCAATGTTACTCTTTTCTTGACATGACGCTCATTTTTAAAAAATTTGCAAATAACTAAGAAATGCAACCTTGTTTTAAGTTCTCATGACGTCCAATCACGTCATTAACTGACGATTTCGTCATAATACGTCGTTTACCCACGTCACCCATGAATCAGCTGTTGCTGATGGTTACTGTGACTGGTGAATGTGATTTGTTATTATGTTATTTGTTAATCAAAATCAGCAGTGTTTTGAAACGGTTATCTATCTTCTATCAGTCTGTTATCTGTGTAGTAGTGTTAGATTTAGTACTCTTAGTTTGTTAGTTCACATTCTGTCCTAATTCATAATTATTTAGTCCTAAATTTCAATTCTTTCACTACAAATTTGCGTTCGTACCTACTTATGAACCACAACAAGTCTCGGATGATTTTATTCTTCAGTTAGAGTGTCATTTTAAATATGTTCCGGCAACTTACTAAGGTGATTACATACTCAGCTTACATCTTGCTTTATGACCTGTAATTGTCCTTTCCTTGCTTTAAGGAATTACCTAATTACAGATCTTGCAGGATTTCTGTGAGGTCTTGGTTAGTTGTGCGAGGAACAGACTTGCTGCTACATTAGCTACGTTAATCTGTGCTTGATGAAAATGCGACACATTCAAGCGTATTTGGACGTATTTATGCTAAATGGAACTACATGCAAGTGGTAAGATGGGGTGCGCTTGTTAGTTGAGGGCCATAAGAATGAATGGGACTTTAAAAGCACCAGTGACGTCAGCGGTGACAACGAAGGTGCACATGGTGACAAGCTCATCGTAAGGGCGCTTTAACTCATAAGCCCTATCCACAATGCTCTTGTCATATGTCCACAGCTCATGAGTTAGCACTCAGTTCCTTTTGATTTAATGTCAAATTCTGCTTTTCCGTTTTCTCAAAAAGAACTATATCCACTTTTACATTGTTTCTCGTGTAGCTTCCACAAGCTTACCCCATCTTTCCGCTTGCGTGTAGTTCCTTGTAGCATAAATACGTCCATTTGTGGAATCGGCAGATGTTCAAAGTGAAGTTCACTTGCCAAGAGCCTATCATATGTTTTCCATTAGTTCACAGTAAAGCAGCACGACGGTGTAAGTCGGCAATCACATAACGCGGTTTGCGACGTTGCAGACTTCCTGTCATACTTTATTTTTTCAACAGAAAACTACTCAACAGCAATTCTGTAAAGTTGCTGTGATTTTTCTTCTCTGTGCCGAGAAAGTTCTACAAAAACTTTAAAGAATGATGTCAATTTGTTCTCCTTTAGAAAAATAACATGGAGGCGGAGATTTTCAGACACAGCAAACGAGTTATGTGATTGCCGACTTACACCGTCGATCAGCTGTTACTTTGAATGAATTGGTTGTGTGAATGGGAACTATTAGTTGAAACGAGGTATACATCTCGCCTGTAACTTTTCTGACCTGTAAAGTTCAAAATAACATCTGACCATGATAAAATTGCACCCTTGTGTGATGTACAAATGATGTTATTGCTTTCATAGTCGTGAAATTGATACATGAAATCAACTGTGTTGTCATGTAGTCAGTAACTTGAGGATGAAGATCTATGGCACCTTTCGGTCCTTGGCTAATTTCAGTAAGTGGGGTGCAAAATGTTCCGAAATGCTGATCATTTGCCCCGATCTGGCATACTGAATCATCTGCTAAGCTACAAAGTCACACCTTTACAGATTTTCCTACTTTTTTTTTCAGATAAGAAATGGAAGAGGGACTAGTCTGGAGTTCTCCATCCACTGTGCCTTGAGACGTAGGAGGTAATTAGTTCTGAGTCTCATGTTTTTAGTATGTTTGCCTTAAATGTTGAGGAGCAAGCTGATCATTTGGCAATTCATTATTTATACTCAGGGGTGCCAAAAAATGTTTATTTATCCCCAGGAAGGATTCTTTGTGAGCTATGGGCTAGCAGTAGACCACATTTGCCGTATCATTCGGTGAATGGAGGTCTACAGATCAGATAATTTAATCAGCTTGTTTGAATTTTGCTGCTGTTGGAAGCATAAAATATCCAAAAAGCATAATATGAGGCAGAAGCCATGGGCTTTTTTGGTTGAAACGGCCAGTCAATAAAATGTGTCCTTATTCCTATTGCAATGTTCAAAAATTTCTGATTATATCGTTTGAACAAAATGAAAAAAAAAACCCTCGAAATTCTTTGTGAATATCTTTTCTTAAGAGTATAGAAAATTTACAGGAAATCAAGATAAGAAAGTTTGCTGGTTTCCTCGGAAAAATAAAACTTGCGGAGCGGAGACTTGCAATGTTTTAATTGAATGCATTTATGCTAAAAGGAACTAAGTCTCACGGAAACCCTATGCACACAGTTGTTTTTAGCATACACACGTCCAATTGTAGGTAAGCATGTTTTGACAGTAGCCATCGAAATGTTCAATGACAGACCCCTCATAATCAGTCTATTAGGTGGTACGATTAGTTTATTTGTTGAAAGAAAGAGCTACCTGGAGGTAAATTTCATAAAAGAAAGACTACTACCATAGTGATTGGTTCATGTTACACAGGTCTCTGCACTAAAGAAAATATAACTCTAATTTAAAATAAGCTTTTTTAGTTTTCATATTTCAAAATGAAAAATGTATTCAACATATATTCAACAAGCCAATATTTAAATGTTGGAGAGATTAGAATAATGCGCAATACAATAAATTTTATTCTGCAGCCGATTAGTGGAATTAAGTAATCTGTTTGTAAAATTACAAACTTGGTAGTGGCCGAAAGAATCCAGTTACCCATAAATAATTTGATTTGAGATGAGTAAATGAAGCTGACCTAGCCTTTTAAGAAGAATGAATCTTCGAAAGCAAAAGTTGAATCTAATCATCTTCTTTTTGCAGGCATACATATGCTGAGGATCAGTACCTCCAGATAAGCAGTGTGCCCACTCTTCACTTTCAACCATCTCTCCCTCGTCTGCCGATTCCGGAGCTTTCAAAAACTTGTGATCGCTATCTGCGATCTGTGAAACCAATACTTTCCAGTAGTGAATATGAGACAACTGAGAAAATCACAAAGGAATTTTTGCTGAATGATGGAGCGGCTCTTCATAAACATCTGGTGGCTAGTGACAAGGCCAATTCTCATACCAGTTACATTTCCAAGCCATGGACAGATGTGTATTTTTCTGACAGAGTGCCATTGCCGCTCAACTACAATCCAATCATAGTGTACATCAACAGCTCAAAACCTAGTTTTAACAGTCAGTTGATAAGAACAACGAATCTCCTCATTTCATCTCTCAGGTTTGTAAATGCCCATTTTTCTGTGTTTAATATAATTTTAAGAAAGGAAGTTTGTCTCGATTAGATAGAACTTCATGTTGAGCTCATTCTTAGAAGAAAAGTATCCATCATTAAGTCCTCAATATTTTCAAATTACCTCATAAATCTTGTGTCATCGTAAGTAAAGAAAAAAATTGCAGGAAACTCAAAGAAACAAAACAGCTTTCTTTCAATTTCTGAAAATTATTCGAAGTAGGTTAATAATTCAGAGATTCAATTCTCAGGATTCCAGATTTCCAGGATATTTGCACCATGGGTCACCGTAGAGATAAAATTGTGATGAACAAAATGTTGTTAATCTATTGAAAAAATTAAATTTTTTCTTGCAGTAATTCAAACTGGCCGTTGATTATGGTTTTTCTTGCGAGTGGACAGTTTGAATTGACGGATTCTAGTTTAAACTACAAATCCTATTCAGCTCTTATTACTTGATTATTTTTTTATTTATTTTTTTTCCCAATTTTTTCAACATGTTTTGCTTGAAATTTCGATAAGTTAACATTCATGTAATATCTTGTCTACTGGTCCATATCTCTAGAAGTGAGTGATAAGATCAAAGTTTCCCTGTCCATGTGTGCATGATGTAATATCTTGTCTACTGGTCCATATCTCTAGAAGTGAGTGATAAGATCAAAGTTTCCCTGTCCATGTGTGAATGATTTATTTATAACTGCTGTGTTTCATGCTTGGTTAGGTTTTTGAAGTCTCTCAGAGCAAATATTTTGGAACCGGAAGTGTTTCATTTGAACCCAAAGAAAAGCGACACTCCATTCTTCAGAACGTTTACTGGTTTGCTTCCATCATCCATCAGCTGGTATGGTGCTTATATGTTCAATGTAAGTTCCTAAAGTAATCCTGAAAGTTTTTTTCATAGCATGGCATAACAATTATTGAAGCTTTTTAAGAGCTTTCTGTAGAGCCCGCACCAAATGAGTTAGGGCACTTTTAGAGTGAGACAGAAGATCAGCTGTCATCAGTTTAACATTGACAGTTAATCCAAGAATCAAGTTGGCAGATCTTCCGCTGCACTCTTAAAGTAGGTAAACTTATTTTGTGTGGACTCTACAATGATTTTTTAGTACCCATACATTTCAAGAAGATTGTTGTCGTCATAAATGGTTGGTCTTGTTAGAACAGCTGCTGCTCTTATTCTGTGCATTGTTGCTGTGTTACCTTGTATTTTGAGTCGCCAAGCCAGTAGATCAGATATTCATTGTGACAGCTGAATATTTCAAACTATCTACCTCAGTGGTAAAAGCACATAGATTTTTAAACCTCGGTATAGAAGTTGAAAATTTTACCCATAAAAAGGTATGAGAGTTCGAGATTTTTTGCAATGAACCTAAAAAAAAAAGTAATTTTGAAGGCATGTAATTTTCCTTCATAATTCATTCTATAACGTTCCTCAAGACTGTTTAGTTCTGTTAAATTCTACATGTTTTAGTTCATTTCTTATCATTCCTTTATTCCACTTTCCAAATGAGTATCTATTTTTCTTTCACGAAATGTGTTTTTGTCACAGTTGAAAATGCCTGTAATGTACGGAAAAAGCAAGCATTTTAGGAAACCTGTGAAAAGAGGAATTTTCTTGAAAATAAGAGAAAAATACTAAAAAAGAAGGGACTTTAGATGATGATGTATTAGTAGACACCCTGTAATGCAAGCTCCAAAACTTAGACATTCCCGCTAAAAGTTCCAATCAAAAATGTTTATATTAATAAAAATGTCTCAATAATATTATCATGATTAATTTTGTTCCATCCTTGATAAATTTTTTATGCGAAAAAACAGCATCAAAGTTGGCAGTGTTTGTAGGTTCTCTTGGATTTTATTTGGACTTCTTAAAGGCTTAAAAATGGGATCCTACTTGGCTATTTACATTATGCCAAAAGTGCTAAAATTTCTTCTTGGTGTGGTATGCAGTGGGAATTTGAATTGATTGTTCTCACAATAATTCTGATTACTTTGTCTGTTTTCAATCAATTTTGTAGGCTTATCCATTGGACATGTCTCAATACAAGCACCTGTTCAACACCTCGCGGATTCCAGAGCAAAATAAAGATAGACTCTTTCATGATGCATCAAAGCGGCACATTCTTGTCATGCACAAAGGTCACTTTTATGTTTTTGATGTCTTAGACCAAGCAGGTAAGCTCCTCTCTTTTTTTAAAAATCAATTTTTTATCTGTGAATAAACAAGATGATTGAAAAAGAGACTAATTTCTATTATTTTGATGCGCAATTATGTCAAAATCACCAGGCCCAAAACTTATTTCCTCACTTTTCAAGATAACTTTTGGCAAAAATGTTCCTCCAGATCACAATGATTTTTTACTTTTTTAGCTTCACCAGCTTTAATAGCAAATGGACCGAGTTTAACAGAAAGGAACCAAGCCACATCAGCTATTGCCGAGTTTAACTGGGCAATTAAATTTTTTACGAGAGAACGTTTGTTCGGATTTCTTTGAAAATTTTAAGGAATTTGCTTTGTACCATGGAGAATTTTCACTGAAATTTGCACGAAAATCCGCACAACCGTTTTCATGTAGAAAATCGCATTGCCCAATTAAATTTGGCAGTAGCTGATGTGGCTTGGTTCCTTTCTGTTTAACGCGGTCCAAATATAACCAGGCATCAGGTATTAGCAGGAATTTGCAGGTACCTATAAATATGTGACTGGTGAACATCGGTCACCAAAGACCATTGCTTCATTTTCATTCTGCTTAATTTTTCTGTGACAATTTTCCAACCACCTTCAGTGCGTAAATCATTATGATTTTTGTTTGGAAAAAAAAAATACACACACATTTCGTAGAGGTTTTCTCTATCTGAAGGAGTAGAGTAGAAAAAATGAATTGCAATAAAATATGTACTTATTCAACCCGTTCAAGTAAAATTCCCACTTTCACTTATGTTGTGACAGATGAATAAGTTTTTTAATCACTTCTCCAATTTTCAATGTTTAGGAAATATAATAGAGCCCAGCAAAATTCTAGGATGTTTGAAGTACATCTTGGAACTGAAGACGCCAGCAGAGTATCCCATTGGTGTCCTAACAACGCTAGATAGAAACCATTGGGCCAAACTAAGAGGCAGTTTGGAAAGTTTAGGAAACAGTGAAGCTCTAGGTTTAGTTGACAGCAGTCTTTTCAATATTTCTCTTGATGATGAAAACTGCCAAGATGATATTGAGAAAACGACACAGCTTTTTCTGCATGCAGACGGAACTAACAGGTAAATCCTTCTTGTAGTGTCAGTCAAAAAAAAAGGAATCTCTAAAAATCAGTATCTGTCATTATGATTTCAATTTCTTTACTTTTTCCACAGAATTTAAAACAACTGAGATAACAAAAAAGTTACCATGAGATCAACTCGAATAAATTTGAAGTATTTCTTAATCAGAAAAGACATCAAAATTCTTTGGGATGGCGTTGTCCATAAAATTGCGGTATTATCCCCGTTTTTCAAAAGCTGCTCCCTCATTAAGATCATCAATTTCATGAAAGCTTGCTCGTCAGATCAAGTGATTTATTAAATAGCAAACTATGTAAAGATCAGCTGAATTTTTGGTTTTCGAACTTTTTTAGAGTCTGGATAAATGAAGTCCTGTTGGAATGAAAAGGTTGAAGGTCCGGTTTGGGTTCAGGAACCTTTTTTAAGGTTTAGTTAGGGCTCAGTTTGAAAGCCAAAATCCGAGATCCAAAGTGTTCTGATAATTTTAAGAATCCAATAAACCTAATAATGTCAGTATGTCTAAAACCTTTGCACTATATGTTAAAATGAAGGGAATCTATTTTAAGTTAAAAAGCACTACTCATTCTTTATTTTTCCCTTTAAATTCTTCCTCCAAAACTTGCCCATTTTTTTTTTTTTTTTTTTTTTTTTTTTTTTTTTTTTTTTTTTTAAGTGGATCTTGAAAAATAGTTAACGTTCAAAGCTAAATGAAAGAAGAAAAATTGTTTAATACTTACGAAAAACTGATGATGCTATCGGAGCCTCAAAATGACGGACTTAAATTTGAATTGTCGTTCATGTTACATGAAAAATTGTCAATGCAGTATGAAGTCTGACTTTCTAAAATTTAAAATAGCGAAAAATTAGGAAAAAAATCATGAAAAGGTAGAAAAATAGGAGAGAAAATAGGATGATGAGATCACTCGTTTCAAAAAAGTCTGTCATGGTGAACCATAAATCTCTCGTCTTACACCGAGTATCACTTGACACAGAGAAGAGAAACTATTTGAAATGCATGCCAAAACTGACCTCTTAGCAAGAAACAGAATTATTCACACTAAAAATAGAAGAAATTCTGAGTGCACTTTGTCTGGACAGATGCGTTTGTTTACTTTTTAGCAACCTTTGCTCAGCTGGACCTCTTATCATGTTTGTGAGATTCCGTGAGGGAACCCTGCTGAAAATATTTTAGTTGTTTTAGTCTGACTCATGGTTTGCTAATCTCAACAGTGGCTTCAGTTTTGATACTCACAGTGTGAGAGAAATGTCACAATGACCCCCACCCCCTTCTCCTCCGCAGTCTAATCAACATAACCGAAGCTCGATTAAGAAGGGAGAACCAACCTTACGGAATAATTTCAAGTCATTGTCAAAAAATGTTTGTGTGTGATTACGTAGCTATCTTCTTTGATTTTGACATAATACACGATAGAGGAAGAAAAAATTAGGGAAACTAAAACTAAGCGTGTAGATTAATTCCTTTTCCCCTCTTTGTGTGTATGTGTGTGTAAAAAACATTTTTCCAGGCGTGGTAGAACCTACTTTATCTTGCCTGCTATATTTCTGATTTCTCGTACTTTTTTTGCATCAAGCATCTCAATCGTTGAAACCTTGGCTAGCCCTTAACATTCGATCATCTATATTCTCAAAGCCAAACCTTGACTAGCATAGTTGAATGTAGATTCTTCTAGACTCTTCATAAATATAAGATATCATTAGCAAAGAATTCGGCACAATTGTGCTTAGTTTGAGTGATTGCCCTCTCAGCTTTTGAATAGGTTTTATTGATTATCTTGCATTTGCTCTGTGAGTGCCATTAATCTTGTCAGTCAAGCAGGATTCATGTGAAAGGTAGTATTAACACCGTAAGAATTCAGTCACTATTCGTTCTTGAAGCCCTCTTGTAACATTTGTTTTAAAATACACTTGTGCTTTCCCGTCTTTGTCTGAGCTTGTGAACTTGCAAGGAACTAAATTTGAGGTCAAGAACTCCTTTTAACCAGCTTTATTGGTCAGTAATATACTTTAACTGTAGATAGAACTTAATCAGCCGAAAAATATTTTTAAGTAACAGACTAATTTGGAGAAAAGTTGCAATAAAATACCAAAGATTGGAGGGAAAAAAAGAAGAAAAAAAAACCGTGATGTTTTGAAATAATTACAATCTCAGTTCCAACTAGAAACAAGTGAAAAATGAGGTGTCCGTTCACTGTCATTGCAGCAGCCAGACTCAATTTTCAAAGAGTTGAAAATGAGATTGTAATTATTTCGAAACGTCCCAGTTTGTTTTTAAACAATTGTATTTTATTGCAGCCTTTACCCAGATTAAGTTGTTATTTTGTCATGTAAAATATATTTCAGCTCGGAAGATTCGGAGCCTTTTTCATTCACTACATTATCTAGTGAGTATTGAATCTCAGAGCCATTTAATTAACATTTTTAAACATTCTGTCTTTTTTACAAGGGCTCCCTCCAGTAATATTCTGTTATATTTATTTTAGTAATATTCTATTCTGATTTTATTCTCTGTTTGCAGATGGTTTGACAAGAGTTTCTCTCTAATTGTATCAGCAGATGGTGTGGCCGGCCTCAATTTTGAGCACTCTTGGGGTGACGGGGTGGCTGTTTTACGCTATTTCCAAGACACTTACAAAGACAGTGATACTAAGCCTGTCATTCATCCTGACTCCAAGCCTGACAACTCTATCATCTCATCTGTCAAAAAATTAGGTACACACTTTTTAAATACTATTAAATCAATGTGTAATTTCATTTCAGTTTTCTGGTTTTGTGTTTATAGAACTCACAAAAAATATCTTTCATAAAATCCTAGAATGAGGAAATTAAATGGGGCAGTGGGAAAGAATCTTCATAGAGTTGCAGTAAGGTTTTCCGTTTTTAAAATATTGTGATAAAAGCAAAAAGTTCCTTAAAACGTTTATAAAATCATTTCAAAGGGGAGAAAAAGCTAATTGTCTCTTTTGCCCATCAAAGTGCCCAACAGTCAATAAGAGAATAATTTCGAGGGTTGAGTCTTAGAGCCCTAAAAATTAAAGTTTTCACCAACTGCTAAGAGAGTAATGGTTCTCTCATTTTCTCCTCTTGCATATTTGAAGAAAATTATATTCAGTTTAAAATTTATCCCTGAAATATGATATTGATCGCCTAAACTCAGCCTTGAGTGCAGTATGACACCAAGAAAGATCCCTGTGTTTCTGTAAAATACTTTTCTCAAAAAGATTGATTGATTTGTTTAAAGTAAAATACCTTTTTTAAGTTTGCAACGAATAATTGCTTTCAATTTCCTTTTTTAGATTTCAAACTTGATGATAATGTTAAATCCTCCATTATCAAAGCTAAGGAAGATTATAAAAAAACATGCAATTCCCTGCAAATTGACTTTTCACAATTCGAATCTTTTGGTCGGAATTTATGCAAAAAGAAAGGTGTGAGTCCAGACCTAGTCATGCAATTAGCATTCCAGGTAAAATACATTGTATTATAATGTATGCTTTTAAAATTCAGAGGTGTCGGATATAGTTTAGAAAGCTCTGTCCTTGCTTTTATTTTTTTCTTTAAAAATCTTCTTTGTCGGCATTTTCTTCTTAATCGGGCTGATGAGTTTTTTTTTTACAATTAGTTAGAAGCTAATAAATGAGAGCCTCTCCCAAACTTAAAAACTGAGATTCATGTTAGGAGTAAAAAAATACTAACCAAGGCTCTGCAAGTCTAACTTTTTTTAAGTCCAGCCAAACCAGAGCCTCTTTTTTTTTCACTTCTTTGATCCTTCAAAATAATAATTGAATCAAAGTGAGGTGGTTTTACTCTCTTAAAATTAAGGGCGCAGCTTAAAAGAGAGAGTATTGCTTTGGGTAGGTGTAAAAAGTTGCCTGTAGTACTTTTTGGTGCTCTAAACAAATGTCTTAAGTTTTGGTTTACTATTTTAACCCCTTCAAGAATAAATAAACATTGAAGCATTAAGAGGCAGCAGATCGAATCTTAACCAAATGCCTTCCATTGAAAGGCAGGCTAGTCATCTGATTTAGTAGGAGCATTAGGAATTTGGAATAAAAGCTTTACTAGGAGGCTTTGAAAAACACTTTCAACCATTTATCACTGAGTAATTTTTAAATTATTAATTAGGTTTTTTTTTTGCTCTTGCATAGGTTGCGTATGATAAACTAGCAGGTAAACAGGTTGGAACCTATGAGTCTTGTAGCACAGCAGCCTTCAAACATGGTCGCACAGAGACTGTTCGTCCCTGCACTATTGAAACAACGGTTTGTATGTTTATAATATAATTATCAACCTGATTTTAATCGACACAATCATTATTAACATTACGAGCAACCAGTCATTCTCAAGTGGTTTTGTCAAAAATCCGGGTGAACCGCAATCCAAAAAAAAAATAATTAGGCTAATTTTGAAGCCCCAAGATGAGATAAAAGAAGAAAGAGACCAAAATCCTCGTGACCAGTAGCATCCAGTAGCATTCTAAAGCTTTTGTCATCATGTGAAATGAAGATTTCATGTTTCAGCAGACGATTATGTGCATTTCTTAAAGTGAGTTTAATTTTGTCTCTGTATTTCTAAAGGAGTTCGGAAATTGAAGTTTGGGTCGTTCATTCAGATTTATTTTATCTTTTCAGAAATTCTGTAAAGCAATTAATGGCCCCAACAAACCAAGTGTTGATGAGCTAAAAAAAGCCATCATGGAGTGTTCTACTAAGCATAGTAATCTAGTAAAGGAAGCTGCAATGGGTGAGTTGCCATCACTGGATTTTTTTCCTTACGGAAAGAATAAACAATTTCTGGCTTTTTTTAGGATATCATTTATAGTGACTCAGTGAACATACATATTTTGTTTTTTTTTTTTTTAAAAAGGAAAATTATGATCAACCTTAGAATGTTGCCTTAGAAAGAATCGCATATTTCTCCTGAAACATCAAAGTATCAATAGACATGCTCGTACATGAAATTTGTATCTCAAGCTGAATTCAAATCTATTGAAATAAAGACTAGAACTGCACGATTGATTGTGGTGCAATTGTGACTAATTTTTTGAATCCTAATGGTAATCAATTTGAACAATTATGGGTAGTTAATTTGACTCTTCAGAAATTGTTCAGTTTTCTTGTCGCGTTTGTTAGAGAAAAATACGCTGTTAACGTAAGCTGTAAACCCTCAAATCAGCATTGATGAGCATTGTATAATCTTCAGTAGCAGAATATCATAGGAAGTTAGCAATAAGGATGGACACGCACACGATAGCTAATTTTTTGTACTTTTGATGTCTTGAAATCTGCCAGTCCAATTGTTCTCTCTTAAAATTAAGTCAGATTTCGTCAATCAGCTTAGTCATGATGTCTTTCCTGCAGGTCAAGGGTTTGATAGGCACTTGTTTGCTCTCCGCACTATCGCACAAAATGAAAATAATCGCATTCCCGCTATCTTTCAAGACATTGCATACAAAAGAATCAATCACAACATTTTGTCAACATCAACCCTAACTTCACCCACTGTCATGTTGGGAGGTTTTGGTCCTGTTGTTAAAGATGGCTTTGGAATTGGGTAAGCATTCAGTTAAAATTTCCTTCCATAGAAAGTTTTTAGTTTTGCTTAGTCACAGGTTTTTTAGAAATTTAAAAAATAAAAGACAGTAGGAAAAATCAGAGAAATTTTTCCGTTTTTTCATGTTTTAACAGATTTAATAAGGAATGGCTCTAATTTTTTTCCTAACTTTTGGCGTAATTTCAGTTTTAATGCTGAAACTCCTCTATAATCTTTCAGTGTCTCTTAGTGTATCATTTAACAGACTTTTTCTCTTCTTTTTACGTCTCGAAGATAGGACAGTTGAAATAGGTAGAAATTTGAAATTTTGATAGAAATTAAATTTTTCATTTAATTTAATATCTTATAAGATTTTCATTCGTTTTGTCTCTTGATTGCAGGTATTCCATCCTGGATGATAAATTGGGCGCAATTGTCACAAGCTATCGAGGTCAATCTGACGGGGCTGGCTTTCAGAAAAGTCTTTCAATGGCCCTTCAAGATATTTACAGCATCCTCAAATGAAGGTAGGCTTTTGTTTCTCAAATATTTTCTGAAAATTTGCATAAGGTTTTATTTGGTTGCAGTTGTTTTTGGTAGGATTTTGCATTTCTCTTTACTTGCTCTAATACACTCATGTATAATTGATGTAAATAGCCGCAGAGATGCTGTGCTTCAATCTATTTCTTATGCTTTGACCCGCATGTAAATTTCAGCTCATCAACCTCTGATTCTCTCTGCAGATTAATTTTCGAATAAAATTTCATTCTAATTTGAATGGTAATCCTTAAGTTACCAGGGGCGCCATTTGAGAGGGGCAGGCTGGGCATTTGCCCCGCCCTACGCTTTTGAGTCAGGCCATGGGAGGCCGTTTGTCGTTTCCAAGATGAAAAGCTGAGCAAAAAAAAAATCCTGTCCCTTTATTGCACGGCTCTGCAATGTCCTGAAATTGCGCCCCTGTAGGTTAATGATAGATTCCTATCAACTTAAGTAACTACTACAAACCTGTATCACCATAGTAAACGAAACTAACAAGGAATGCATGTGCATGATGTTGATAATAGACAGGATGCAGTATAAAGTAAGTAGAGTACACCCTTTTTAAATCTCAGCAAGGAGATGAGAGATGATGGAGAACAACAAATGTTGCGTGGAAACTATTTCAAGTTATGTCTTTTCAAACATCTAGGGTTTCCTCCAAAGGACCGTTCAAAAATTGCATGATTCTCTAAGGAGAGGAAATGTTGAGGAGAGCGTTGCGCAGTTTCAAGGGAGGGGGATCCAAAATGCTGCAATAGTGCGCCTTGTAATTTATGAACACTCCCAAATGTCAGGAAATATTCCCAAAATGTTTCAAAGAGTTTAGGGAAATGTCCAGGTATTTCATTTTCTGAATTCTGTGGTAACCCTCAAACAAACTCGACCGCGTTTAGTAGAAAGGAACCAAGCCACATCAGCTATCGCCAAATCTAAGTGGGAAATCTAATTTTTTACAAGAGAACGCTCGTTCGGATTCCTTTGAAAACTTCAAGGTACTTGCTTCATTCTATGCAGAAATTCACTGAAATGTGTACAAAAATCCGCTCAACCGTTTTCATGTAAAAAATTAAATTGCCCATTTAAATTTGGCAATAGCTGATGTGGCTTGGTTCCTTTCTGCTTAAGGCGGTCCAACTGTGTTCTTTATCACATTTACCAAAGTTTTATACTTTTTGTTATGTTTGTCCATCATCACTCATCTCTTTCGAACTATTTTGGTATTGATTAAGATTTTGCAAAAGCCCATTTTTATTTTTATGAGATGCTTTATTGTTTCAAACTTCCTCAAAAATTAATCTCCCGCAAAGTCCGTGCTTTACAATTTATTCATCTCCAAAACCAAAACCACTCACCGGGGAGGTTTTATAATGAAAGCTGTCAGCTTCACTAAAAGCTTGCCATGCTGACAAAGTGTGTACAACACTGGTTTGTGTTTGTATTTTGTGGTTTGATGTTTGTGTTCGGTTGTACAATGTTTGCATATTGATTTCCAAATCCTCAAGTCTTCAGCTTGCTTCTCATTCATGACATCTTACTCAAGCCCCTTATAGTAAGTGATCTCCTCTTTTATTCAATTTTTTTTACTTACCTAGAATCATTACCTGCACAATTATTTTTTCTCGTTTATCAAAAGAAAATGGTTAAAGGATCTGCACCAGACTTCAGTAATCGAAACTAACTAAAATTAGGTAGTTTATTTCACCTTCACATTTTCTTTTAGAAATATTTCGCAAAAATCTGCACTCAAAACACTCAGTTTTCTATTTTATGGTTGAATGATCTATTTTTAATAGGATAGAAATTGAAAGGTATGTCATTGTAATTAACAGATACTTTGTCCTAGAAACAGATTTAGATGAGTGATTAATGCTTGCCTTTTTTTCCATTCGAAAAGGTGTATTTTCAAATACTGAAATTATTGCAAAAACACAAGGAAAGTAGTGTGGCATACAAAAAATTAAGTAATTGCAACACTAAGCATAATATAACAACAAAAAAACTTTAGAATTTATTTATTTTCACTCATTAAACTTCCAAAATTGGAAACTTTTTAAGACCCAAGAGTAAAGACAATAATTGTACCCCCCTTCTCCCTCAATACAAAAATTGTAAAGAACAAGCTCCAATTTTCAAGTGCAAAAATTCTATTGCTTTAATAACAACACACTTTTTGCTTTCTTGCCTTTTTAATTCTTCCAAACTGATTTGAAGAGATTCACTCACAGTTCCAAACTTGAGCTTCATGCATTATTCGTTTTTACTTTCCAGTTGCTACCCTTCTAACTGTTCATGCTTTGATGCTTTTGGCTCAAGGAGATCTGGTGTTTCAAATGTACCATGGTTCATACATCTTTTGAAACTCTTTCCACTCATAATGGTATCTCATAATAGCATTTCAACTTTTTCGATTTTCCAACGGAAGTGTCAGACCCATGAGAAGTATAAAAGAAACACTTGGAAGAGCGCCTGAAAAAGAATATTGTTTTTGGAGCAAAACTCATTTGAAACTTTGAGCAATTGACTTTGTACATTTCAGCCCTTAATTTTACAGAGGAGTGTTGGATCAACATAAAAACATGAAGACATCATTTCTGAAGATGCGCTGATGCTGTATAATTGATTTTCAAAACTAAGGCCGATTTTACAATCTGTCCTTCCACGAGCAAACTCTTCAAATAATGTGCCTCAGTCAGTTTCACTTTCCTGTGGAACTTTTCATGTATCGTCACTCACGCCCCCCTTTTTTCGGAAGTTTTTATCAAATTGCATTGAATTTTTCTGTACAGATTTTCTTCAGTAATTTGTATGGAGCTATCAAGTTTTTGATGTCTGGCATCAACGGTCAATTACAGTCGTAGCAGGACAGAGAACGGTCTAGGAAGTTATCTTTTGGGAAGATGGATTTTTTAATTATTGGAAGACTGATGATTCTTTAATGTTCATATCAATAGAAGACTGAAAAATATTTTAAGGTGCACATATCTTTATTGAATATCTTATCAGAGCGGAATCTAATTTCCGAAAATTTTAACGAGACATCCAAAAAATCTTGGTTGAACCCACATAATTAAAGCTTTCTGCCTTACCTCAAACTTAAAACTTCCTTCTCTTCACAATGTCTCAGAAATATTAAAAGAAAAAAATCATGCACACAGTGAAATGGAGAAGGAAGTGGCATTTTTTTAGAAAAGGAAATCATATGTTCACTTTTGTATCCAATATGAAAATCGGCATTGTCTCTTTGCAAAATATACCTAGTGCATTTTCCCCCCTTATTTTTATAGAAAATGAAATCGAAGCTGATAGGTACTTTGAAATAGAACAAAATTATAAAATCATTGTTATTTTCATTACCAATTAATGTGTGGTTGTAGGGCAAACTTGTTGCGCTAAGTTTGCATGACTAATCATATGAACTCAGTCCATGTAAATTTCTGTAGTCGGTGATTTTTATCTTGCAGTATTAATTTTGTCTAAGAAAGACTATTTAGGGATGTATAGACTAATTTGTAAGGTAGGTACCCAATTAAAAAACTTTACTCCGGAGTTAGCTTGGAAAATGGAAGGATAGTCTTTTTTTTTTGTATTATGCCTGTGAAAGTTTTCAGAAAAGATAGTAATTTGTCCTTGAGTTTGAAATAGTCAGTCAGTTTTGATTTATCCACCTGGAGGTCATTAAACTCTCTTATACATAGTCAAAATTTGTGTTTTACAAATATTTTCTGTAACTTTAGAAATGTTTTAAATTTAATGCAAACTAATGAGACAGACCTTATCCTTCACTCTTAATGAATCATGATATTAATAGGCTTAAAGCACCAGTTTTAGCTGCAAAGAATACCTCCCTTTCCTCCAGCGTGAAATCAGAATTTTATCTTACCAAAGTTTCTTATCCAATACCCCCATCAAGAATTCTAGGGGGTTTTCTACACCCTATATGTAGGTTTCCTTGTTTTGTCAAATGGGAATGCACAAACTTTTTCACAAAGTGATCCGAAGCGAAGGGTTCAACATACTAGGGATTTTATGAGGTATATATATATACTAAGCTAAACTGTATCCTAATATAGGGCATCCATAAATCAGGCGTGGAATTGTGATTCCAAAAATTCATATTGTATCTGGTAACGTTAGGCACCTTTTTGTAACAAAATACCGCCTTTTTTTGTGTGCCTGCAAGTTTGCAATTCAACTTACTTCTGTTAAAGTTTTATTTTTTATAAATTACAAAATAAATTTAAATTTTTATTTNAAGAAATGAATGCTATACTACGTATATACACTCGAGCGCTCAAAGCAAGACTTTCCGGAATTTTTTGGGGGGGTTTCTAGGGGGCGTTGGAAAAAACAAAAAAATACGGGTCAAATAAATTCATCCAAAGAGTTCGTATGAATTTTTTCAGCCCGATCGGAGGCGGCAGCTTGGGAAGTTCCCCTTGTAAGCTAAACTGTATCCTAATATAGGGCATCCCTAAATCAGGCGTGGAATTGTGATTCCAAAAATTCATATTGTATCTGGTAACGTTAGGCACCTTTTTGTAACAAAATACCGCCTTTTTTTGTGTGCCTGCAAGTTTGCAATTCAACTTACTTCTGTTAAAGTTTTATTTTTTATAAATTACAAAATAAATTTAAATTTTTATTTTTTAAGCCAGCCTTTTTTCTTCTCACAGCACTATTATTTTACCATGTCACGCTAAATTAAAATAACTTTAAAAAAATTACAAACATTTTGAGATGCGTGCTCGAATTTTCCCGAAGTAACTATGAAACGACTTTCCCGCATTCGCCGTTCTTAGGTAGGGGCCGCAGCTCACAACCGAGGACGGAAACTTTGTTACAAAAAACAATCAAAGTATTATTCGGTTAATTGACAGTGTCGCAATGACAATGACAATTGATAAAAATCATTGTTAGTTCACCTCATTGGTACAATAGGCAAAGTTGAAAGGTATGGTGTAAGAGGAACTTCAGCAAAGCGCCCTAAGTCATTATCAAATGCGACGAACTGTATAAAAACTTCATTTTCAACTCCTGGATGCAACTATTTGGGCTTGATGATGTCCGTGTTGCATATGCACGCAAGTGAAGGCGTAATGACTGTCCAGGCAATCGCAGCTTCACTCGCGGCGCGGGGCGGCACAGTGGATCGAGTCAATAGGAGAGGTCGGAAAAAATGTTCAAACTTTAAACGCTTATAACTCCGTTTGTACAAAACTTTGAGGTTCAAAAAGTGGTTCCATTGGTTTTCTCATGAAATTTTCTTTTAAAAGCACCCCTTAAAATTTGAAATTTGGCGAATTAAACATCGAAATTTGCAGTTTTATTTTTAAAAAATGTATGTCCGACCTCTCTGATTGACTCAATCCACTGTATGCAGGCGCGGCGTTAACGATGGTATTTACTGCGAGGATCAAAAATGGCGAATCGCTTTCAATTCTCCCTTTATACTTCAAATATCTGTCTTACGCATAATTAGTTACATACCTACAGGCGTAGGATGTGAGTATCTTCTGTGCTTCTGTTTTGATATCGTGATGTGCTGAACTCATGCTCAGCACAAATCATGCTCTACAAATTTTGTAGAGCCACTATTCATGCATGAGAGATGTCTTCCAAGTAAAAATGGACTGAGTTAAGCAGAAAGGAACAAACCCACATTTTGGAAAAAATTGAGTGGAGAGTGGTTTTGAACTCAACCACTGCTCTACTATCTATCGCCAAAAATTCAAAGCTTTTGTTGGAGCAAATTTTGCAGAAATTGAACTTGAAGTTTATCTTTTACATTGAGTCTTATGCAGGAGCCAAACTTTAAACCTCTTTTTCTCGGTTCGATCCCGATGTGGCTTGGTTCCTTTCTGTTAAACTCCGTCCAAATGAATAATGAAAGGACTCTGCCATTTTAGATCCTTGCAGTAAAGCTCCCGCTCAATTCAGTGAGCCTTTAAGCGAGGTTGATCATGAAATTTTTGACAAATTCGTACTATGAACTGGACCACATTTTGCAATAAAGAACCACTATTTCTAGCTCATTTTAGAAACAACGTATATCGACGGTGAAACTACCAAACCACGTATCTCGGTTTGCGACGTCGCTGACTTCCTGTCATACTTTATTTTTTAAATGAAAAACTACTTAACATCCAGTCTTGAAAATTTCTGTGATTTTTCCTCTTTGTGCGGAGAAAATTCCGTGAAAATTTCAAGGAATGATATTGATTTGATCTACTTCAAAAAAGTAAAATTTGAGCGTAGATTTTTAAACACCGCAAACGAGATACGTGGTTTGGTAGTTTCACCACCGATATGCCATTGGATTCCCTATGCAGAAAGGTGCTTCTATGGAAGTGCCAGAGATAGTGGTTCCTTATTGCAAAATGTAATCCAACGGTACGAAGTGCTTCTTGAATGGAATTTTATGAGAAAATCAATACAACCACTTCTACATTCTGTAGTAACATCGTTATGTTATGAGGTTGTAACGTTCTCTCAATTTGTCCGACTCCTCTCATTGACTCGCTTCACCGAGCGCCGCTAATGAGGCGCTTATTGTCTGCATTCAAAACGCCTTCACTCCCGTGCGTATGCAACACGGACATCCATGGAGCTCAAATAGTTGCATCACCCAGGCGTTATAATGAAATCCNGCGAAAATTCCGCAAGGAGGTCCGGTTTTTATTCCTTCATGCCGAGCGTGTCTCTTAAGGTGATTCGTCAAGCTCAAGTAACGTGGTCGAACTGGCATGCGTTTTATAGCATTGATTATGTCACAAATCTCGGCAGATTTTGAATTTTTTGCAAAACGAAGGACGATAGCCCCTATGCGCACAAGCCTAAAGAATCATTCTAAACCCAAAAATCGGCAACATTCAGAAAAATGAAAGCAGAATGGTGTTCGGAAAAAAACCTCGCATTCGATACAGAAATCGGTAGCTGAATCGAATGCGAGGTTTTTTTCCAAACACTACTCTGCTCTCATTTCTCGGAATTTTGCTGATTTTTGGGTTTAGAATGATTTTAAGGCTCATTCGCAGGGGCTATCGTCCTTTTTTTTTATTTTTTTTTTTTCAGAAAATTCAAAATCTGCCGAGATTTTTGACCTAATCAATGCAACATATCTCATGCCAGTTCGACCACGTCATTTGAGCTTGACGAATCACCTTAATAAAGTCTGGAAAGCATGCAATTCCCTGCGCGTTGATTCTTCGAGTAGTAATTTCACCGTCACCATCGAATTGTTCTCCCTTTTTCTTAGTTTTGCAGCCAATAAATCTGCTTCCTCTCCTCTGTCTTTTTTGTTTTTATTCGTTTTTTTTTTTCGTTGTTGTTGTTGCTGTTGCTTGAAATAGTGCGACTGTACCTTCTGTAGACGGGAGTAGCAGCTGTCACTGCTAGTTTATGGCGCTCACGATCGATTCATCCACGCGACACATCACTCCGTTCGCACGATTCTTAGAAATTCAATCATCTAGGATGAATGCTGTCATTGGATTTTTTTTTAATTCTATTATCTTCGCCTCTTCCTATCGTTGTTTTTCGTGACACACGCCCCCCGCCCCCATGTATTGCCTTGTGCATTTTACAGTCATGCGTGTTCAACAGTAGAAACGATCATTTCCCATCGCATAGTCAGCAAAATAGAGCGAGTCGGTAGAGAATTTTCTTTTAAGTTTGTAAAAACGACCCAAAATCAATCATTCTCTCATTTTCGCTTGGTTTTAATTCATCAATTAAATGTTGACAAGTAAGATTCACTGGAAAAAAAAACACATTGGATCTAGAGTCCAGACTCTTGAAGACATTGACAAGAAATAATACTCTTGATTCAATCGGATTTTTGCTTGAATCAAAACGAAATCCGCTTAAATTAAGAGACTTGGTTCTTGATTTAAGCTAGATTCTGATTGAATCAAGAGTACTTTTTCTAGGTAGTCGATGTTTTTAAGAGTCTGGACTCTAGATCCAATTTGTTTTTTTCCCAGTGTTGTATGATTTTATCATTTTACCGGATGGATTATTACCACCTGGATATTATTTTTTGTCCGGTTTTTCTTGATTTTCGAGTTAGGCTATGTACATTTCGGAATGTTCTTCCTTCTTCAGGCCAAAATTTTGATAGTTGTCTAGCACTCTTTCCTTGTGCGCGTTCTAGAAGAAGGAAGAAAATTCCGAAATGTACATAGCTAACTCAGAAATCCAGAAAAACTGGACGAAAAAATAATGCCCAGGTAATAAGTTAAAAATTAACATTAATCAATTCAATTTAATTGGTTTGGTCATTCATTCAATGTGCAACTTCAAAATTTTATTACTGAATGTTTTTCAGATTTGATACTTTTACAATGTCATCGTATTTTCAACCGAAGAGAACTCAAACGAATATTTTCTGCGATACTCTACAATCTGCATGGAGTCCGTTTGGCTCATATTTGAAAATGCTTGCGATTTTTTATTTCTTAGCCGAAGGAACGTAACTTCCTCCCCAGGTTGCCAAATTGACTCGAAGATTCCAACTTTTTCATGACGAAAATATGATTTTACGATTTCTGTCCAAAATACATCGATATTTTTGTGTTCTTGGCGCAAAAATCAGTGAAATGTTTCCTTTGAAATGCCACACAATTTTGTAGGGTATAGGTAAATGTAATTCACGATCGAAGATTTTGCAGCATTGACATGCAGTTCCGTTCTTTCGTCCATTTCCGCACGAGCGATAGTTCTCAGTTTACCAAAGAACGATACATTAAATAGAAGAGTTGAAAGTCATAACATAGTAGCCCCATTAGTGCCGGTTGTCATGTGGGTGTCATATTGAAAAATGGACTAACGCCAGTGCTGCCATAAGGAAAAACGCCGCGTGAGCATTCGAATGTTGCCGAAGTGC